TTAACTTCTTTTTGTTGCCCATACACTGACACTGTTTTAAATCCAGAAATAATAATATAATAATAACGATCAACAAGAAGCAACTTATAACACAGATTCTGAATGCAATGACTGGAACTTGAGCACAGAATTTATAATCATGCTCTCAAGGTTGTATACGAGACATGAAAGTGTTTCTCTATGTTAAGATGATGTTAAGATGGAGTCCTGACTCCCACTCCCTCTACGCGTGTTGTGTTCCTCAGTTCTTTGTTGTGGTGTTAGGTCCAGGAGCCACCGTGTTAATGTTAATGAAATCAACTGGACTCAATGTTAAGTCATCTGAGGGGCTTCAGTAGCCATTGACACTGTCAATATTCGCACCCTAGCTGCATCTACTTCTGATTTCAGAGTTGTGTAAAAGCCCATTCTAACCAATCTACAATTAGAGATTACAAGTAGCAGATGAGTGGAGGAGGCAGAGTAAACCAATGAGTGCCATCATTGGTGAGAGACTGGATGTTCAAGTATATCACAAGTTGATCTCTATGAAATAAATCCAAAGATAATCTCAGTTACAAGCTGTTCACTAATATAAGTCATCCAGCAGCTACAGGCATGTTGATGTGAGTAATACAAATGCATGCATTTTTAGTGCAGGAGCTTACTTTCAATTTGAATCAAATTAATTATTTACAAAGAAGTGGAAAATAAGAAGGCAAGATTCTACTGGTGTTTTACAAAAATCAATTTAAATTGGAGAGAGGCACATGCAACACCATCCTCAAACCAACAGGGATGCAAATGTAGAAACAGAACACAGAAGCTTTATCAACCTCAGGGTCAGATTCAATTTCCAGCAGCTTTATGAAAGCAGAGCAGACATATTGAAATGTCTGTGAATTCTCATTAGGTTAGCATGGTGCTTCCTGCATCCAAAGAGATAAAAGATTCATCCACAGAAAAAAGATTGTGAAAAACAGAAAACATATCAGATATTTTAGGGTATAAGAGACAGAATTGTCTCATATGCATAACTTATTCAATGACATATGAGTGGAATCATTATTTGGAAAACTATCAATTCTGAGCTATTGCACCATGCATGATAAGATCTGCACCACATGACTCCAAACTCTGTCACATTTAGCCTTCAGCTCAATCATGAGGCAATTTTCCCATTCAAGTGAATGAGAGAATGGTCTGCAGGCTACTGGACCCACTGTTCTCTGTCTGTGTCTCTGAAACCTCATGAACCCAAAATAGATTAAAATTATTTATATCACATCATTAGAAAAACAGTTCCTGTCAAATATTTCATTTTTAAAATCATCCTCATTTAGGCTGTGGCAATGCTGTACAGGTTGGTTAGCCATTCATTCTGTGAAATCTAATTTAATCACCAGTTAGTTTGCAAATAAAATCTGGTGATACTGAGGAATCCTTTGCATAGTGAAAATGAAAAAATAAAAGAAGCATCACTGTTTCCTGAAAAGAAAACTGAATCGCCACAAGCGCATAACAGCATTTCTTGTTTGAGAGAAAGGCCCATAAACGCCTTAAGCTGTGGCCTCATTACCAGCAGGAGGTGAGCTCTATTTAGGTATGGACCTGTTGTGTATGCACATCCCAAACAGCCACAGACAAGCTCCCACCCGAAAAAATCCTCATTAAACAAAGACAACTGTGCAGCAGGGGCACGCTGCAGCATCTAAGCAAAGCTCTTATCTGCATATGAATATTTGGCAAGATAAACTCATTAGCATTTTAAGAGGTTGAAATGGAAAATAAATAAATATGCTTGGTCAAACATGCTGGACAAATCGGGTATGCATTAAATATAAAGAGTACCATGGTAGAGCTCTGAAGAGGACGAGATTGAAAACCAGTGCAAATCCAGGCAGCGGCAGTTTAAATCCGCCTCCTCTGAAATGTAAATACAAACCTTTGAACCTTTGTTTTTCATGTTTTTCCTCTCGTGACTACACGGCCTCTCTATATGGGTTACTGCCACCACACACTGCCCAGATGCTTCAGCTCTGCATGGAAACCGCAGCTAACAACACATGAAATAAACCACAGCGAGTAATAATGAGCAGTGCCGATGCAGTGAAGTGTCTCTACAAAGTGAAAACCTGCCTGATGGAGAAGTGTGATCTGTTATGTAGATTCCACTTGTTGAAAAATAACAAACCACCCCTGAGGTCACAGGAAATGAGTTTACAATCTTTACTTAGCTTTATGCATTGCATGGTTTACATATAACAGCTGCAGTGCAACATATATCTTTCTGTCTGTTATTTTACACTAAATACATTTTTTGAACATGAATTTAATTAATTTACAATTTAAACTAATAAAAGGTGAAATAGTGAAATAGAAAATGAATAATTGTGATATTTTGGATATCTTGGAAAACAATGTCAATTTATCTGATTATTGACCCATTATATTTTCACCTCACTCCACGGTCAAAACCTCAAAACCCCCTTACAAGGAAATGATTTGGGCCGTGGTTGAAAAGTAAAAAAAATCTTCTTTCCTCACCACTTTTCCTTGAACTTGAGGTCTCGAGGTCTTGAGGTCAAGGAAAGGTGTGAATGCACAAGGACTTGAGAAAAGACATTGGTGGCATTATTACCTTCTTTCCTTACGTAAAGGACGGACCAGTGTATCCTATTGGCTCAAGGAGATACCATAGGAGACACTGCTGCTCCTTTCCTCAGCATTTAGAGAATTAGACTCTTACCAGCCCTTATCGTGACTGCTACTTGAATACTTCCAGGTCATTCACCTCAGTTAGGAACCTTGCTAAACAAAAAAGTCTATTTAACCGCAGCCAGGTCTATTACACACCTCACTGCCAGGCATTGCTCAGATTCCTCCTCCTCTGCTACCATTAGAGCTCCTCCTGCTGGTCTGGGCATATAATTGATAAGAGTGTCAAACCTGTAAGCTCAGCTGAGGTGCCCCATGCAGAGTTTAAAAAAAAAAGAAAGTTAAAGCTCAGCTCTGGTTTAACTCCAAAACGTAATAACTAACTGGAGAGCAGCATATAAACTAAAAAAGACAAACTCTGGAGTCTTTCCAGCATCAGGTCCTGTCAACCAACCAACAGCGTGTTTCACCATCTGGTCAAATATCATATCTAAGAATTTACAACCATCTCTTGGACATACATTTATGTAAAACAGGAGTTTTACATAAATGTACATTACATTAACTGGACTAAGATCTTTCAACTCTCATCCAAAGGGCTTCCTCATTTCAAAGAAGAACTGAGCTGAAGAAACCTCTTGAATGCCGATGTCATCAACCTTGATTTCTGCTTTCTTCTTCAGTTCAAAGAACTGTCATATATTCAACTTTTTAAAACCTGCAGAAAACCTTTTCCTTTTTCATCTATAAAATAGATTCAGATGTTGAAAGATGATAAAACTGAACAGCTGGTGTTTGGACCTGAAGCACAAAAGGATTGAGTAACATAACTCTAGCTTCACTATGTACAAGAGGCCAGAAACACAGGAGTAGTCAGCTATATCTGCCAAATCAGAAATATTTTGAGGATTAGATTTAGATTTTGGTACTTTTATCACTAGCCAGCTAGATGACTACAGCTCTGGTTTGTTGTTTACTGCAGCGGCATCGCTGGAAGCTGTATTGTTTGTGTCCCTGTGTGTGCAGAGCAGATCAATTTAAGGTCAAGGTCAATAACAATATGGTCCGAAAAACAACTTTTAAAAGATCTTTACTAACAAAAGGGAGACAACATCAAACATATTTCATTCAGAAAAGTATTCCACATTATATAGTATCATATGATAAGTGATGTCATTACATAAGGGGATGCAGGCATAGCATCACAGTGAAGTAGAGTGGTCAATGTGATTGATATCACTCCACACAGACACCACAACCGTAACCAGTAGCAGAATGTAATCAACCTTGAGCTCTACTTTCTTCACTTAATCATCTCTGCACACGAACACACACATATGCAGGCGCAGTCAAATGAAAACAGATGGGATCCTTTTCACGTCACACTGTAAAACAAGAGAGCGGAACAACAGAGAAGAGGAGTAAACAGAAACTGTAAATGGTCACAGGGGAGTGAAATTTCAAGTTTCTTCCAGGGCAGCGTGCCAGTTTTTCCTCTCCTGTTCAGACACAGTTATTACAGAGTGGGAAGCAGAGATGGTCAGGCGCCCCAGTAGATTTTCTGCCCCACTGCACAATTCACTTCTACTCAAGAAATGTCAGACTGCAGGTTTAACTCTTTGCCTGTCCGGCACAGATAAATGTCTTCACACGTTAGACGTTGACCCATCTCCCCCATCAGAGGCCATCCGGGCTCACTGCTTTCCCTCTGCCATGTATATCCAGTAATTTACTGACCCCTGGGCTGCACTGTTTATGACTATTGATCAAACAGAGCTCCCAGTGCTAATTTAGTGCCAATGATACATTCTGTCATGAGGGGAAGCAGGAAGGGAGTATTGATTAACGAGCAGCTCTGCTCAGGGCGTTGCTGCAGCACTCTACAACAGGGGTCTAATTAACTTCCAAACCTCTTAAAGCACTGCGTTCATCCATGCTCTCCTTCAAAACCAGTGACACCAGAAGATGTGGTTCAATTCCCAGTGGGGTCATCCGTTCTGAAAATATATGTACTGGTAGGCAGCTTCAATGAAATAATTAACATCTAATACATCATTTAAAAAATATGTTTGTTATTACAGTCACAGCAATAAATCATACTGTGGTATTGTACACTGTGTGTTGTTATTATTATTGCAATTTTTTTGTCAGTATCCTTTTAAATGTGTGTGTTACTTAAATGTTCTTCTTTTTTAAATATTTTATCTCCAAACTAATTAAAATAATTTATATTCAATGTATGTGGCACAATTTACAAAGCAGTTTTGCTTTTGGTGAAAACTGAAGCAGTTCAGTTCTGCATTCATTTAACAATCTCCTCTGTTACACTGCCACCCAGTGACTCACTGAGGCTCCACCATTACAAAAATCAAGGCATTTTATTCAACGTCACACATCACAACAGAGTTGAAATATGAAGATAACAGTAGGAAACAGTCATTGATGTGAAAAATCAAGATTCAATTTGTTGAAGAAGTTAAACAAATGAACATAAATAACATGAATATACATGTGATTGTTGAAATTAAAAGGTGTAACTAAGCAGTAACTTGTTATGTTGTACAAATGCTTCCATATCATCCCTACACTTTTAAAAAGTACTAATACACTTAATGGCAATTTAACATAAGGCATCTTACAACAACATATACAGTATAAAGCATTTTAAATAAAGGTTTTGGTTGTCTAATTAAATATAGAGTATTGAAAAGGAATCATGACAGTTGACAAGTGCTTAGTTTCAGTGCTTTGGAATAAGAGGCATAATACATAATGGTTTGTTTGATCAGTCAGAAAAGTCTGAACACTATCATCGCATCCAAAACTGTGATTTTACCACATACACATAAGCTGCTTTCAAACATGCACTGAACTCTGAACTGATATTCTCCTGAAATGATTCCGGAGAGGCTGTATGTGAGTGTCTGAGTCAGTTGGACTTTCTCCAGAGTATCTCCTGAATTTCCTGTTGTTGTTGTAAACGCATCTGACACAGAGAATCTCCTGCTGCATTCCTCATAAGTGAAAGGCAAAGTTTACGTTTAAAATTGGCTGTGCTGTTTCTCCTCTGAGGTCTTTCTTCTTACCCCAAAGCTCAACATGGTGAATGCTTCTCAAAGTTAAAGTTTGAGTTAAGATCAGTTACAGTTAAACTAAACTGAACTCTTCGACGCCTTTCCCTGTTGTGAAGTGTGAGTTAAACAGTGATAAAGTGTCTCACACTAGAATAGGGAGCTCAAGTGATTGGAGAGAGTCCAGACACAGTGAGCCCTGATGAAGATTTTCTATCCTCATAAACTCAGTTCAACTTCATGGCAGAACATCAAAGGCACAGCTAATCCTTTTTGTGAGTTACTTGCTCCAGGATTAAGTTTAATAATAATATGTAATAAAAATTATGTCAAACACTGAAAAAAAAAAAAATCATTTCTCAACCTGAGGAGAGTAGAAGAAATCCAACAAATTTGCATCCGAGCAACAGTTCTTTTGTTTTTACATGAACGCTTCTACTTATGTGTGTTTTTTAACTATGTGCACAGTGATTGTGCACTGGAGAAAAAAATCTAACCCACAGGCTAAAACATTTGTGGACACAAATGCTGAAGCATTAATGTTTGCAGCCCCCTTCTATATCTGCTTTGAAACAAGTGGTGTCACAGTTTGTAGGTTAGACGCTTGCAGGGTCCTGAAACTGCTTTTCCTGCTCAGGGATAAAAATACACTGGTTCCAGTTCACCTGTCTCACTGACATTCATCAGACGATGTCACTGGATATACATAACTCTCAATCCACCAAAGTGGAGGACATAATCCTTAACATTTTAATCTTTAGTTGGAATGAACACCTGCACTGTCCAGATGTCATGAACATGTCAACTTCTTCCTAAGCCAAATTAAATTAACCTTTAGTTGATGGACAAAATGTCATACACTATGTACAAGGTGCAAAAGTCAACTGCAGAAGAAGAATAAGCAGTTTAAGTATTAAAGCACTACAATGGGCCTAAGATACAGTAAAGACCCATCCTTTGGTAGAACATATAGAATAACATAATCATTTTATGAGCAGAACATAAGGACTGCATCTCAAACAAAGTTCCAACACATCACCAAACAGCAGTCTTCATTAGAAGATGAACTGTACCACAGACAGTGGTTTTGATAAGTGCAGTTTCACAGAGGTGGAGTTGGCCTCCTCTCTGCTCATACCTCTGAAGTGAACAAGGTTTCAGACTCCTGCTTGTCTAGAGCCTGTTTTTCTGGCAAAGGATCCTCAGCGTCCAGGTCTATTGTCGGAGTCACAGCTGTTTTCAGTCTCTGGGAGTTGGAGAAGGTTTTATTTTTAGAAAAGCAAAATTTTAAGCACGTCTGGTCTGTTCAAGCAGTAAAATAGAGAGGCAGCTATTTTAACCACCATGAGATTTTACAAGCTCATGAAATGTGCTTGTAATGTGGAACAGACATTAATGTTCCCATCAAGATCAACCACCAACATCAGATCAAAATTAAAAGGAGACATATTATGCTTTTTCCACTTCCCCTGTTCTCTAGTATGTTATGTATTGGTTTGTGTATGTAAAAGATCTGCAAAGATCCTCTCCTCCACAGAAAACACTGTTCCTGAAGTTCCTGAAATGTCAATAACCCAGGTTAAGATTATGAACCATAATAATCTCCTTTAAATTTATAAGATTGGTAAACACGCTAAACATTGTACCTACTTAACAGTAATGCATGCATATGTTAGCAGTCTGAGTAATGTGCCTTGTAGTCACCTGAAGAACTGAGCCTTTGTTGCTGCAGATCTCTTGGATTGCACAGAGTGGGATCCACACTATAGACACCAGTGAAATGCACCAGCCCAAACATTCAGCCCACAGTGGGTAATTGTACTTCCCATAGTGAACAGGAGTGTACTGGACAATGCTGGAGATCAGAATGCACTAGAAGAAAAGGGAAAAACATTCAAGTCCGATACACAATCTTCATTATTAATGTGATTAATCTGGTAATTCTTGGGCAATAATTAGATTGATTATCTTAGAATAGACAAAGCCCCACCATCACCAACACAGGGCACAGCAGCAGCCAACAGACGCGGAAGTAGATGTTTGGGGTTTTTCCAATCATCCTTTTGATCATTATGGAGACACGTCGGATGCCTGATGGAAAATTACATGTGATGATTTTATACATGTAATGAAACCAGTGCTGATTTCACACTCGAAATAACCGCAAACCACAAAAAAAAAAAAAGTATTTATGTGGTTTGAAAATCAAAGATGTTAAGAATTCCGTTTAAAAATAAACCAGCTTCAGGAAGTCCTGGGGGCTTACAAGTCTAAGCAAGTAGAGGATAAGCAGGATATCATGGTTAGAACTGTAGACTACTCCATGGTTTGAACTCAAGAAATATGTGGATCTTACCAAAGATCCAGCACACAGCTATGACTTCAGAGAAAGCCAAGAATATGAGGGAAACCACAGCGGTGTAGTTGTCCATCAGCTGAAACACATAGATACCTCCCTGTGCACGAAGGGAGGAGAGGAAGACCAAAAAAGGTAAAGACATAAATTACAAAACAAGTTATGTAACTGTTATGTACCATGTCTTTTACCTAATATGTTGCTGTGAAGGGAAGGCGTTTCTTACTGTACCTTTGTAATGTGAGGAATTCCCAAGATGAAGCCAGTGAGACACACACCCAGGGTTATCAGCTCTTCTCTTTTCACATAGGACAGAACTTTGGGTCCAAACTGGTCTTTTAGAAACGCCACACTGACCTCAACTGTGGCAAACTGCAGAGAACACAAAACATTTCCAGACTTTATAACTGTAATACTATTGCATGTGTAGAACTGGTTTTGTTTTTATTTCTCACTTTTAGCCATTCTAGCATTTTGGTTGGGGCTACAGTTATTAGCAAAGGTCTGAGTGAAAGGCTTGGGTTGAACCCATAAGAGCCCAGGCCCATTTCTCCTTAAAGGTTTATTATGGTGGATATTAAACTGACCAAATGGACTGCATGGATCACATTTCTTTTCTTTTTTCAAATACGACCCCTATTGTCAGAGATCTGCATTATATAATATTTGATGTGTTACATTGTAACATTGAATTCATATTTTATTATTATGTTATTATATTTTATTCCATATTTTATTTATTTGTATCATGTGAAAATAATCAGTTTGAAAGAGCAAATATAAAATCTAATTTGTGTTACCAAGCATAAAACTATGTGTCAAAATATTAACTGCGCTGGTTCGGTTTAACAAAAAAAACGTTCTTATTTCACAAAGAAATGCGAGCATGAATGTGCACAGTTGGGGAAGATGTCTTCTGTAATTGTTTTGCCTTCATTAGTTTGGTAAAGGAACAACAGTTTTGAGAAGATTCCTCATGTGTACTTTCCTCTTGACAAAATGAAACCAGTGAGAAACAAAATCTCCTTGATCTCAGGTTTATTGACACATAAGTGTGCAGGGCTCCAGCGTTCTGCTTCGTCCTCCCCCTTTGGTACACACTCCTGTGAGAGGTAGACATGTTTACCTGGCTGTCGAGACCCAGACACAGCAGCATGAAGAAGAACAGAGGGGCCCACAGCTGGGAGACGGGCATGGTTGAGAGGACCTCAGGGTACACGACAAACACCAGACCAGGACCTAAAAACATGATATAACACACAGGCTGTTAGTTCTACAGAACAACAGGTAACAAGATCTGTCTTATTATCCACAGTAGCTTCTACAGTGGCTTCATCCCTAAAGGGTATCTCTTTTTTCTAAATTCATAAAAACAAACATTGATAAATTCCAGATTTCTGGAATTAAACTAATGTGATATCAATGACCTAACCCCCTGAAAAAGGCTTTAAATTGCAACGCAATGAGTTTAATATGACCATGCCATGATTATAAAAGCATTTTAATTGTTGCCTTGGACTTTTCTAGGATTTTTCTATGTCTGCTTGCATCCTATCCAAGGAGCAGCTCAAACAAACTGAAGTGAGCCCAGGAATCGCTCCTAACTTAACAACAACGAATGATGCAAAGTAATGACCAAGCTGCAGGAGAGAGAGGAGGGAAGGTGGTTCAGGTGTCAGGTGACTGTTGCCAGTTAACTAATCATTCACTAATATTATGTCAAGAGTGACTAAACCTGCACGCCATGGGTCGGACCTCCTACTAGATCCATTTACCGTGGCCAAATGTGTAGAAATACCAGTGTAGCATAATGGTAAACATCTAGATTTTATTCAGTAACTTGTGGAGGCATACAGACCAGTTTATTGCGAGGGAGGTGAATGTGATCAGGCCAAACAATATTTTGTAGAGCTCTACGGTCAATAAACAAGAAAGGTGATGAGTGTTGCTGCCAGTGGAGGAAGATGGAGAACATGATACTTTAAACCTCATAAATTATTCATTCAGTGTCATCATATGTTTTCTTTGCTGCACAGTAACACTCCACCCACGCTGCATGCAGACGTCTTAAATATTCAATGTGTGCTGCATTGTTACAATGTTTAATAATGTTTTCATTATTAAGCACAGGTGAAAGTTATTGTTTGACAAAATGATGAAATGATTGGAACTAAATAATAATACATTTATTATGCTACTATAAAATGAGATTGAGACCTGATAAGGTAATATATTTTGTTTGTAGGCATATGTGTGGTGTAATATCAAAGACCATTGTGAAACCAATCACACCTATTTCATCATTGTGCACTCGATGTTCCTTCATTATTACCCCGTCATCAGATGTGAAGAGAACTTGGGGTGTATGTTCAAAAGATAAAACAACATGTCACCAGTGAGTTTCATCAGGGTTGATCGAAGGCTCCTTGAGCTATGACTAAGATTTGAGAGGCCATGTGATATTTTGGTCAATGGCAGCCATGTTTTTCCACCAATTTTGCTAATTGAAAATAGAAATGTGCATCTCAGGGGCTGTATTGTGGCACAGTAGGTGCCACTGCAGAGGTGGTTCAATCCGGAGTTTACATGTTCTACCCGTGTCTGTGTGGGTTGTGTGCTGCATACATGCAGACATGGGTTAGGTGGATTAACTGTAGAATGTCAGCTGGGATGGTTGATGTGATACACTGGTGACCTGGTCAAGGTGAACCCTGCCTCCTGCCATATGACAGCTGGTATATAGATGATGGATGGATGTGCATCTCTGTTCCCCAAGGCTGCATAACACGTTTGGTAAAAATCCAAGAAGGTTCCATTTATTTTACTGTTTGCATTGGGCTATACATTTGAGCCTATGATGTGACCTTGATCTTTGATGGATTTGGAAAAAAAAAAACAATCCTAATGCAGATCTTAATCATAGCCCCATCAACATAGCAGGTTTATTCCAAATGGATTTAAAAACGGCAGCATTCTCATTGTGACAGAGACAGACAAAGGGTTCAGCAACCGACTACAGTGACGTTGCTGCTGTGTGGTTGCATGACTCAAAATAAGCTATTTCTTGTAATTACCTTTAATGAACTGATCTTTGGCTAATTCATTAACTAACCCTCTAATCTTTCACCCACATGCCGGAGAACTGGCAGGAGATGGCAGCAAGAAATCAGCAGTGATCACTAAAGCTCCTTTTCACTGGGAATTCACTTTGGCGTTCAGTCCTGAGTCAAATGAGTCAGGTTTAACCGGCTCCGATCGGCAGTTAGAAACGTGAACGCTTTGTTTTGGCAAGACAGCTAGGTGAGATGAACAACTCAGCTGTGGGTGAGTTTGTGATGTTGACATTACGTCTGTGTTAAAAAAACAGAAAGGCAAATGTCTGTTCTAGCAATGATAAAGGAGTCCATCACCTTTCTTAGCCAAACTAGCGTATACCTGCTGATTTTGGTGTAAAAAAGGTGAAACTCTGAAATGATACTGAGCTACTGCTGCAAGAGGAAAGAAGATGCATTCAGAAAAGTACAGTAAGAAAATGCAGTCATTGTTGATTGGCCAACCATGTCTGTATGCTCATTTAGAATCATTCTGGAGGAGAATTAAAAAACAGAGAGGATCAGATCAGACCACAAGCAAGTCATCATTTGGCTGGGATTCTAACGGACAGAGGCAGTGTTTTCAGCACTTAACTGGATTCTGATCTGAGCCAGGGGCTGAACACATGATGTCTCAGTATTTAATAATGCATTACTGAACTGACAAAGCTCCTGTTCAGATGCTGTTCAAACATCCAGTTACAGAAGCCAAAACCCTTTTTTTTAATGTTGCACAAAGAAGTCCAGCTTTTTCAACCTTGAACCCACACTGCCGACCAGACATGTGCCAGCTTTTTTAAATCTGATTTACATTACATTTGCATTTACAGTACACACAAAGTTGTTTACATGTTGCAGCTGTTTCACTATAATTCATAGGTTAAGCTAAGTGCTTGGTTTAATTGCTATTATAAAGGCAGATTTTCAGGGTAATAAGAAAGAATGCTTCTCTGTAGAGTAAAGGGTTTTGCTTCAAATATGGGAATTCATCTGTGTGTGTAACAAACAGAATGTACATGTACCGCTTGTATATGTGTTGATATTTGTTTTCTTTTCTTTTTTTAAATTTTTGCGTCACTGAATCCTGCGGAGGATCTCCTGCTGTGTTCTCACATCGGCTCCTCCTGCGGACTATATACTACAGGGCGCTAGACAGAGAAAGTCCCCAGAAACTTGGAAGGCTCTGAATCAGACATTTATTATATTATTACAATTAAAAAAATATTTTCCGGAGCTGAAGAACGCATCATATAACTACTCTTACATGGTTTTCGCTGTAAAACCTGCCAGATTGTTTTTTTTAAGAAATTGCCACTATGTTGTCCTCATGAAACCTGCATACTTATTCTGTGCAGACCAACATCTGTGTTTAGTTACATAATGTAAGCAAGAAAGAAATCCTCCCCAGAGGATAAAAATAAAACCAGGGCTTGTATTTGACACTAGAGGTTGGTATCATATTCATACAAAATGTTCATTGTTCTTTGTTTCTGTAACATCTTGGAATGTACAGTATGTATTCCACATATACCCCATGCTATGGTGCTATGGTTTAAATACTTACTATAAAACAAAGCTTTATTATCAATTATCATTCCAGGCTTGATGCTTACCTCCTGTGGCTATGTTGTCCACTGGGAGGTTGTGTATATGAGCCATGTATCCAATGGCTGAGAAGATCACAAGCCCAGCCAGAATACTAGTGAATGAGTTGGTAACTGACACGATCAGAGCATCCCTGGGAAGAGGGATGACAAAATAAGCAATTTCAATCCAGTTTCCAGGAAACCAGAAAAATAACATTTCAGGAAACCAAGCAGCCATTACATCAAGATAGCTGTTTACATTATCTATTCAGGTCAATTCTCTGGAGGATGGGATAGACAAAAACAAAATGTTCAGTCCTTACCTGAGAATGTTGTTGTTGAACTTGTTGTAACTAGCCATCGAAATCATGGACCCAAAAGCTATTCCCAATGAGTTAAACACCTGGGCAGCTGCATTAACCCAAACCTATGATGGAGACACAGGAGAATTAACTTTCCCCGCCGAGGAGGTTTGGTTTTCACCCCTGTTCGTTTGTTGGTTTGTGTGTTAGCAAGATTACACAAAAAGTACTAGACAGATTACTGCGGAACTTGGTGGAAGGATGCAGTATGGGTCAGGGAAGAACCCATACAATATTTTGATGTGGAACCAGATCAAGAAATTAACTTTTTTTAACTTTGGGAGATATAGGGCCATATTTATTTATTGACTGATTGATTGATTTTATGTTTTCTACAGATTGTCCACTGAATAATTCATGGCTCTTGAATAAAAAATCAGGCACATTAGGGGGACTAATTTCCTGCAAATGAATTGATCGTTGAATTTAAGAGGACTGTTGGGCCTTGGCCAAGGTATATGACATTGTCATTCTACTTTAATCTAGTTTTAAAGTGCCCCAGCCTTCATTGAGCAATGTAACAGATTTGTTAAGTATAGTATATTCATTGTTACAGAGACCCACCTCAGATCTCAAATTAAGATTTACATGTAAAGTGTGTTCTGGTGTGTTGAACTATTCTCAATGCAGTAAGTATTCAGTGTTCCCATTCTTGTGGTGCTAAGGAGTCAAGAGACTCCCAGCTGTAGTCAGACCAGACTATCTGGGACATTTCAACCCTCTGCACTGATTTTAATATTTTACTTTGGCAATTTTCCCTAAAATATTCAAAGTCAAATTTTCCACCGATTGACTTGAATTGTGCTGAGAAAGATCAAACATTTTTTGTACTTGTCCTGAAATGACCCTTTTCTCTTTTTTCTCTTGCAGTTCTTGCTTGAGTTGCTTCTGAACCTTGAGCATACGAAAGTCCTCTCATCTCACAACAAAGACTTCAGACTTCATCTAAAAGTTGAAGGCAATGTGTAACCAATGTCCTAAGAATTCACCACCATTTTCATTGACTTATTTATACATTAACACACTCTCACCTTCACTTCAAAGAGTCTGCTCCAGACAGGTGTGATGAAGAACAGGATACCATTTTTGGCCCCAGGAAGCTGCAGGTTATTGATGAGCAGGGCGAACAGAATGAAGTATGGAAATATAGCAGTGAAATACACAACCTGTGTGACACAAAACAAACAATGAGAAGCCGAACACGTGAATGTGTGGGTTTGCCTTGGAAGGTGAGGTTGCGATAGTTTGCAACAGCGAAGGAGGACCCTAACCCACAAAAACAATAACCACCATAACGTATAAACATTTGCTGGAAAGCAGCATAATTCTGACCTTGCCAGTGGATTTGACTCCTTTAAATATGCACAAGTACACAATGACCCAGGCCAACACAAGATAGCCAAAGAGTTCCCAGCGAATGCCACCAACTTCTTCAATGCCATCGGTTTTCTGCAGAAGCTTGTGACTGGAAAAGTAAAAAAAGAAGAGTGAGAATGTAAAATTAACGATTAAGTGATTCAGTCCATATAGCTATGATCAATCTATCAAGCACTCATGATGAAATGACAAAATGATTGGGTGATATTATTGTTTATACCAAAAAACAAAGCTAATGTGGTTCATCAGGACTGTGTGGGAGACCTTTGATCAGATATCTGTATGACACATGCCTAATGAAATAAGCACATGATCCTGCAACAATTTTTATTTTATTTTGATTCACACTTAGCTAAACCTTGACTTGTATTCGTGATGTCGCGTTTTTGTTGCTTAGCCAAACACAGAGAAAAATAAAAACAGAAATCGGGAAAAAAACTAAAACTTTGGAATTAAATTCTGTGTTTGTTAAAAACCAACATCACACAATAACGGGAATCTGATTCAGTTTTTAGGGCCACTAAGAAATTTTGTTCTTTTGTGAGGGCTGCCCGCAGTAAGTGTGGGACTTTTTTTTTAAACAGCTTAAGTGCTATAAATACTGTAAAGACTTAAGTTTCTCACTCAAAGAACTGTTGACTGGCAGACTGGAGGTGGGTGGCGTTGCCTTGGAAACCACTGGAACAGTTCCCCACGACATTCCAAGTGTTGTTGCAAGACACCCAGGGAAGCGTCGCTCCGAACGAGTTGAAGAGATAGTAAAGAGCCCAGCTCATGAGCACATTGTAGTACGTGGAGTACACAAAGGAGAGAACAACTGTGGCCAGACCAACACCTGTTGAGTGATATGCAGCGGGGGGGGGACACACAAAGTGAGAGACGACTCTGGACAAGTCAAGTCTGAAAACTGTAGGGGGAAAAATTGGACACTTGACCTCTTCAACTTATATATATATTGTAAAACTGCTCTCATTGTAGTGAGTTGTCAATGATTTGGGCCCATGATTAAAAGGATGGGTATAATCTAGTCTCCACATAAAGATTGATGACAGAGAAGAGCCAGTGTCTGGGATGTGGCGGCTAAGATGAAGTCAAGCAAACTGAGCCAATGTTAAAAGGGATTCCAGCAGCCATGGATTACAAATTCCACGGTGACATTTGGCTGGTGAATAAAACAGGCTCTTGGCTATAGTGAGCAAAGATGAGATCAAAGTTCAGACAGATTCAATTATTCAGTCTTTTAGCACCTTCTGAGCTGTGTGTCAGGTTTCAGGTTGGGGTGTGTGTGTCTTCATTCTGGCTGCCATGTGTGTATTCAATAGGCATCGGCATCGAGAGCAGGTGCAGCTTCATTAGGAACAGGACTGCTACATTAGAAGTATACGGGAGAATATATTTGACACCATGTGCTTATTCTATATAAACTCTAATTTCTAGGACAAGAAAAGAACTGCTAACTAGTTGATTAAAAAAATGTCACCCCTCTCTCGTAGTAATCATGTAGCTGGAGCTTACAGCCAGTAAGCTAATTTGCTTAGCAGTGTGGGAAAATGGGAGGTTTTTTCACAACCATTGCCGCTGAAAATGTACCTGAAGGCACAAATCATGTTGAAGTCAGACGTTCGTTTGACCTCATGATTTGATTATAAGTTGAATAAATAAGAGCGAGCAGAAGATCAAGCAGGGCCTGCAAGCCCTTATTTTGTGAGCATAAGGTTGTAGCTCTGCAGAAAAAGGCAGCAGTTACTGCACTGACCGACACGCCTTTGTTTTCACTGATATTTGAATTGGTCTCTTGCACAATGTAAAGTGCCTGTATATTTTAAATCTGTTGTTGTTGTTAACGTACACAACGAGTCTAATGTTGCTCCCCAAGGCACCATGCAGTTTTATGTGTAAGACATCTTGACTCAGGAATAGCACATATCCTCAGACTGTTAAATCAACACACTTGAACTATAAAGCACTAAAAACAGGAGTGTAGCTACAAACAACAGTTACCTCAAAACAAACCTATACGCAGTTACAATTGTATCCACACATACAATTCTGTTACATTATGTTTGTCTGCATTCTGATCAACTGATGTGGCAATAATGCAATTTGTGATTTTTAATGAAAAAAACAACAACCTGTTAAATGGGGACATGGACGGGACTATTTCTTGGCTGGGATGAGGAATTTTCTTGAAGTCTCCATAACCCATATGTTTCCAGTCTTTGTGTTAAGCTAACCTAACTGGCTGCTGGTTCCAGCTACATGTTGAGCGTATATACACGTACATCAGCGAGGCATCAAACTTCTCATCTCACTTCCATCAAGAAAGCAAAGAAGCATATTTTCATAACTGATATTGCTGTTCCTGATCTTAAATGTTATCCTTTCTTTTTCTTTCTATCTGTGCAATCTGTGACGTTTGACAGCTAATGACATCCATTTTACCAGTGACGGCAACAACAGCTCCATCCCTGAAGCAAAGGTCTCTCTGCTGTTTTTCAGAGGTATATAAAAACTTTGCCTGCCAAATACATTTTGTTATGTTGTGGAAAGGCTGGAATGCCATGCTCCACTAGATCCAATGTCATTATTTGGTAAAATGGAAGGAAAGGTCGGCTGAACAACAGCTCTGTGTCTACATAATGACAGAGGTAAAGGAAGCCCCTCTGAGCTCCAGGATCAGCTAAACCCACTGGGTATAGTCCATGTGAAGCGCTCCCTCCTTTGTTATGGCCTGTTTGCCTTCACTCTACTCATCTAGCTTACATGGTCGCTCCACTGTTAAACCAGACACCCTACGGGTGGTGTAATGATAGCTCATTTCAAACTGCCAAAGCATATATCACTCTGCTGAAATCAAAAACAAAGCAGATCATGTTAAAATGGTGTCATTCAGTTGGAGCTATCGGGCCTTTCTCAATCTGGACCCTACAACTCCCACCCTATCAGTGTGTTACTTGGTTTGTTTCCAAACTCAGGGTGTACTTCCCTCCGTACAGTGGAAACTGGAACTGTCATCACAGTTTGTAACCACAGTTACTCCTAAATCAAACCAAAGCTTTGCCTTTCTGTAAACATCTTCTTATGATTTTTTTCCCTAAATGTACAACACTTTACTATCAAATAAACATATCTTCCATTTTCAGACCAGAAGAGGATTTATCTGATACATTAATACAATGTAACCTTTATTGACATCTGTATGAAGGTATTAAATGTCTCGCCAAGTTTGAGTAGTTTCAGAGTAAGAGTTTGTTTGGGTGGTCAGGACCCTCCATGCGAAAGTGTGGAAGTGGGAAGGAAAGGTGTGGAGGGGGTGGTTTAGTCTTGAATTCTTTGCTTTTGTCGGGGTCATGCCTCACTGAGATAATTCCTACCTAATTCATGTAACCAGTTGAAATAATACATCCATATATGATTAAGTCTAAAGCAGTAAATGAAACATGAGCATATATGTTGATTTGTCATAGATATTTGTGGGCATCTTAATCACTGATCACAGGTACATCACAGTAAACTGCACTTGGGTTGCACAGGGAAATTATTCAAGAAGAACATACAGAAAACAACTACCTGCTTTTGGCCCTTGTTTAGCACAGTGCAATAACCAGGAAGAAATGAGCGATAAATCAAGTGAAGGACCCAAACGTTTTGACCGGGTAGATAATCTCTGTCTTTAAGGAGATAAGAAAACTATGGAGAAAAATCTTGAGTTAGAACATGAGAAACAGCATTTTCAATTCACACCCACAAGCACTGATTGTTGATGGCTGGGCTCTTGTTTGATTTTGACAGTGGTCCATTTGATGAGCTGCAAAGTGACTGTCGGTGCTCTCTTAGTCCTAGAGTCTACACATCCTTGTTCACTCACATGTTTGATTTTCAATTTGATTATTTACCACTAGATATGTGAGATTATTTTTTTCATGTGCATGGTACGCCTTTGCACAAACCACCCATTGTGCTGAACAACAATTTAACTAATGTTTGCAATTTGATGAAACAACTACTGTCGACTGTAAGAGCACACCCACATTCACCAACAGATCCATTAATTATCATTCAATTGTACAGCATTTGATTATTGGATTTTGGTATAATATCGGTTCATGTTTGAATTATTTGATTATCTCTTTTTTTGTGAATTTAAAATGCTTTTAATGTGCTTTTAAAAAAAGAGGTCAAAAAAGGCACTGATTGTAAATTTTGCTAAACAAGTTCTCATCCATCAACATGTGAAAACAATTAATTTATCACACAGAAAATGCAGATTTGATTACAGACTGAAAAACATGCCTTCACCAGGGTTCAATATTTGACCCTTAAAACATTGGATCTCGAACATCGAACACGCATACATTGAATATTTTCTTCTTTTAATTAAAGAAGTGAGCCCTAGGAAAGCAGTGAAAAAAGAATACCTGTCTCACAATGTGAAAATAATAGAGTCTAGTTCCTTGGTTGGATCCAGGAACACAAATCACAAAGAACTGTTGTGATCAGTGGCAGCTGGTGAGGGAGGTCTGGGCAACATTCCACTACAATAGAACCAAGAGCAAAGAGAAGACCTGGTCCAGAAGGAAGTGAGAGCTGGGGTAGACGAGCTATGTGCAGGCCAGATGGGCTCGGTGATGGACCATGAGCTATAATGATCCGAATTGTGGTAGTGATGGGGTAAGGTTGAAAGAGGAACTCTGGAGCACTTTCTTAGCACCTGTCAGAGAGGGTCACTATTACGAGGGCCACAACCAAGGGCTGAAGCTAATCGCTGAGTTTTTCTGCCACACCATTAACCAAATTAAGCTTCTCAGACCATCAACGACCAGAGTCACACTGAAGAGACCTAAGCAGGCCTTCTTGGAACAGCACGTGACAGGGCAGCTGAGGGTGGAACTGGGAAAGCAACACAGGTTCCAAGAAGACATAGCAGAAACCGCCTTTAGACCAACAGTGTGTCGTTGGAGTCAGGGTGCATACATCAGGGTAAGAATTCAGAACTGCTGGAGGAGTGGTGTATCCATTAAAGTAAGGGGCAGTGGTTTCACAGGAAATTCACTGTGCAATGCCGAAGACCTCACAGGCATCACCAGCGCATGAAAATGAAAAGTCATCAACAGAGCTTCAGAGAGAAAGCCTTGAGGGGTTTGTGGATCAAGAGGGACAACCCGTGGACTAAATCCTCTTGGACAAGGCTGTAACCCCAGTTACTATGACTCATGATGTGTTCAAGTGCATCAACAGATGTCTGTTAGATCCATAATCAAGAGTACAATTTGCTGTAATTATTGTGGAACAAGACACAGGAACTTGAAAGCCGCTGCATTTCAGCACATGGCACATTACCTAACAAAAATATTCTCTGCGTCAATGAAGAAACCCCAACCCTACTCACGTGAGAGCCTTTTGTCTGGAGAGTAACTCACCTTTGAACAAGGGACAAATCTTGTTGAGAGCATGCACTGGTCCTAAACGGGTGTACTGTCCAATAGCAAACTCCAGGAAGAGCAGAGGGATGCCACACAGGAGCACCATGGTGAAGTACGGGATCAAGAAGGCCCCTGAATCAGAAGAGGAGAAGAAACCAGCTGATAGGTAGCTGTCTGTTGCCTGGTTGAGATGGATAAGGTGTCATAAATGCTGTGTCATTGTCTAAATAAAGAATACTTCCTGAATACAACTCCCTGAGTTATTATAATTGGGAAATACATAATTTAATAAAGTGCAACAAATCACTAATAACATGATCGTATTGTGTGGTGACGTATCGGTACAAACTCATTTGGAGGGTGCCAGGTTTTGAGCACAAATGTTTAATAGTCTGTCATGTCATGTATACAGAGCTGGCTTTCTCTTTGTAGACTTACTGTACATCCCTAAACCAAACACACCCCATAACCCTCTTTACTCAGGAAGAATACTCCCTTCCAGCCATTTGTCAGTTATATATTACTTTCCTTTATTGATGGCTTGATGGCTTACTAGTGTGCATCCCCACTTAATAAACAATAAAAGAAGACTGTTATGTCACGGCAAAGAAAAAGGTCATATGCTGAGGCCGTTGCTTAATGGCAGCTAGATAGTTTTAGATGTGAAACCTTGCTGAGTCACTCTTAGAATGCAGTTCCATCCTGTTTGACAGAAAGTGAATTTACCACATCTCTGAACAGGGATTATGAACAAACAGACACTCATTTCTATTGTTTAGAACAATGGGGAGGGGGATGGGTACTTTGGGTGTTTTTTTACAAGTATTATGAAAGTCTAATACTTAATTTATTTCAGCTGCAGCAGCCCATCCACATGCTGAAGAAATCATATTTGAATTCTGTTATATTTGTACAGTATATCTTTATATATTTCCTTCAGGATCAATAAAGTATCTATCTATCTATCCAGCACCAAATCATGACATATACAATGTCAGGGCAGAGAATAGTGTCAAGACCACACAATGTAGTGGAGAGAAATCCATCAGCTCCAACAATGGTTGAGCACTCACTAACAGTGGATAGATAATAATAATAATAACTACATTTTAATCATTGTTGTTGTTATTTAATTAAGCACACATTGAAATGTATTCAGTACTCTCCACAGCCGTTCTGCAGTTCCTTTGTGTAATGACTGTCTCTTCATGAGGAGGCATCGATGAAACGATTCTCGATGCTACAACCTTAAAGGTCATTGTAAAGAAATATATCAGAATAAAAAAGGAAAAAAATAAGACTATTTCATTTTAAACATGAACACATCCCAGCACCACCCTCATCTGACACATGCAAAGCACAGCAGCAGTCACCCCAGGTGAGAGCCTTGTGTGTGGGGCAGCCTGAGAGTCTCACCGCCGCCGCTGCTGTAGCACAGGTACGGAAACCTCCACACGTTGCCCAGCCCCACCGCGTAGCCCACCGACGCCAAGATGAACTCCAGGCGGCTGCTCCACGTGGGTCTCTGCGGCTCCGCATTCCCGGTCTTCTCGGCGATCCCTTTGAGATCCAGAGGTTTCAGAGCCGCGTGGTCTCTCTCATCAGCTGCTGCCTCCGTCTGGTCGACCTTCATCGTGGCTGGGGATTAGAGCAGAGTGCTGGGTTTAGTTGCTATTCTCAGACGATGCTGACAATTACGCAAGACACGGAGAATAATAACTGTATATGTATAGAACCGCGCCGAGCAGCGAAGTAAACGCCGGGTCTTTGTGGATAATCCTGCAATCAGCTCTCTGAACGATGATTATCAATAAAAGACAATAACACACGCCATTTAGACGGCTCCATTCAAAGCCCTTACAACACAATGGTCATTCAAAACCCACCGCGATCTGCTCCCAGTTCAGTCACTAAATTGCACTGTGACATAACTGCATATGCTCTTTTCCATCCGCCCTGGTTGGACCACTCAAACACACAGGGAGTGTTTGGGATACGCCTTTCACCAAAATAAAAGCTGACCGGTGGCTCGCTCTGTAAACATCAGGCGTCAGTGAGGAAGTTTCAGTTTGATTGCATTACAGGCAAACCACATTGATTTTGCACATCGCGTTGTTTCTGTTTTCGCTTTGAGCAAGACTCGTTCAGCTGCAGGAATGTTTCTTTTTTTTTGTAACAAAATGATATCTTGATTAAGTTTAGGTTGAATGTTTGGTTTTTATTGACTTTGTATTCGACCATAAAGCTTTATTCTGCTGATGTTTGTGTTCCTCTTATATTTTCTTTTCTTTTTGTTGGAAACTGTTTTTTATTATGTGGGCAGGTACAACTACATACAATTGACATTTTTGTCCATTGTCTCTGTTACATAACCCCCTTCCGCTTTGCAAAATACACAAGTCAATACATAAATAATTAACTTACATTTTGAAAAGATTAACAAACAAAACAAACCCTTACTTTCCATACCTCCTTTTACACAGTAAGGGTCAGGTCAGTGGCAAATTGTTGGTAATTGTTGTTGGGTGTTGTATAGGTGGTAATTCGTCCTGTGATGACTGTAACCTAACTATGGAAGGTTTCTGCAGACATTCGGTGAAAATATATTTGTTTAAAAATGCAAACAAAAATAAACACATGTTTATATTTACGTAAATATCAAATCACCACAAACAAATGGATACATAAACAAATAAATAACCCCCGGTTACAGGCAGTATTTCGGTATATAACTAAGTATTAGTTGATTGTAAAGTGTATATATAAAATAGTTCAACTGTCATTTGCAGTAAGTGTTGTATTTAACCTCATTTTACCGTAAAGTGAGACTGAAGAGCGTTATAGCTCTTATGTGGGCAGAGAAAATGAAAAGAGTTTGTTGCTTTTATTTTGAAGTGCAGTGTGGTTTCTATAGATGCTGTTGGTGTTGGTGATGCTCAGTACGGACCTACAGTGATTCTCAGCAGAATTACAACCACAGACTATAAATACTCCTCTGCCCTCCTGGGGGAAGTCCTTAAAAACAAGACATTTGACTGGATCCAACCACACCCACAGTAAAACGCTGGGCTTTCAATGCAGTCGAATGTTGTGTGTTGTTAACTGGCAGTTTAGCTGCAAAGTTGATGGTGTCCTATTACTATGGGTCTGTGGTTGTTTCATTCATAACACTGAAACATCTACCTCTGGCCACTGATTGGACAGCTTCTTTGACCAATCATTGGAATCCTCGGCCATACGTCACTGTTGCGACTGTGGGAGTGTATGTAGATGTTTGGTTCTGTAAGAGCAGTGTCACACTCTGATGAGAAATACACGGTGTACAAAGATTTCATCAGGTTTGATTATTGGCTTCATTCCTTGTTAGTATATCGTTTATTGAAGCTTTACCACAGATATGATTTACAATTAATAACAACAACATCTGGGAAAAACCTCCTCCAGGGTGACACTTGCATTCATCAGGGAGATCCCCTCCATGGCAACAAGCCTGCAGTTATACATGTTATTCATCAACAAAGGATATAACCAAGAGTACTGATAAAGGACAACCTTATTTATACAGTATAATAAATCTATTCAAGTCAATAAAGCGTTTTAAAGGGGATTCTGCAATAATCAGTCAAGTCTATAGATGTGTTTTCTCACTGAGCTGTTTATAAATACATTTTTATCCAGATGTTCTGCAGCCCTCTTCCAGAAGATGGTCAACAGTCCCTTAGAGAGATCTCAGTAGAATATATAAAGACAAACGTTGAAGATGATCTTACAAAACCTGGCAACCCAAAAGTTGTTATTTATGGCTTATAATAGAGTGTTAGTAAATGGTATATTAACCACAAATAAGGGCTCATGTGAACCATTGATAAATTATTCCTTGTTTATTTGTAAAGTTTGGAATAAACTTTCATGATTGCCTCTCAAAGATCTGCCAGGTTGTTCCAAATGTTTTCCTTTTAAATTTTGAAATGTGCCTTTAAATTGTGGACACCCAATCAAATAGAATGCTCACATGAATTATTTCCCTTGAAGTATTTTATGTAAGTATATGCAAACAAATGCAAACTGACTTTGCATGCTGCTGGAAACTTGTTGCACCGACTGTGCTGACCTTGGGGGTTTTGCCTGTTTGTGCCTCATTGAAGAGAAGTCTTTTGGCGAAGTGAATCACAGCTGAAGCTATGTTACAGCTGAGAGGGGTCTTAAAGGAGGAAACTTCATGTTTCTGAAAAGAAATGGCTAATTTATTTATGATAGACTCATAGTGGCATTTTGCTTTTGCATAATTGTTTTTAGCTATTGCTTGTATATTTTTTTTATTTATCAGTTTCTTTTACCACTACTTTTAACAGTTTTTAATTAATAATAATAAATAATAATAACTGGAATTTATATAGCACCTTTTCAGGGGCACAAGGACCCTACGTGTCTGTCGAAAAAAGAAAAAAGAGGAGAATAGAAAGTAATTTAAACAAAACAGGACAGAAATAGACTGAGCACTAATGACAGGTTGGAGCCAAAGGCCTCAGTGATGGCCTCTGGTGGTGGTAATGCTGTATCATGATATTTAATGTGCTTAATGTCATGTGCTTTTGTTAAGCACTTTGTAAAGGCTGTTTTGATAGGTGCTATGTGAATAAAGTTATTCTTTTTCTCATTCTCGTTACTCGTATTCTTATTCCCACATAGGCCCTCCCAATTTACGACAGAATAGAACCACCTCTCAGCTTAAAGTAGTACAGTTCATTTTAGGTGCGAAACCTTGCTGAGTCACTCTTACAACACAGTTAAATACTGTTTGACAGAAAGTGCATTTATTACATCTTTGTACAGTGATAATCACAAACACGAAGTCATTCATTTATTGTATAGAACACTCGGGGGGGGGGGTACTTTTGTGTTTTACAAAAGTTATGAAAGTTTATTATTTAACTTACTTCAGCTGCAGTCAGGTAGATTTAGCTCATCTGGTCTGACTATATATTACACAAGCTGGTGGCATTCAGTCTGTGTCTCTCTTCCCCATGACTCCCACACCATTTATTGTTTTGGTTGTAATCTCATTTTTACATAATTATTTTTCTAATCCTTTAAAATAAACTTACCTTTAGTTCAAACTCATGTGTGGTCTTCCTTACTTTGTTCATTCTTGAGCTGGGTTGTGAAACAACACATTCAAGACCAAACTGTCATTTAAGATGATGAAGATCCCTTGTATATGTTTGAAGGTCTTCCACCTTAGTTCAGTTGCCAATAACAAGACACCCTCTTCTAACGCAGGCCCGCCTGGGAGTGTGTCTCTAACATCTTGTGGCCTGGTTGGGATCTTTCGTCCTGATCCAGAGGGGGATTGACTGCAGTGTTCTGCAGTGCGTGATGTTTTGTGATGTGTTTTCTATGTTTCTCTTTGAGCAACCTGATGGTGGATATTGGAATAAAACCCCTGCAGCTGACCTCCACAGGGCAAAGTATTTCCAGCCATGTTTTCTTGCCTCAGGCGACCCTTGGGTTCTGACTATGGTTCTGACAGGCTTTTAATGGTTCAGTGTGTAGGATTTAGTGATACCTAGTGCTGAGGTCACTTTCCCCTTCCAAAAATGAAAGAGAACCTGTGGTAGCCTTCTGTAGAGAGGACCTGCTCCTGATGTAAATATAAAGGGCCCATTTTAGGGTAAAGACATTTTTTATATACATATTAGATGATTACACACTAGTGAAAACATCACTAGGATTATTTTGTATTCATTTATACCAATAGATCCCTTTCACCAGACCACAATATTAAAACAATCAAATAGATGAGATTAAAATGGCCAAAGTTTAGAGAGAATGAAATCTGATGATCACTTGCAAGAATAGAGAACAGAGAGAACGAGCATGTAGGAGGAAGGAAGTGGAAAGTGTAAGGGGAAAAGAGGGCTGAGTGGAGAAGGGAGGCAGGCGGAATAAATGAGTGATTTGGGAAATACCAATTGAGGTGTCCATATGAAATAAGAGCAGATCTGAAAGATGGAAAATTGAAGGGTGCACTGAGAGAGAAGGGGTGAAGAGAAATAGTGAAAGCATATTGCTGGAATTTTAAGAAGAAATACTCCAGAAAAAAGTAGTGCTGGGACACATGATATACACCATAGTGTAGCATATGGAGGATGTGAAGTAATGAGGTCAGGGTACAAGACAGAATCACATATGCAGATGCTGTCAAGATGGTGAACCAGAGGAGAGGTAGAGATTCAAGATACCCAAATGAAGAACAACACATTCAATAACAAGAACAACCAAAAGAGGGCAAAGTGTGGAATGGTTTAAAAAAAACTAGTCACTTTTATAGCAGAATGCATAAGTGCTCCAATGGAAAGCAAATCAAAAACTGAAAGAATACAAATAATAGTAAAAGCAGCAGCAAATCATCTGAAAATTAATGAACTGACATGGGAGGAAGTGACAAATGATCCCAGTGCACAGGCAAGCCAAGAGGCAGCATGGGTTGGATAAAAACATGGTTTTAATATTACAATGGAATGGAAGGAGTTTGGTGGTAAATGGACAAGAGCTTAATAACTTCAAAAATCAGTAACCCAGTATCCCAAATTGTTTGTGTGCAAGAAACATGCAACAAATCTGGATTTTAGAATCCTCCTTATACTGTGGTTAGGTGAGACAGGGTAGAGGGGGTAGGCTTTCTTTAAAACTAGAGTTGTTTTTTGTGTGTGTATATTTGGGTCTGAAAATAAAGAGGGGAACAAAAAACAATCTCTCCCACACTCCTTGCAGTTGCTGCAAGAAAACGAGGAAGAAGCAGCAGCAGCAGCAGCAGCAGTGCGGTCGCCTCGACAGTAGATGGCGCTGCTGTTATTCTCTGTCGCTTTGGGCGCAGACGCCGCTCCTCTCCTGTTTCCAGGTGCTGCTCTGGTCCCTCCCGCTCTCCGTACAGGAATGTGCGGAGAGCATTACGTCAGTTCAGGCTTCCACAGGACAGAGAGCACCTCCGCCCGCTGCTCCTCCGCTGCTCCTCCGCCGCGGAGCCTTTTAAACCCTCTCTGTGTTTTCCTCTGGTCTCCTGTCGGGAGTGTGTGAGTCTCGGTCGGACAACGGAGAGGAATGAAGCCGTGTCGCAGCTCTCCTGCTTCACGACGAGAAACTAGAGACAAAATCTGAAACTCGACGAGACTCTCCGAGAATAGATGGAGGGACCAGAAGGTGAGAGAGACTGTACAAACATTACGTGGAGTCTGTGGAGTCAATGTTGTATTCTCAATGTTTTTCACGCGGTGACTTCAGTACGCAGGCTACAACATACCTGTCGTTGTATCCTCGCTTTCCCAGAGTTTCACCACTTGCTCGTGTTTGAACGCTAATTTAACCCCGTGGTTCTTCTCCGGGTTGAAACAGAGACCTAATGTTGTTGTTGTTCTCTCCGCAGGTTCAGATAATTGCTTGTGTGTGGGCTGTGGAGGAAAAATCCAGGACTCGTTTCACATGAAAGTCCTCCAGGACATCTGGCACAACGCCTGCTTTCAGTGAGTGTCTGCCCTGAGCCTGCCTGCACACTACACCTCCTCTTCTGTCGGTCTGAGCAGCAAAGCGTTTTCATAGAAAGATGAGGGCAAACACTTTGCATTGACATGGGTACAATGGTGTTACGAACAGTCGTGTGTACTTACAAATGGCCTGGTGGATGATCCCAGAAGCTTCTGCCGTGTAGCATGAACATGGGGTTGGGTTTTCTCTTTTTCAAACAATTCATCTTTGTATTAGAGGCTCCCTGCACAGTATGCACCAGGTAGGATGTCATCGCTGCACTGTCACATCTTTACAGGCCCTCTGCATGGGGACAGGCCGGGCTTCCAGAGAAAAAGAGTCAGTGAAGTGGGGCTGACCCTCAGGACTTTGACCCTCAGCTTGGAGGCTTAATGATTTCCACACTGGAGCTGATGTGAGCTCTCTGCTTTTCTCAGGTCCCCATACTGAGATGAGTCTGTGTGAGGAGGGCAGTTAACCTGCGGCTGGACACCAACATGATATAACCTTCAGGGGTTTCTCTTTGGTCAGCAGTACTGTAATCTAATGTGAGATAAGATGGTTCAGCTGAGGACGCTCGTTGATCAAACTGTTGTGGGTCATAACTGACTTCATGACCCCATCTGTATAATAGTAATTATATATATATATATATATATATATATAATAGTAGAGCATATACCTCTGCCAAGGCCCAACAGTCCTCTTATGAATCTATATGAAAATTAACTACACCTGGATTTTTATTTGGTTCCGCAACAAATTGCTCACACACAAATTTTTTTCCATCAAGCGACGAAAATGTGGAAATTCACCCTATCGGGCAAAAGTAAATGAATTGAACTCAATTCTAGGATCTTTACCAAAATGTGTTGACTTCGTCCCAACCCATACCACATCCTTCCACTGAATGTCCTGGTAATTCGTTCAGTAGTTATTTTGTAATCCTGCTAACTAACTTACTAACTAACTAACAGATGAATGAAGGTAGACAAAAACATAGCTTGGTGGAGAGAATAAAAGAGTGTGTCCAACAGTCACCATGCCAATCACTAGACACTAATATTATAAATTGGATGAGTAACAACTGAGTGTCTGAAACCGAATGCAGCTGACTGGAGCACATTGTCATTTCTCAGAGCTCACCCAGAGTTTATTCAAAAATATTTCTTCTTTTAATGACTGGAATCTGGCTCTGAAAGGTTTTCTGCAGAGTCCTTAAAGCTCAAAGAATAGAGAAAATCGAACGCTGACTATGTTGCCAGTTTCTGACAACTGAAAAAGATCTCTTTCTGGGTTTTACGCCAGTAGCAGCGTCCTTACATAACCTGGGATTTCACTCTTTTCCTGCACTGACTCCTCTGAAATGCATATGACTCCTTGAATCATCTCAGGCAGTTTCTGCTGTTATTGCGATACTCACTATTGATCCTCTCCCTTCTTCAGTGACACTCTTAAATATTTAGATATTAGTTGTTTTTCATGCCTCTGGATCCCATTGCTAATACATGTGCTGCAGTTTGTCTCTCTGAGGTTTCAAACTTCTTTTTTTAATATAAGCTGTGACGCTCTAAACACAGCTTGCATTTTTTGCAAGGCAATTATTATGCTTAAAAGGCTTAATCCCTGAGGTCTTTAAAGAAATTCTACAGTCAAAATAAAATATCCTTGTTAGTGCAGTACCCTCAGAAGTGTTTCTATTGTCCATTGTCCACATTCTGCCACGCAGGCCTCCATGTACCTCCACCTTGTGTAGCATTCTTACAAGCTGAGGTCACTCTTGTTCCAGTAAACCTGGCAGTGTTGATGATTCCTATAGGTAACAGCACGCTCGACTCCGCCATGTACTGCATTCCTAGACAGCGATTCAGAGGCATGAGCACACTGTGTCAGACACTGACAAACAAAGTTGGATTTTTCCCACGTTGGATTTCACTGGAGGTGTGAACTTAGCCACAAAAAGAGTATTGTATGTCATATTGTTTTCTTCAATACTGGATCAGAGGGATATTTAGTACTTCTCATCTATTCCCTCAATTCGTTTCTCTGCAGGAAATCATTAAATTCCAGATATACGGGAAATTTGAGAACATATACTGTATATCCACAGAAAAAAATGATATTGCTCGCTATCCAATTTTGGATTTAGTTAGTTCTATAATGCTATAAAAACAGGGTAAAACATCAAGATTGACTGCTGGGTGGAGTGCATGTATCGACCTCGCTACCACAGATGGCGGCATTCGTATCTGGATATTTTGACTTCATTTCTGGATAGTGGGAGGAAGTGGAGATGCGTCTTCCACCTTTATATATTGATTGAGTTCAAAGGTGACTTTAAACATGTCATCCAATATGAACTGCATTAACTACACACTGTCCCTCTTTTATAAATCCAGAAATTATTGTGTCTCTTCTTGTAGAGAAATTGTTGTGAAGAACACTGCGAACCGAACAGTCAAACACCCTGAGACAAGCTCTCACTGAAAGTAAAATACTCACCCTGTGGTTCTTCAAGGCCACTACAAACTATCTCTACTTCATAGTCCGACAGAAGAATACACTCCAGCAGGAATGTGGATTTAAGGAAATGAGTAATGTTTACTTTGTAGTGTTTGTGCAGGCCTGACCATTGTATTGTTCATTGAAGAACCACCTGAGTGTAGCGTGCCCGCCCCCCATTCACCAGCGTGTGAAGAATGAAGTCAGGTGTTTTTATAAGCGGCCCTGCATCACTTTATCTGGACATATTATCGCGACATAATTGACAATAATTATAGTTTTGTCATGGAATGCTTTTTGTTCAGAACAAGGCGGATGAGGTGGAATTTTTTTGTTTTTCATGCCGCACCTGGACAGACACTGAAGTTCGTACATGATGCATGAGATTAATTGCTGCACTTTTGACTTTTTATTTCTCTTCTTACCAGACAATACGAATTCTGATACTCCTTTACGTAATTCTGCATCCCGACCGCGTGACATCTTCACACAAACATTTTATCAGATGTTTGGCCTTTAGTGCAGCTGTGGCCACAGCAGCACAGTCAGCTACCATCACTCATGAAATATTTTACCTTAACAAATATTCAGCTCCATTTCCTCTCATCATGTCACAGTGTGATGAATCAGGCAGGAGTCCTTGTTAAGTTGACCTCATGTTCATTGTTTATATGTTTTGCTTTCATCTGTGATGACCGGGCTGTTTGTCTTTTCACATATTTGTCATAAGTCTATTGTCATTCATGTCACTTGATGTTAAAGACTGAAACATCGCCCTGCCTTCCCCCCCACACTCATAGACTCACTCACAGACATGTGGTCTTCTCTCTTTCTTAAGTTATGCCAGAAAACTTTGAAATATCTGAACCCTTTGCCAAAGTCAATAAGCCTGGATCAACTATACCTGCAGTGCAGAGAGCAATGTGATGCATGAGGCTCTGCTGAAGGCTGCTGCCGGCCCTTCAGTGAAAGATTAAAAATGCATTAAAATCAGATTACCTCTCAAAATAATATGTCCAACATGTCATTTTATCATGCACACGGGTTGTGTAAGAGGTAAATGTGATATTCCTAATATCATCACAGACATTGGACTTGATCCGTCAGAGAGTATTTTCCAAAATGGCAAAAGAGTCAGCAGAGCTCTCACAGTCACGTTTAATTAAATGATATCTGTGAATTAGAAATAGCTGTTAACCAGGAAGTGTCAGTCACTGTAGTCAGTCCTGAACTCAACCTCTGTATTAATGGGTTAAAAGTCATGGGGACTGTGTTGCATTCCTATTCAATGGCAAAACCATGTCCAGACAGTAGTGACAAATCTAATTCATTGTAATTTGTGTGCCTGCATTTCATCACCTCAATCCGGAGCCTCCTCCTGCAGCTTTGCTCAAATTACCTAAAAACCAAGGTGAAAAAAAGGCAGTCTGAGCATTTGCAAACTCTGAATGGCAGCAGCTGCTTTAAGAAAAATAAACTGGGCTGCAGACATTTCAGTAACCTAATCTCTGTCGGAGTGGCTCATCCTTGATTGTATTCTGGCTGTCGAACCTGCTGCCACCATTTTGCATAACCAGTGCAGCTTGTTTGAGAAACACTTGTGGCCTGCAGGTGCTTCCCAGTCTGCTGGCAACTTCAGCATTCCTACTCTGAACATTTTGTCCCACAGATACAGCCGTAAACATTGCCTTCATTTGCAGAGTATCCTCTGAGGTGACAGCTTGGATCAGTCAGCAGCCTGAGTGGTGTTATTGGAATTTAAAGGGGAAAATATTTTATTTAGTAAGTGTTGTATTTGCAGAATTGAGAAATGTGTGTAGGATACCATGTATTTCAGGTTTCTGACTTAATTTAACACCTTTGACCACAAGGTTGATGGGAAGCTTTATTATGTACAGTGGCCTAAATACTGAGAGGTAAAATCTGCTCAAAAAAGAACCAGATGAGGACTTCACTTGGTAATGTGCTGAGGCTAAAAGCCCAATGTCCCTATAGAGTCTACCGTGTGTAAAGGCATGTCAGATTCTCTTTTCTCATTCTCCCAGCAGCAACGAACAAGGTATTTACACCTTTTGAAGCACATAGAAAAGTACACGCTGTGATTGTGAACATGCCCCCAGCTGATGTTCCTTCCTATCCCATCCAACCTTAAGTTAAAATGTTTCTCGTCACTGTGATGGTATCTATGTGATCTCTCTCTTTCATTATTCAATACTGTTCACTGGAAAACGATGTATGGAATATGAGGAATGAGTTTGACCTACTTTGCACGACGGTTTAGATGTTTAACTTTTACCAAACTGCAAATGCCTCTCTGGATTTTTCTGTCTCTGTGTTTGTGCTGCTCTCAACTTTTCCCTAATTCAGTTCCTAATACTGCGGATCTGTTAACTTTGTTTTTGACAAATAATGAGTTTGTTTTAAAGTGAGAATTTGACATTAAATTAAATTACAATACTAAACATTTCCTTGCCATGGCGTCTCTAATGAGGCTTTTTCTTTGATTTATTTTATTTTTAATGATAGAAAGGATATTTGAAGGTTATATTGTTTAGCTCTCGCAACTTGTGATGAAAGATTCATAGATTAATCTGGAATTACAATTGATCAATATACTTTCATGCTTTATATACAAGAGGATCATCTTAACTTGTAGGGACAGAATTGAGACAAAGTGTTTGACAGAGTTATTATTATGATAGCAGTAGAATCATTGCTTCATGAGAATCTTTCAGACACCCACACACCTTTGAAATCATCAAGAGATTTGAAATAAAACACCAGTTTTTTTTGAGTTTCCACCATCTTCTCAAAGATGCCTCTGAGTTAATAAACCCCCCTGAACGCCCTCATCTCTTCTTCTTTCTGCTCTCTTTGTGTATTTGGTTAAAAAATGTGACCTGCTCTGTTTTTTTGTCCTCACAGATGCTCCGTGTGTTGTGACCACCTGACTAACTGGTACTACGAGAAGGATGGAAAACTGTACTGTCGCAAACACTACTGGGAGAAGTTTGGGGAGCTCTGCCACGGCTGCTCTCTGCTCATGACTGGACCTGCCATGGTATGTCTGCTGCTCCCACTGCTCAATGCTGTTACTCATCAGCAAGAAATGATTGAGGCAGTGCCAGTCTTTGCATGGTTAAACATAAAATCTTATAAACCTCTTTCTCAGTTATCCAGTTCATTGTTATTTAATAAGGGCAACTGGATTGGGTTTTAGATACTTACAGTCATTTTATCTCAAGTTCTTTAGTGTATTTTCTGCCTTAAAGATTATATGTTTGTAACAGAAATCAAAGTTACAAACTGGGATTGGGGCATGTAGAACACAGACGTCAACATTTTCCACCTAGTAAAGTGGGCATCCTGCATACGAAGACTTGAGTTCTCCTGCAGCGGCCATGGGTTCCCTTCCAACCTGGCCCTATTCTGTCTCCTCATTTCACACTTACTATCCTGTCTATAAAGGCAAAATAAGTCCTCCAGCTTTATGGAAGTAGTATATTAACTCGCCGGAGTACGCTTTAAAAATGTTTTATTCAATATTGATAATTATCATGAAAATTATAATTTCTTTTAAGTTTAAAGACTGATGTTTACTCCTGGATGAAGGTGGTGGTTTTAAAGTCTTCATTAATGAGCAGAGATTGACAAAGACTTACAAATTTGAGGCAGAACATTAAAACCAATCATGTTATACTTACTCACTGTGTTTGCAAGATGCATAAGCAATACATCAGTAAATAATGAACTGTTTTTTGCTTTATGAAAGTTATATTGCAATAAATATTGTTATTATTGTAATTCCCAGCCCTAAATCCAACACTGAATTAAGACGATTAGATCACTGTTGCTACATGTGATTACCAAGTTTCAGAGTCTGCCTTGTTATGAATCACATAACAACTGCTAACAGTCCCCCCCCCCCCCTGTACTTAAATAATACCAGAGTGCCCACAGAGCGTGTCAGTGCTCTGTGTGTACCCGAGTCTCTCCGCTGCTCCACATTGATAGTAACAGGCGTTAAAAAAGCAGGGGGGGGTATTTTGGCAGTTACAGCTGACTGATACTTTACATAGGCTGCAGTTTAACATAGCACATTTAACCTTAGACCTCACTTGTGAATTAGTTTCCCTCTATGAGGCCCCTCGCTGTTCCCACTCTGTACTGACGCTCTCCATAGCTCACTTCCTCCACCGAGATTCTGGTGGGAAGACTCTCTAACATGAGGTGGTTTTTAGGAGCTCATCATGTTGAGTCATCTGTGGTGGTGTAGCTCTAAAAGATATTATCCAGTCTATTACTCATATTATGTATCTGTGCTGACAGGCTCTCAGAGATCTTTTGTTAAAGCATGAGGACATAATACATTCTTCCCTCTATAAAATAAAAGCTTAATTTAAAAACACTGCAACTGCTCACTTTTGCCCATTAGCTCATTGGCTAATGCTGCAAACTTAAGCTAGATATTATATGTCATTGACTTTACTGTGTCAGCTCAGTCAATTTTATGACTCCTCTCTAATTCTGCTTCTGCTATGCCATTGTTAAAACATCCTGTACCTGACAACTGTGGCCACGGTTCGGCAGAAGTTATAGTCTAGCTATAGAATAAATACCAGTTTTTATGTTTGTCCTCATTTCCAGCACCTCACTGTCCTTGTAAAGTTCCAGCCAACTGAACAGTCTGTTTAGTACATAGCAAACTTAACTATTCTTTTTACACGGATTGGCTGTGCCCTCAGGCCGACACAGACTCAGTAGAGCGCATTCCTCCGCCAAGGGCCAATAGTTCCAATGAAGCCACATCACAGTGCACACACTCATAGAAAGCATTTGCCTGAACATGCCTGATTTTTTAAAGAATAAATCTGTGGTAAATCAATGAAAATTAAAGATAGTGCCTTATCTGGCAATGTAATAGTGAGATAATGGGTTCTTCCCTGACCCATGCTGCATTCTTCACCCACGTTTAGAGGAATAGTTTTTGCGTAATCTTGCTTACAGACGAACACAAAACCTCTTCTGAGGTAACCAGATAAGACTAATCTTATTTGATTCAGTCAAACAGAGGGCAATGTGTATTTGAACCACATCCTATATGGTAAAAGTTATACACTGAGTCGAGATAGACTTTAAATTACCAGGGACTGACCGTAAACATCAAGTCATTTTCTGGCAGCCATCTTTTATTGTAGCATCTACAAATTGAAACATGGGATTCAGGTGGCAGCAGCTCTTGCTGGTCACAACTGGGGTCACTTGTCTAACATGGAGCCAGACTGAAGTTTTTTCTTTTTGCCACCAAGCAACAAACATAATGGACTCTTCTATTTAGTATTGGCATCCAGCTCCATCAGCCTGTGAAGCCAAGTGTTTTTGGCAGAGCTGAACTGGCATAGCAGCATCTCAGCCAGAAAGAGAATCATTGTGGTGCATCAGCAGAGGAGGGTCATGCAGAACTGCTGCTTCTTGTTAGGCGCTCAAGTCCACAACAGTATTATGTTTGTCCAGGTTTTTTCAGTGCATTGATTCACTGAAGATGGTTGTTGTATTTTAAGATACTTGTTGTGTCTCAGATTGGACACATCAGTCACTGCACTCACAGATAGTACTCTGTGTACACACAGTGTACTCACTGGCATAGTGCGTGATTACCGAGGCGTGCACTCACCAGAAATGTGGATCGAACATGACCATGATTGTTTCATTGCCAAAACTCTACATTGATTGCTTTGCTAACTTCGCTTAAAATTTCAAGTTTTACTTTTCTGACTTAAAGGTCCAGTGTGTAAGATTTGAGGTGAAGGGATCTATTGGCATAAAGTTCTTGTAGAATAATACTCATGATGTTTCAATAGTTCGTTTCATCTAAACTGTACAAACTGTATTTTTATTTACCCTAGAAAAGCCCATTTATAATTAAATACTTTATATTTACACGGAGGGTGTCCTCTCTACAGAGGCCGCCATGTTTTTTACATTAGTCAAGACTGGACAAAGAAAACATCTTTTGAGTTTTTATGACAACTGAAGGCCGCCACAGGTAATTTTTCATGTTTGGAAGGGGAAGGTGAGGTGAGGGATGTTCAGCTGCAACATGTAACTGCAACACTCGATATCACTAAATTCTACACACTCTAACTTTAATGTTCTCTTTCCTCAACCCTCATGATCATGACAGTTGAGGGTGAGAAGTCTCCGTCCGTTTACGTTCATCTTTTGACCATTTTGAGCGACATTGTTTCCTTATTTTTTCAGATGAACAACAAAAGCACTCAAAAGTATGAAAGCAACTGTTTACGATCACCTTGTCTTGTAATTTCTGTTCTTAGTTTTCCCACCCGGATTCATTTTCTGCCTCTCCAAAATGAGTCCCACTTAACTTTGTTTTTAAGCTCCGTCTTGCTGTTTAAGCCTGAGGCAGGTTGTGACTGTGGTTGTTGGCGTGGAAGCAGGTGTCACAATGATTTGGCTGACATCACTTTAATCTCGCCATAGCAGCAGGGAAGCCTTCCCCAGCTTTGACTCACTGACTCACAGCTGTGGGAAAAAAACCTACTAAACACTGTTTGTAACAGTGGTTCTGTAAGCATAATATATATTGATACCCAATGAGTGACAGATTTATAAGTAGTTTTAGTAGAACAAAAGACAACAGAAGGAAACTTTTTAAAAATATTTTTATTAGACCCTTAATTTTTAAACGTATTCTCTTACAATGATGCACAAAAGAAATGGAGCAGCTGCTCACTGCTGGAAAACATTAAAACAAACTAACACTGGTGGTGTAAGAGCTTTTGGAAAAATGAAGTAAACAAAAACAATCACTATATTTGAAAAAAAAAAAAAAAAAAGCAACATCAACGCTTTCTCTTTGTCAACTAAAATTGGCAGCTGCTTCTTAAAGTAACACATTGACACATCCAAATGTGGTTAAAAAAAATAGCTAAAATGGTTTTCTATGAGATTAGTGTATCGTACAGACAGGGAGGTTTCAAAGTCTGAGACTGTGAACCTCCCTTGGAAATTTCCTCCTCCCTCCCTCCTTTACTGGCATAAATTCGCTAATTTTTTTGGGATGCAAATATGATTATTTTATTTGATCATTTTTATGGCTAACAGTTGAGCAGTGATAGAGTAATCTTACTGTTTGACATAATTTCTTTTGCAAGTTTCTGACTCTTAGAAAAGTGATTAAACGGTAAAAGTTCCAAAACTACTGTTTTTCTTAACTATATCTGGATGCTACCTGCACACATTTTGGCTTTATACATGCTCTATTTTTGCCACATAATGTAGTATCTTAAATATAAAAACTGAACATTGTTAGTTTGTATTATGGAAGGTGGAAACAGCATCCTGAAATTTTCATTTCTCGCCTAATCTCCACATCATTCAGGTGCATGAGTAGATTTTCCAATGAACCACATTAAAATGACAAAGTTTTTGTAACTTTAGTCTCATGATTGAAATTGAACTTATGCTTTTTCATGCTCAGGTGTTTATAAGTTAGATCACCTGCTCGCTGGAGGACATGATCTCATCTTGCATGAGAAGTAGAGGAAAGAAGCCTGATGACATGGGAGTGTGACTAATTGCAGAAAGGGAAATCGAGTGTCAGATGTAGATGAGACTTGAAGATGATAGATTGATGGGAGCGAGAACGTCGGCAAGATGAGCAGGGGGAGGTGACATCATAGCAGATTCCAGACAGACTCAGAGTCAAGCAGGTGTTGCGACTGTGTCACTGCTGACAGTGGGAGGAGGGCAGAAAACAAGCACGCAGCACAACACACTCGTCTCTGAAGAGCAAAGCACAGCGCAGCAGGAGAGCAGCCGCACCATCAACATATCACCACTTTGCACTCTGAAGATCAGTTTGTTTGTGTTTCCAGGTGGCCGGAGAACACAAGTATCACCCCGAGTGCTTTGTATGTCTGAGGTGCATGGTCGTGATTGAAGACCGGGACACCTACGCCTTAGTGGAGCGATCGAAACTTTACTGGTAAGTCACCTGCACAGCCATATACCACAGTCAGTTTACATGTCAGTTTACTTTTCAAAGAGGAGCAGCAAAAATGTCTTCAAGTTAATGTTTAGCCTAAATATCCATAGCCATCAATAGTTGTTCGTTCTTACACAACACTGTGTTCTTTCAACTGTAACTTAACAGAGAGCACATGCCCTCACATGTAACCATTCACTCCCTCTCCTGTTGTTTGCAGTGGAAAGTGCTACAAGCAGGTGGTCCTCACACCAATGTTGGAGAAGCGTTCACATGACTCGGTGCTCGACTCCCTGCCCCACACAGTGACCCTAATCTCCATGCCCTCCGCAGCCAACGGCAAGAGGGGCTTCTCCGTCTCAGTGCTGAGGGACGTCAATGGTTCAGCGAGCATCATAGTCAAAGAGTGAGTGTCACATGTTAGGGCTGATCTCTGTGCCTGTTTCGTGTGTAGACTGCATGAGTAGTGCTCATAGACTGTGGTAATGCTTTGACGTAAGACTGATAATAGGTTTGATAAACAGCAGAGCCCTAGTGTATGTTTAAGTTTCCCAATGCTCCAAAAGGTAGTTATTGATCATTTATAATTGATGCAGAGGGGTTTAGACACTTCACTTCACCTCACCTCAGTCCTGGTTTGCCAACTGCCCAGGAGACAGCAAGTTGTCCCTCATTTGCTGACATTAAATCAGTACATTCCATTTTTAAGCTGCTGTCTATTTATTCTTCTTCATGCGTATGTTCTACTCTCGGTTGCACTGTAGGGCCTGTTTACATTTCCTTCCTGCATATCTTAGCTGGCCGTTTATTTATTGGTGTGTGTGGGTGTGGTTGTGTGTTTGCGCTGCACTAATGTGAATGTAAATATTACTTTCGGGCTTCTTTGGTGGTGGGTCAACTATCCTTTGAAACACTTTCTGGAGCTGCACCTTAATTTCGTTGTATGTTGTACAATGACAATAAAGTTTCTGTTCTAGTCTATTTATTCTACAATGCTAATACTCATTGGTACTTTGTTTATGCTCCAGGGTCAGAGGGATGCTTATTAGTCCAGAAGTCCGAAATGCCATCCATGTTGGAGATAGGATCCTGGAGATCAATGGCCTTCCAGTGGGGACGTTGATGGAGGAGGAGGTGGGTTCAAACCTCAGTTCATCACTGAGATGTGTTATCTGAAGCTGTTTAAATGAAGCTAATTACTGTTCTCATTAAGGTGCAAATCAATTAGTTGAGTGAGATTTGTAAAGCTTTGTTCATATACAACATGTGATTTTTGTCATACCTCAGCTGGGTGGGATGGTATGTGGAGTGACTGCACTTAAAGGCTCTTTCCCACAACCTCACCCTCACAGAATGACATGCATTCCAATCCAGTCATCACTCACTGCTGAGGTTTTTGTTTTGTTTTAAAATTCCCACCTGTCCGGTTTTTCCAATAAAGTATTTCAATCTTTCATTCCACCTCAAAAGCACAAAGAGTTCAGTTACACTAAATTTGCTGCATTCAGGTCATGATGTTCAATTCATTCTACCTGATAACTTGATCCAGTTTTCACTGTGATTTAAGACAACACGTTTTTTGCCAGAGCTCAAACATTCGTACGTAATGGGATTCATAAAAACATTCTCCCATTGTTTATCCAAAGGATGAAAGCTCAGTTTCTCTGTAACATCATAATATTTAACAAAAAAACTTTTGTCTGGTCATCAGCGTTAAAGAAGGAGACATATTGAACATATTTCATCTTTTGGTCAGGTACTGAATTGGTGACAATCTTTGCTGTCGTAACATCCATATTTGAAGCATCGTCTGTTATCATAGCTACAACTTTGTTGAACCATATACTCTTGAGAAGTTATAGTTTTAAAATCATGCAAAATTTTCTCAACCCCAAAAATCTCCATGTCTGTAAAGGTTGACGATCTTATCCATCGCACCAGTCAAACTCTTCAGCTGCTTATCGAGTATGACCCAGTCAGGCAGCGTTTGGATCGCCTCAGACTGGGATCACCCAGGAGCCAGACGCTGGGAGTCCCTGCCACCTCCCGCATGCGTCTGTCCTCACCTTCTGATGCAGTCCTGGAGAGAACGGATGTAGTTGATGAAGGCACACTGAAGAGGAGATCTTTGAGGTATGTTGGGCCTAAATAAGGTGCCAAAACATACAGCTTACATAATATGCGTCTGTAACGAATTATGTAATTTTTATATCTGCACTATTCTCTACTTCAGGAGGAGTAACAGCATATGTAAGTCACCAGGACCAAATTCTCCCAATGAGATGTCATTTATTGCTCGAGACATCGGTCGCTCTGAGTCCTTGAGATCGTCCAATAGCTGCTCTCATCGCATCTTCCGCCCATGTGACCTCATCCACGGAGAGATCATAGGAAAAGGTTTCTTCGGACAGGCAATCAAGGTCAGCCTACATCAAACCATTGCTTATTCACCTTTGACTTATTTATTTATTTTTTCTCATGCAGTGGGGTAAAAGTCCTGTCTGCTTATGTGTTACTGACAGGTGACTCATAAAGCCACAGGAGAGGTGATGGTGATGAAGGAGCTGCTCCGCTGTGATGAGGAGACGCAGAAAACATTCCTGAAGGAGGTTGGTAATCTGTAGCAGGATCCTCTGGCTCTGGATGGAGTTGTGATTTATTTTCCTCATAACTGAAAACACACCACATGTTCCAACAGTTACATCTTTGTACCTTGTTATTTTGTTGTATATGTCCCAGTCTCGTGAGGAAACATCAGCCTGATTTTTATTGCATTTAATGCCTTTTCTCATGAATTCAATTTCACAGGGGTATAATCTGCTCGCAATCACAGGGTTGAAAGACTTTCTTTCTGTCACTCGACTAATCTCCAGGTCAAAGTAATGCGGAGCCTTGATCACCCCCACGTTTTGAGGTTCATTGGCGTGCTGTACAAGGACAAGAGGCTCAATTTGATAACTGAGTTTATCGAGGGAGGCACCCTGAAGGATTTCATCAGAGACACTGTGAGTTAAACTAGTTTATTCACTTTACTCTCTTCCACTCCTCTTCCACACTGTGCACAAAAAACCCTTCAGTGGCCACAGAAAGTGTGGGAGGTGGCTGACCTGAAGTAAACTCTGCACTGTCGGAGGCCTCACGGCTCTATTGTGGGCTGGCAGCCATGTCAACTGGCTACGATGTGGAATGAGATAAGTTGTAAAAAGTGTTCCCAGGTGAAATTGAAAGAGCTGTGCTCACCTCCTCCCATTGCCAAATGTTTCTAGGAAGCAATTCAGCTCAGCACGAGGCAAAAGTGTTTCTGTCTTTTTATATCTGTAATTATCTTTAAAGCATATTGGAGGGACATTTTCAAATTTAGTAAAATTTATGATTTGGTTTTCTGGTACTATTAACCACTGTTTCCCTGTCTTTACCTCGGCACATATCATTTTGTATTTATCACTGCTATGAATAATAAACCCTGCGGGACATTGAATTCATTTCTCTCATTTATTGTTTTTTTTTCATTCTGAACTAACAGGACCCATTTACATGGGAGCAGAGGGTGAGCTTTGCAAAGAGCATCGCCTCTGGAATGGTGAGTTGGTTTTTTGCAAAGACATTACTGACATCTTTAGTGGCTATTGTCAGCCGTTTAAATATGTGTAGTGCTTTAGAGCTAAAGAACCACCACAAGATTGAGATTGATCTAAGGAATGGCAGATGACTACAGGGATAGTAAATGATGCAATACTTTGTTTGTAAAAGGCCACTAAAAACAATTCATAGATTTGAATGTGTGTTATGTTATGGTTAGTTAGGCTAGGTTATTTATTTATTTATCACATTCATAGATATGTGGAAAGTGTTGATAAGTTTTACTATATTAAAGTAAATGTTCTTGCGTGTGTTCGAGTTGGACCCTCATTGACTTTTCTCTGTGTTTCAGACCTACCTTCACTCAATGAGCATAATACACAGAGACCTCAACTCTCACAACTGCCTGGTTAAACTGGTAGGTGACATGGAGTCCAACCATGACACAATTGTTCTCTGTTCCTGTGATTTGCCAGTTGTGTTTTTTAAATATAATTGTAGTTATAACATTTAAATGTGAACACAAGACAATACTATATTATATAAACAGATACAAACAGAGCCTCCAAATAAGTTCTATATTATTCCTTTACATTCACTTGTTCTACTTCCATGAGTAACTAATTTACTCCTATCTGTCATTCATCAAGTTTCTTCTCAGTAAAATTATATTTATACTAAGGTGGCTCTTGACTTCAGATTGAGCTTAGAGAGAACATAAAAAAAATTTTCCCCTCTTTCAACAGGATAACACTGTGGTCGTTGCTGACTTTGGACTCTCTCGACTCATCGTAGAGGACAAAGTCAAGCCCCCATCTGAAAAAACGCCCAATAAAAAGAGGATTTTCAGGCGTAGTGACAGAAAGAAGCGGTACACTGTTGTGGGAAACCCTTACTGGATGGCCCCAGAGATGCTGAATGGTGAGCTGCTTACAAAAAACATATATACCAACTTGAGGATGATGACAGAGGATTACAAAGTGTATTTACTTTATCTTTTTCTTTATGTTATTTCAGGTAAACGCTACGATGAGAAGGTGGACATTTTCTCCTTTGGAATTATGCTTTGTGAGGTGAGAACATGCTGCTTTACACAGATTATCTGATGTGATTGTCTGGTTACAGAGCCTGTAACTGCAGTGCTTGTTTGGAAGGCAACACTTTGCAAGTTTAAAGTAGCTACAGATCTAGAGTGCAACTATATATTTAAGAAAAGAACAGGACATTACATAAGTTAGACTCCACTGTAGCTGATGTGCTCATGTTTGGGTCTATCCACCCTGCTATCCACCCTGCTATTTCCAAACTGTGTCTGTTAATTGATTGACCCTTTCTTCCTCCTCTGTCTTATGATCTAGATCATTGGAAAAGTCTATGCAGACCCCGAGTGCCTCCCCAGGACGCTGGACTTTGGCCTGAATGTTGGCAAGTTTGTGGAGAAGTTCCTCCCAGAAGACTGCCCACCAGCTTTCTTCCCACTGGCTGTGGCTTGTTGCGACCTCACACCAGACAACCGGTGAGCTCCAGCTGTTGTTAGCTGCTTGTCTGTTAGTTAGTGAGGTTGTTGGCAGGATTGAACAAAAACTAGTTAAACTGATTTACATCATTTAATATTCAAATTGGATCAAAAATGTAATTCGCCTACCATGACTATGTACCATGTATACACAGTATCTGTTCCTCTAGAGATTCAGGGTCTCGTCAGTTCAGAGCAAAGTAGACGATGAAATTGATCCGTCACAAAGACGAGGAAACATCCGTTGAAGGGCATTTTTTTCTGTTGTATGCTCTCTTTCTTGTCCGTCTGTCTATCTTCTAATTGTTCCAACAGCCCTAGTGTGAATGAGGATTAAGGGGCAGATCCTGTGTAGTTGTTGGGTAACTGTTAGGTGTTGTCAGCGGTGTTTGCTCTAGCTGCCATTCTGCTTGAAATGGTAAATGGCCTCCACCTTGTTTATTTTTGAATGTCAACATTTTGTAGAGTTGCTGACTGGTAGATAACTCTTACCATGATTATAACCTGAACAAAAAGGAATCTAGGGAGATAAAGCAGCTCTTTAGCAAACATTTAAAGAAATCTCTGGAAATAAGAGTGTTTATCACTCGGTCACATTTGCGCTGGGACACATTATCCGGACAGATATTTGAACCCTTTAGATCAAAACAATTTCTTCTTTTTTCATCTCAGCCTGTCTGCACAAGTTCACGCCTCTGCTGCCAGATTCCTTTCTCTCAACCTTGTCAGTCTGGTTTTAACCTCAAATCTCTCTGTGCCCTCCTTTCTCTTTACTCCTCCCTCAGTCCACCTTTCCAGAAGTTGGAGGACTGGTTCGGGGCGCTGTCCTTCAACCAGGAACTTGGGATCCCCCTGCCAGCCGAACTTGAGGAAGTGCATCAGAGACTGAGTCAACTCCACTGGCCTAAAGACGGCTCTCCATTGCCAAGCACAGATCAGCCGTCAACCCCAACAGCTGCCTCTCCAGAATCTTCCAGCGTGACAGACAACAGCACCTAGAACCTGTGTCTCCCTCTGAAATGCTGCACTAATACTGTGGATGTGAAAAAGAGGAAAAATGAATTGAACCCGAGCCAATTTAGAACTGGATAATCTCTGAGGTAGCTGGACCAATTTTCTCCCCGTTTAGGATGTTAACTGCATTGTGAGCAGAAAGATGCATTTCACCAAGTTAGGGTTAGTGTGATCAGCCATAGTGTTAGTTACTGATTCTTTTATTTAACCCCTTGCCCCATTCAACACACGCAGGGTTGTACTAATGTTTACTGTGTTTAAAGACAAAATACAACTTTTCTTGACCCTTTCTCCGACAGAGGACGAGCATCTTTGTAAGGTGGATATTCACAATGAGTCCTCGTGTTACAGCAGTTTTGTTTTTCTGGCTGTGAAGTTGTTGTTTGCCAGATCACTCCTCGCCAAATTAAATAACTGGGCAGGGCTCGATGAGTAACTGTAGGCGGCAGTCAAAGTAAAACAAACACTGATCCAGAATAGTTTCATCACTCTGAGATTTGGCACAAGATGGCAAAGGAATGTTTAGATTTTTGGGGGGGTCTAAGCACAACTGATCGATTTATTTTATTTTGACGAAATGGTTACAAGTTTATTTTCTAGTCTAATGATTTTAATTCCTTTCTTAGAATTTAGATTTTGACATGTTTCTATTAAACCCCTGATGAAGCTCCTCTGGAACAGAAGAGCTGTTTTAATGATCGTTAGACGTAACCATGACCATGAAAATTTGCCTTGTACAGAAAACTGGATTTTTTTTCTGAAGCAATGTGTATAAATATGTATATATGCCTTTAATTGGACGTCATTTTCTAATGGGAACTCTAGAATTTTAGACATTTTGTCAACAATGGAACGTTTTTTTGCCTTTTTTGGTCTCATCATGCAAGGTACTTAAGACCTGTTGTAACCACTATTATTTATATCACTTTAGTGTTTCATAAATAAACCTTGAGAAAGATGTGACTTGTCATTGTTATTAGTATTTTGCATTTCACGAAACCTGAAGAATCATGTCTTCTGTCAAAACGATCAAAGTCAAATCATTTATAGATCTGTGTTAACATTGAAGAGCACACTGCAGGGCATCTGAGCTCACAGGAAAATGACCAACTGAAATGATCATATTTTTAAATTGATTGATTCACTAATGACCCAGTTCTGATTCTGACAAATTAATAAATACTTGTATATTCACCTGTAACCACCACGGATTTTCTCATTGACTGTTATCTATATCTTACCTTTTAGAACATTGGAATGAAAAAGTATATCATCTGAAAATGGTTAATAGTCAAATGAGGTCTTGGGGGTTGAGTCCTCCTGTGGCTGCTGCATGTCAGATTCTGACCCAGTTCTTTGCTGCATCTCTTCCCCATCTCGTCCTATCAATAATGGCAAAACTGCCCAAAAATTTTTTTTTTAAAGTCTTTCCCTACGTATGACATAAAAAAGTGGGTCACTATAAAGTGTATGTGAGAATAACTGAAATCCAGAGATCCATGGTTGATTTGTTTCTTTAGTTCTTCTTTGTTGTGTTGTGTCTTCAGTGGCCTCCTCAGATCTCTTTGCGCCACTTCTTCTTAAAGGTTCAGTGCTTAAAATGTAGTGACATCTAGTGGTGAAGTTGCATGTTGCAATTAAATACCTCTCACCTCAACCTCCCCTTCCAATCATGAAAGCAAACCTGTGGCAATGTTTAGTTTGTCAAGTCGGGGCCACCCTAAAAAACATGGCGGACTCCATAGAGGAAACCCACTCCCGATATAAATATAAAGTATTTAAATACAAAAGGCCCATTCTAGAGTAAAAAAACAACAATTCAGACAATTCAGACAAAACACACTAGTAAAAACACCATTGGGATTATTTTATATTCAATTTCTTACAATAGATCCCTTTCACCTAAATCCTACACACTGAACCTTCAACCTGCTTTCTCAGGCGATGACTAAAGTGTAGTATTGAAGAGCTGCCAACAGAGGGAGCTGGTGCAAAGAAAAGTACCAGGAGACTTTCCACAGTCCAAGCATTCCTGACATGTTATGTTGTTCCAGCGGTGGGCATGGGGTCCGTCCACCTCTTATTGTTTTAAATATACAGATAACATCACTCCATAATATTATAATGTGTGTTTGACGTTTTATTTCAGTCTCGGCAGTGAGATTCTGCATCCATACAAATACAAGTACTAAAACCAAACGCTGCATTGTGAGCCATTGCATGTATGAAGAAGCAAAATAATAACAGCCAGCTCACAGACAGTGAACATAACAGAGTAGCAGTAACCAAAGATAAACAGTGATGATGGAATTCCAGCAATAATCACACAACAAAGATAATCAGGAGTGATAGAACAACCTGGGGAGTAACAGTGTATCTTGTGCATCAACAAACATCATCTGCATATGATGATTTCTGTTTTCAGGCAGGTTTTCTCTAAAATGTTTTCTGCGGAGAGTTGCTCTACTTTCAAAGAGAAGAGGCTCCCGATTACAAACATGCAACAGGTGCACATGGACATGCATTCATTTTCAGTGAACACCACCGAACTTTGGACATTTTCCATTCTACTCCATATCATCAACTGAATCATCAAATGCACAACTCAAATGTCAGAATCGAATCTAGGCACCAGGCTTCTTCAGAACTTCAACACACACTCACACATGCACACACACACTCACTCACCCACACGTGCACAGTCCTGCTCTGCAAAGACAACATTTCAGGCTTTTTCTTTGTCTGGTTGCATCTATTCTGCATTGGTGGCAGTGCTATTTTGTCCTGAGGACTAACTACGGTCTCTCATGCGTCCAGAGAGCACTCTGCGTTTCCTGTCACTCCTTAACCTGTGGAAGAAAAGGGCATGTCCTCTTTCATGTCGGCCAATGGCTGCTGTCATACTTTATAACAGCATTGGCCTGTAAGTCAAGTACAAAAAGAGAAAAAAAAACAATATCCAGGAAAAAGATAGAACAATACATTCACAAGTATCATGCTAAGGCAATTTGAGCTGAAGGCCTTCCCCTGTCTTTAGTGGGCCTGTTTTACCTCATGATCCCTCATCCTGTCTCAGAGGAGGATTATTTTTGGATTCTTGTCACAAGTGTGTCACAAAAACAAACCAGTCTTGTGTCTCCAGCACAGCCAGTGGGTCAACACATATGGAAATCAACCATATATTCCACATGTAACCACGCCTCAATCGCCATATGGAATCAAAACTTATTCACCATTAGTAACACTCATCAACGTCCATTGGACTACATAATATACTCAATATTTATACTGTTGTTTAAGGGGGCAGCCCATGACCACATCTTCTTGGCCATCAAATGTATCAAATATGAATATTAAAGACCCATTCATTAACAACAGATTGACACTGATGGCTCCTAGTTGTCGAAATAGTGTCCGTTGTGTTTCAGCTTATCTTGAATAAATGCCAAAGGGAACGGGACACAAAGGACACAGCATTCAGTTTAAAGTCTTTGGAGTAAAGACTGCTCCCTTTCTCCTTTTTTAAGAAGCAGAAGTTACTCAGGGAGGCAGAAAAGGAGAAACTGGAAGATGGAAGCGTTTTGGTCCAAAATTACATATCATAGTCCCGTTTGATGACTACACGCCTCATGCTCAGGCTCCAGGGGTACCGGCTGGCTGGCCCATGAGGGGGTCACCGCCCTCCACGCCCTCCAGACCCTCCTGGACCGGGGTGGTCTCATGCTCGGCTGTGATCACGATGGTGTTCTCGTCCACCAGCTCACAGGTGGGGTTTGAGAATGCTGCCAGGGGCAGGTTGATCCTCTGCATCTCACGCTCATACACCCGCTGGTCATGCTGTTTCTTGAAATCGCGACCCCTGCACAACAACACACAACAGAGGAAACAGACAGTGAACAAAACACTTTCACATACACATTTTAAGTTTTTGAGTTAACTTTCTTTTGGTCTCCACCAAGGACATTTTCAGCTTGAAAGCTGCTACGACAAGCAATCAGCTAACTGTGTCTGCTTTTTAAAGTAAATGTAGTGTATATCTAAGATTTTCCTCCAGAAACAGCTCATCCTTTTGGCCAAAATTATAATATTAGATATATTAGGAGAGTGGTGAATGAAAGTTGTGAAAAACCAAAAACCAAAACAATTAGCTGAAAGAAGCTAAAACTGTCTGTACGGCTGGATGGCATTCAGAATGATGTGTTCAATACAAGCAAAGTTGTGCACCTGTTAATAAACTAATATTTAAGTCTTTAATTATTTCTGAGCCAAACATGAAGAAATTAATGAAAAAATCATTGTGAATATGTATTTTACAGTTATGAAATAAAAACAGTGATTATAATGATGCCTTGCGTAGCCTTGTAGCCGATACTATGCACAGCACTGTATTCAGGAGCCACCCAAGCTAAATATTTGTGATAAGGAGCTTCTGATAGCTGTAGTGTATGTAGATAACAGAGTCGATTATAACAAGAGCCTGGTCTGTGACAAAGTCGAGGGACAGATGGTGAAAGGGAACAGGGAGTTTATCTGCTCCAAGACAACACAGTGATGGGAGGCAGCATGAGGCCTTTTCTACTGATCCAGAGCCAACACAGGCAGATACACTATCTTAGACCGAAAAGGGTAGGAGGTTAATTTTGGCTCAAACTGTTTTCTGTGTTTTTTCAAATCTTTTTCATATTTCCCACAAACATTTTCTCTTTCCTGATGAATTAAAGTTTTACATTATTTAGTTAGTGGCCGAAACCAGAAACTTCCTGGAGCTGGTTGCCTTCCAAACTACACTTCACCCATTTCCAGAGTTAAAGTGAGATGATAAAAAAATATTCCAGGGCCTCTGGCTTTTCAGGGTTCAACATGTGTAAAAAAAACTATTATACAGCTGTTAAATACATAACAGAGTAATGCATTTGTAATATTTAATGTTGAAATGCACAGGTCTCCAAAGTCAATTATGGAATGTTTTGGTTTTGGTTTTCTGTGCCCCTACGTTCACTTTGGGAGGACCTCTTCTTAAAAAGGTGTATTCCCCTTTTTACTGTTGTACGACAGGTACTGGATAGTTAAAGATAATCATAGTCGGGCCCTTTTCATAGAATCACAACGATAGACACCACTAGTCACACATGCTTAGATGGACGGGTCGCCTGCAGGGGATGTGGGTCCCTGCGATCCATTGCCTACACCTACTGGTTGGTTCACAGGGTTCTTAGAGTCGTTTCTATTCAAGGAGGAATAAAGTAGTTTTACGACCACTCCTGGCCAGCGGAGGGGCATCTGAATTACCACGATTATGGACACGCATGCAGCACATCTACAGTATCACATTACTGAGGGTGATATCACTTTGCTGAGGGCAGGTATTAACCCTCTGACATAACATCTTGCTCCTCCTTGTTAATAATCTCCATCTAAAAATAGTAAATAAAGACAGGGGCACGCACAGCTAATCAGATCTGACGGTATATCACAGATCTGTTTGGGCAGTTTGTGTCCTGCTAAAAAGGAATCAGAGCCCCCCCCCTTTCACAACAAAGGGGCCGTCATTATACGCATTACATAACAGAACCAATTGTGGGTGGCTTTTCCTTACAATCCAACTCATCCTCCACAATCTCCTTCTAGAAATCTCTAAATAGATCGCAGGCATTTCATTTCCTGCGCATGTTCTGTTGTGGTTGTTCTGCTGAAGGCATTAAAAATGGATGCATTTCGTCCAACTAGAAAAACAGAGAGCATTGTTGTGGAATATGAACGACAGCTGATGCACTAAACTCAAGGGACTATTCGTATTCGAGGGATTATGTGATTTAAATAAACACACTGGCAACTTGCCAGCACATCTCAAAACTACTAACAACACAACATGTGCTAACGAAAACAGAAACACAAGATGCATGTTTTCATGATAATGAAAACCTTGAAACAAGACTGGTTCCTCTGACCCAAACAGATTATTGACAATCTTGGTGTGGTTAAGATACTGACCTCTTATAGAAGTAGCCAACTATGATGCCTACTCCAAGGATGATTATAATCGCAACCATGAGTATGCCGAGGACGTAGCCTGGAAAACAAAAACATAAAAGGTTCAAAACTGAACCTACAAGTGCATCACAAAAGATATTTTGTTCCCGCAGCAATGCCTGACTTAAAACTACAATAAGTCAAACAGCAGGATAGCGTGTTCCACAAATAATATCATATTTGCTGTCAGGGAAACATTAGCTACAACATACCAGGTGTGCCAAGGTCTTTTTTTCTTTTGGGTGATGTGTGCACTCGCTGGCTGATTCCCATCACTGGCTGCACAACAGCGACTTCTCCCTGAGAAGCTCCCGACTTGGCCAGCTGAAAGCTCTCTGTGGGGGCAGCACTTCCTGTCGGGTGGAGGGATTCAGCCTCTGCTGGCTCAGTAGAGGCTTGTTCTAAAGACACAATAAAACAATGCTTGTGTTAAAGGACTTTTCATTGTGTTACTGTTGAAGTCTGTCACTAGAAACTAGATCATATCAGAGTAAAATATGTTCATGAGATAAAGGTAGTAGTCACTTGTGTCTGATAGTCTTTATGTGACGGAGAAAAATAACAACTTTATTTCTCTAGTCCACCTCAAGAAAATTAAGAACATACAGTCCAGTGCAAATGTGTTTCATTGGATATTTTGCCATATACTTTATAAATGGTTTCCTCTTTCTTTACAACCTGAGCTGCATAGTTGGGTGTATTAGAACATTGTGTAAAGCAATTTGCTTTATGATTTTCTATATAAATAAAATGATGTATCTTTTTTGTGTTAAATTGGCCAGAAAGGTTGTTTATTTTAAGTTATTTTGTCGATAAAGGATTAATCAAGAGATTTTTCCACAAGTCATGACAGATTGTATCCACATCTATGATAAGATCTCACAGATTACACTTGCATGCTAACTGGTGCACATTAAAATAATATAAAGTAAGAATACAAACAGTTTAACCCTCAAACATTATTAGATAATCTTTGCTACTTAATGTGATTTATCTTTATCCCTTTCTTTTGTGTTATATTACTGTGTTTGCTGACACCTAATATAATTAAAATACAGTAAACTTTGTCCTATTTGACTTTATTAGAGATGCATCATGTAGACCTTATGGTCTCCAATTACTGTTGGTTACATGACATTACTACTGACGCAGAAACCCCCTCAGAGGCAGATGCTGCTCTCAGGAAGTTGTTGGGACATTGATCAGTTAGTAGAGTATCTGCGCTCACATGCTCACGTCTGCTCTTTAACAGTTTTTTTCTTTTTCCACTTCCTACAGGTTGTTGTTTCTAACTCTGCTGGAGTTTAACGGCACAGTGCTATATATTCAAACAGCCAGTGAGCTGCTGTCTCCGTGGAAAAACTATTCGTCTCCACCAATGAGCTCTGTTTCAGGGCGTGGTCAGCATCTGTCTGGAAACATTCTGACATGTGACTGCAGGGCTTTGTTGTTGTGAGGCTTCAGAAACAAAGAGAAAACAAGTGTGCAAGACTTCTCCGATAAGCTTAACACTGACCAACTGACCTACTGCAGACTAATACTCTCAACTGGGAAAAGGAAAATGTCAGTTATCCAACTCTCTATTGAAGACAAGGGCAAACTTTGTTTAAAGTTTTCTTTTTTTTTTCTTGTTTTCATCAATGATTAAAACTTGGCTCTCAGAATCAAGGGCTCTATTTTCTGTTGAGCAATTAGGACATCAGAACATACAAAAAATTTCACCTCATTATTTTTCCTGAGCGTAGCCCACTTTTTAAAAAATAATGAGATCTTTACAGGGAAGGAAAGGTAGCTGCCAGCAGCGTCGAAAGAATGCAGTCTAAAAAAACTTACTGAGCATTCTGGGAGTTTTGTTGTTTTCGTTAACTTGGTAACTGGATAATGAATACTGTTATGTGCAGTGTGTACCAACCTTTGCATGTATCAATTGCACAGGACTGTCTCTGGATTGTCCCGTCTGGGCTCACGATGTAGCACCAGGGGCTCGGAGAGGAGTCTGGGTTTCTGCAGTAGTTGTGATCTCCAACACCTACAGGAGGGACGATAAACAAAATGAAACAGCATGTCTGTCTGTCACTGATGGAAACACTGCAGGCCTGTCTCTGTCTGCCTGTCCGTCCCTGCTGTGTGTGGAGTAAACCACTGAATTCATTAATCATTAACACTACTTCATCACACCACAATGAACATGCAGCCATGAGCACAAAGGGAGGAAACAGCAGCTGCTGTATAAAAGAGGCTGTTATTAAAACCTGTAAACACACAAATCAGTGGTGTGGTATCTGCAGTGTGTGCTGTAATTATCATCCGTCTGTGCCAACGTGCATTATCACAAGCAACTCTCTCAAATGTGTTTTCTCTTCATCAGCCTCAGAGACATTTTAAAATTTAAAACCCCCCTCTCCATTTCCTGTTTCCGCTATGATGCCAAAACAACAGAAGACTGCCAAAATAACATCACTGAACTTCACGCTTCAGTATTTTACCTGTGAGTGAATCAGGATGGATCTGAACATCATAGTCTCTGTCAGTGCTGGTCCAGTTGAGACAGGTCAGACCTGAGGAGGAGCTCAGCTGCTCTCCTCTGTAGTCCACACCACTGGATCTAATGCAGTCTGACAACAACAACAAAATATCATGTGAGCACATAACACATGAACACGAGGCATTGTGCAATCAAAAAAAAAAGTCAGTAATTAAAATATCATTATTGTTATGATGCATTTAATTTGAAGTAAATAGGTGTATACATGAGGAATCAATTGCATAACAAAGTATAATTGTACCTTTTATGTCTCCATTTGAAGTACTGCTGTGCACCATCCACACGCTGAGGAAAACAACCTGCAGAGACAGGAACACTCTGCAGAGCTGAACAGCTGAAGTGACCGACAACATGGTGCGTCAAGGAGCTTCCTCTCTATCACAACTTAAGATGGAAATCAAATAAAAACGCACAGGGGGTGAGTAAAATGGCTGAAGAGCCTGTGCTGAATGTGCTTCAGACACACTGCTCCTCTCTGCTGGAGTCACTGCCCTTGTTTTTGTCAAACGAGCTCAGGTTTCTTCATAAACAGCCTCAGAGGGAGGAGGAGCTGCTGCTGCTGCTGCTGCTGCTGCTGCTGCACACATCTCAAGGTCCTAAAGCCTCACCAGGTTCACACACACACGCACACACAGAGAAAACAATATCAGCTGAAAAACACCCCTGCAGCCTTCAGAACAGTCAAAACAAAAAAAGAAAGGGAAAGTTTTATCATTCACATTTTTGTTTAAGATTAAAAAAGGTCATTTGCTCTGTAATTCATCCTCTCAACTTTTAATTACCTTTCCTTATCCCTTCAAACGTATTCCATTGTATGTGTCTGTCTGTTAATATCCCTGCTCTCTGTTTCATTTTGATTTAAAAACCCATTTCATTTATCTGGCTCCAAGTGCTTTGTGCATCTGCTCAAACCCTGTCTTCCAGTTACCCAGGCTTCCATGAGGCCTGGTCTGTGGTCACATGTGGGCTCTGCAGAGGCTGGTAAAGGTCAGCAGAGAGTTGACCAGAGCTGTACACTGAAAGCAATGAGGCCCTGTGTCATTGTTGGCCGATGGGTAAAGAGGGCAGCCAATGTGCGATTCAGCCTGTTCACCCAGCCACTGTTTAAATAGATGCTCACACAGTTTTCAGGCAATTACCAGAGCAACCATGCAGCATCGGTCTGGTACTCTCTACTTATTCAGAGCCTCTCCCAGCATGCACTGGCTGGAATCATAGGTCACTACACCATTAAGGGATGAACATATTTAGGAATGAACAAACCAATTAATATGAGACCTCATTTCTACCACAGAAACTAAAGAAATAGCATAGGTGAAAAAACATCCATGTTGTTTATATGTAATAGTAAAAAATGGCTTGGATTTGAGTATTTTTAAAAATATTTTAATAGTTTTTTTTATCCTTTCCTGGCAGAAATAGACTTTCATAACTACCTATGACCTACCACCTCATTTAATAAAGCACATGATTCAGTGAAGATGTCTCGTGTGACTCCATGAATCTAAACGTTCATAATTTGACTCTGTATTTTAACTTTTTATGAAATAAAATGTTTATCATGACAAACATTTTTAACTGATATACTATACTCTACATTAAATTACTTTTATTATATAACTACCCAAACTCAGTCACTGAAGAACAGTTGATCAAAAATGTGATTTGGGATTTTAGCCCCTTTCTATAATCTAAACATTTATTACATACCTGACGGCAATATCCACATTTTCACAATACTTAAATTCCCGTGAGCAAACCAACATACAGGCGGGTTATTTAGTGAACACTAGTTGTCTTTGCCTTCCAAAGCTTATGAAAAGTAACCGTGTGTTTTTTACATTTTCCATACTGACAGACATTTTTAATCAATGAATACTTTCTGTAAGTGTGATTCAGTGTGAAAAAATTTAAACTTAACAATAAATCTTTATGATTCAAGATTTGTCCAAAAATATTGACATACAAAACTTTTTTCAATACTGGACATTAACGTATGTCAACTTTATTCTTGTGAGTCATGTTCTTGACAGGAGCCACCTGTCACCTCTTCTGGGGCACATGTTCATCTCACAGAGCCCTGCACACCGGGTGTTCATTCTGTAAATGGGTTGTAGAGAGATGGACTGCAGCTTTTTGTATGAATCATCAATAAGCTTCATGTGATAACTGTTGCATAACCTCAATGCTCGTAAGCACAAAGCTTCATGCATACACAGTGTAAACATTAGCTGAAAGAGATACACCCTATGTTCATATTGAGGGATGTGACACAGTAACAAATACAGGAAATGAATCTGAGGGTTGAATTATCTCTGATGAAACCATATTACATTGTGAGGATACAAAAAACAAAACTTCCATGTATGTTTAGTTAATTGTCTAATATGATCAACCAACACATGTACAATCTCTGCCATGTTTGTCCAACACCTACAGCCTCCCATCACAAGCAGTGGGCTATCTGCTGATGTCAGACTGCTCTAGTGTGCGGTCTGTTGCGGAGCAACCGCCTGCTCTCTATCAGACCCAGTCAATCATCTTCAGCCCTCATGTGGTTGGAAAGTGGGCACTTATCCAGGCAGAAGGCCTCTAATGGAGCATCAAAGCGTACACTATATTCCCCTGCTGGGCACCGAGCAGCCAATTTGTCCAGATGCTGTTGCATTACATCACTGCGTCAGACTGAGCCTCGCTGCTGCTGCTGAGACATGGCAAACAACTCATCACAACAGAGGACAGGAGCACTGCTCTGGGACTAAGAATGAGCATGATGTGTGGGGTGATGGAGATCATAAAGACAGAGCCAGGCTGTGATTCTATATAAAAAGCTTTATTCTAAAAATTAGTAAAGCTTCAGAAAATGTTCACTGAAGAAAAACTAGACCTCCTGGGGTTATGAGGAAAAGCTGTTTTACTTCACTGTCCTCCTCATGCACATGGAACAGTACGCCCATTGGTTCTCTTTATCTGTGTAGATGATATGATGATGGAAACAAGTAGCTTCAGCCACTGAGCTCTTACATAACTCAGTTAGCCTCCCAAGTACCAGTGTACTGCAGCATCAGCAACTGCAGCCCTCTTCAAGACTGAAGCTGCACATGTAGCTGTCATGAGGTACAGTAATTCTATCCAGGGCCACGACGGCCAAAAGACTTTGCTCATCAAGTGCATTAAAAAAGCTCCTCCCCTCTGTCACAGTGGCCTCTCTCCAGCCAGAGCAGCTGTTAGGGCCGAGGGAAAGTGGACACCGTTCTGACCGAGCAGACTCAAAACTTGCTGTAAACTCGTACACAGGGACGAAGGATCACACAGGCGTCGTGCACCATCACATGTTTCCAACAGTCGGAGGAGGAAGGTCGCCCTGGTGAACAGGCTACACAGGGTGCTGTGAAAACAGTGGTCCATGAGGAGAGACAGCCAGGCTGGGGTCAATATCTCCGCTGCAGAGAGAATAAACAATCACATTGTAACACAGGAGATATTCAACATATTTCGTATACATACATGTATATGTTATGACCCTCGGTCATTTTTAGAAATTGCCCGATCTTACTTCCCAGCGTTTCTGTGAATGGTTGTGTTAGTGCTTAAACAGGTGGGGCCCTGTGATTGGTTGGTTTGCAGAGATTGCTGTCTCTGGATTGGACTATTGCCCAACAGAGGACTTTTAAACTGCAGCTGACAGGAACCCCTCTGTCCCCAGCCTTCATTCAGTATAAGTGTAAACTTCGAATATAGATAAATGACTGGTTTCGAAATGAATTTACATTTACTCTTGTTAACTGTTTAGGAGCCTAGGTTAGAGTCAAAGTGTCAATTTTTCATTTACCTTGATAGGAAAGTTTGGAGAAAATGAGAGGCTTATTTTTTGTTCTTTTGAGCATTGCTCACCAATAAATAAAAACTGCTGCTTTGGATTTTTCAACAAACTTTGAAGCCGCTGCCTTTTTCTGGGGAGCCTAACAAATGTTTCCCAGCTTTCCCCTGGACCAGGGACATAACAGTCACACTGACATGCTGATGCAGTACCTGGCTGGAGCTCTTTGCACACTGCAAGGCTGTCAGACACCTGTTCAACACTCTGCTCTGCCCATGCACTCAGGCTCTGTGCCAAAGCAGAGGATTCAGAGTGTTTGTCAGCCATCTGCAGCAGGTGAGGCAGCACATGTGCTGACATCACAGAGGGTTCAGCAAACACGTTGGTCTGGTCCTGCTCATACAAACTGAAACACCTGATTAAGAGAGGGAGAATGACAGTTAAACAGCACCCAGTCAATATCGCCTTTTGTTACAGTGTACTGATGCAGCAAGGCGGCTAACGTACTCCGTCTCTGAGGCCTCTGTCAGCACACGTCTGAGGTCAGACTGAGGCAGGTGACACAGCAGCACCTCCAGTGTGCCGGGAGCATCGAAGCATTCCTCCAGCAGCAGCTCCAGCAGGAGCGGCACAGCCTGGTTCACCTGCATAACGTAGACGCTCCCCTGGCTCGCTCCTTTTCTCACATGGTGCAGCATGGAGGTAAAACAAGCTGCTTTTAATCTCACCTGCTGGCTTTGGTCCTGCAGCAAGTAAAGGCCTGTGTTGATCAGCCTAACCAGAAAGAGACAACACTTTGAATTTCTGTTCCATCAGAGTGCAGCACTTGATAAATATACACATTGTAATCGCACATTGAACTAGAACCCGATTGTATTTGGATCTGCACCAAAGAATCACTGTAAATGTTGAAGAACAACCTCAATCTCGCAATGTAAAAACAAAAAAACGAAAAAAAAAAGGTTGTGTAGTTTTTGCTTTGTCCTGCTAACTAACAAACAGATGCAGATGAAAACAAAACCACATCAGAGAGTTAAATATAAAATACATTTCAGAATCAATCACCATTTGACCTTAGTTATACCTTATCATGAGATTGCAGTGTTTTTTCAGGCTGTGGCTCATCAGGGACACTCCAGCCACACACAGAGCTTCAGCACAAGCCATCCTGAGCACCTCAGGGCCGTCTGAGCACCGGTTACATTCCAAGACGCCACACCAGCGGTGGAGCATGGATATCTGTAGACTAATGTGGACAAGAGAAGGGACAAGAAAGTCAGAGCTGCGCAGAGAGGAGTGTTCCAGTATGTGACAGTACAATGAAGTAAAAAAAGATGTGTATTAACCTGGAGCCTGAGCACTGGGGCAGCAGCAGACTAGTAGCACACAGAGCCTGGGATAGAAACTCTGGTCCACCTCGCTGCTCCTCCAGGTCCCCGAGCAACAAATCCAGACACTCGGACAAAACTGGCTCCTGTGGTGAGTCCGACTGAGGACGATGCTGAGGTAAAGAAGACTCTGTTCCAGTAGCCATCACTGCCACCAGGGCAGTGAGGTAGGTCCTGCGGTACTCCACACTGTGACTCACCAACGCCTCCCGCAGGTTTGACTGGTGATACAGAGCACTGACATGATCCGCATTCTTTGACATACCAAACATACAATCTGACTGGATATCAGCAATAACACAGGTACCACAATGGACTATTTCATTTGTCTTACTTTATCATTTTGATGTTCATTATATGTATTTTATTATCCTAACTTTCTTTTATTGTTGTCTTTTCTATCATTTATTACTTTGGTATGAATTACCCTCTGGATGTTTTCACCTGTAATGCACTTTGAATTGTTTAAAAGGTGCTTTATAAATGTTTAGTTCAAATAACCCAAATACCATGTTTAAAATGTATATCTGCCGATGTATATCTTATTTTATATCACATGTATATATTAAAACAGAGCTGTTTTTCATGTTTAACTGATTACAGTGCACAGTGTGGGTATTTTCAGCCTCCCACTGCATCAGATCTAAGCTTTTCTCTGCTTCCTCATATTGTGCTCTCTAGGGACTTTGTTATTGTGAAAGCTGTTAAACAGGTTTACAGAGAGTGACGTCTCTGGAACATATCATGTCTCACCTGCAACACCCTCTGCATCACCTCTTTCAAACTGGTCTGCTGCAAACCATGCCCATCCGCCACCAACGTAACCAGAGAGAGCTTCAGATCAGGGCTCGCTGCAGGGAAGGTGTTCCAGATTTGGGACGCCCACTTCAGATCCGCACATAGAAAGCGGATGGCTCGCTGATGGAAGAAGGACAGTCCAACCTGTGGAGATCATGTAGACAAAGCATTAGGAAAACATACGCTGGGGCATTACTTGTGTGCCGTTAGTTGAGAAAGGTTGTATTCCTGAGCTCCTGTGGTGCGTCAGTTACATATGCGTCATATTTGATAGAAGCACTGTGGGTTCAAATCCCTTTACTGACAGTATGGAGAGCATTACAGACGAGTCACAGCACAGCGACTAAGCAGCCACATCCATAGCACCACAGATCCAGTCACAGCCACAGCTTTAACCACCAAAGCTGTAGTTATGCCAACAAACAGTGGGTTTAGACAGTCAGTGCTCAGCCTTCAGAAAGAACAATGGGCAGTAAATACATTATGAAAAGCATCCCATCCTCTCTCCTTTCTGTAGCATCAGCAGACTGATCCTCCACACTGTTTTATATTGAGACTGCAGCTGCTCAGCAAATGTTCCTATAGATCAGGACGAGAACAAAATATTGTGAGGGAATTCAAAGTTCATTGCAAAGCCCAATTAGTGGTTAGAGCAGATCTGAATCATTTTTCAAACTATTTAAAGTCTTAGGGGATTTAAGCTTTCAAGTATTTCTGTACAACTTTGAAGAGATTCCATTAAGGCAGACTTGAGATATCATGTTCAAGAGGCCAAAAACATGTTTTGTGAGTCCATCGTGACCTTTGACCACCCAAATCTAATCTTATGTATATCTATACTATCAATAAAGGCTCAAACTCCCCCCAAAGGTATTTATACATATTTAAATCACAGGTATGTTAGAATGTGTGTATGTAAAACACACCTGAAGCCCACTTTGGGGTGTTTGAAGGTCGTGCATGAGAATGTCACTGATCTTTGACAGATAGGTCTCACAGCAGAATCTTCTGAGCAAGTTTGCCACTTCGAGGTAGACCGCTCTCACTAGGGGGCAGTGTTGAGCTTCAGTCACCAGCCACAGTGACTCGCCCACTTTACTAAGCACCTCAGACAGAGCAGGAGAAGCACTGAGAACAGAATCACAGCAGGATGTCAAAGAGTGAGTGATGGATGAGTGAATGAACAGGATTTTAAAAGTGTCACAGTGTGTGATGAGTGAATGAACGAGCAGCTCTTTCACGTCTCACCTGTCTGCAGAGAGCAGAGCTCTCTCTAGAACAGCTTTCATCTGCAGCAGCTGTCCGTGGAGCCGGTTGTGACAGCAGCACTCCTCAGGCCCGGGAAGTTGAGCTGCCAGTTTGACGAGGATGTTCATGTACTCCGATGGGGGCGTCATGGCAACCAAAGACTTAGAAGCCATGACTCTCACACTGTAAATTGGGCTGGCAGCTAGCTGGAGCAAAGGAGGCAGGAAGTCTGACAAAGTTCTGAAAAGACAGAAAAGCAGAGATTTCTCCTACAAATCATCTTCAGTCACAACATGAAGGCAAAACACATGTCAATGTTAATTCTAATGAACTGAAAGCTGGTTTCTTTCCTCCTTCACTGGTAAAATTATTGAGTACACTGGCGTCACATTGACTGGAATTAAAAAACCACACACTTCTGGCCTGGAGGGAAACCATGACTATAAAGTATGGTAGTTGACCTGATCAAACTATAGGGATAAATAAACAGTAATCACTCTGTTGAATCTTGGACTCCAGGCTGGAGTTGAGCTAGCAGCGTGAGCACAGGATAGAGGGAGGGTTGGAGGTGCAACTTGGCTTCATTGGGCGGAGCCTGCAGGTCTTGTGCTGCCCCCCTCAGCTCACCGAGGAGGAAGGGCTGGAGAGCAGGGTAGTGGAAGAAGAAAGCGGCGGGGGACATGCCGTGCTGGGTGGGGCCGCTGTCTTCACTGCTTGGCCTCTGCCCGAGCATTCGCGAGCACAGAGAACCTGGAAACAGGATTTAAAGTGTCGGGGGTGCTAATTGGCACAGAACCATGCTGATCGATAGATTAAAAAAAAGACGAAATTGACGAAGAAAATGTTTAAAGCAACACTAACAGTTACTGAGCAACAGCGCCCTCTGCAGCCACACAAGGCCAATTAATCATGCTGTGCTCCATGTGGACAATGCAGTCCTACTCACTGAACTTAAACATGACATGGATATTACCCATGATCCCCAGCTGCCTGTAACAAATACACCAAAACTCTGTTCAGAGTTCTTCATGTTTAGTTTCACTAAATATTGGAGTTGAATGCTGGTTTTTAAAGACTTTTAAGTCTTTTTAATGCAGCTACACACTCCTCACGGGTTGTCATACCTGCTTAACAAATTAAATAGAGAAAAAAACATTTTTGAGGTTATACAATTGCATAGTGTCATTGCAAATTGACACAAAGTTAAGCTGTTAATGTTTATTGCTTACTGTAGAGTTGCAGGGCAGCATTTCTCATGGCCCAGCATGCAGAGCTTAGTAGTGTGAGTGACAGGATGGCTACAGGGGGAGCAAACTGAAGGACAGCTACTCCCACACCTGAGCCACGCACAAGCGCCTGCAGCGTGTGAACAGCACACACCTGTAAGAGAAAGAAGGCAATAATGTGACCGCGTCTGGTTATGAAGACCAATATCCTCAATCTTACTTTACACTGAGTCTATAAACCTGTGGCAGGTCCAGAGTTTGGTCCCAGTTTTCAGGCACAGGTGTTTTGGCTGTCTCCAGTAAGGTCTGCATGCTGTGGGCTAACAGTGGCCTTGCTTTACTGGCCTCCTCTGCAGATACAACACACAGGATGAGCATAGGCAACCCTGCAGCCCGCCGAGTCACCGATGTAGAGCGAGGACACTGCACCACCTGCAATCCCTATCAAGAGAGAATCCAGAAAAGTCCAGCATCTCCATTTATTAATGGAAAGAGTCATACGAGTGTGTATCTGTACTCACTTGTTTCAACATATGGGCTGGAATATCTCTGAGCTCTGGATCACTGCTGCTCAACAGAGAGGCACAGAACTTAGTGAAGCCAATACAGCATCCCTCTACTGCCCCCTGGTGACAAAGAGATATTTTTTCAAAAAGGAACATAACAATAGAGGATATTCAAAGTCACACCTCTAAATAAGTAGATTCATTAAACTTACCCAGTGACGGCATTTGAGAAGAATATTCTTGAAAACTTTTGATGCTCTGATTAGATCTTCTTTTTCTAGAAGGTGTCTGCTGGGTTTGATCTCAGTGAGAAGTTTCTCCACCAGAGAACCTAAAAAGATTCCTATTTCCTGATAAGAAAATGTTTTAATTAAATTATATTTAGACAAAATGCACCAGACCCAAATATGTTTAGTTAAAATGCCTGTCTGTGGAACGCACATCACACTAGAAAAGTGTATTGTAAAGGCTCCATGGAAGTGTCCTGTTAAATTTGGTGCCATGTGGACATACCGGGTTGAGCTTCACTGAACTTTGTAAAGCAGTGGCTTCAGGGTTCTGTGGACTTAGTCCACCTCTCCGTATTTACTTGCTGTGGCACAATGTAAATTTTATGGTTCCATGAAGAAACCAGCATTACCACAGGTCAAGCAAACAGGCAGGGTTAGAACGGTCACTGCACTAATGTTTAGATATTAAATCATGCATCTGATTCTATTTTACCTTGAGTGAGACCCAGCAGCAGGTGAGAACGAGGCTGTGCTCTTCAGACAGCAGGACACACTCCTCCCCATCCACTTGGCCTCCTCCAGATGTTTGGGCTATTAGTGAGTTGATGGCGTTTCCCATATCACAAAAAGAAGGTGGGGCATCTAAGCCAAAAGAGAGTGATTAGAGTCAAATGTGATGCACTTCATCCAAAAATCAGTATTGCTTCTCCAGGTTGCTCCATTACCGTTTTCAGTGGCACAAGCCTCGTGGTCTCCGTACAGAACGCCCAGCAGCAGCAGAGAGATGCTCTCCAGCAGAACCAGCACCTCAGTGGTCAGACTGTGGTCAAGAGTGTCATAGACGCTGCTGCCTGCCTCAACCAAACACCTCTGTAGGGCACTAACAACACCTGTGGAAAGTAATTCATGAACCTGACATTAAGTAACATCCTACATATAAATGTCAGTGTTGTACATCTCACATCTCACCATGTATGGGCTTGGTTCTGGCAGCAAGCATCATATCAGCCTTAGCTGTCAGATAGTGCTCCTCCAGCTCCTTCACCAGGAACCTCATCATGCAGGAGGACGAGGAGTCACTTCCACTGCTGACACTAAAGTCCCCGTTCAGTCTGCCATCTTCAGGCCGGTGCTGTGATCTACAGACAGAACAACTGATCACTGTTGATCCTCTGCTTTGACAGCAGACACAATTACACATGTGCTGTAGGAGGCAGGGCTTACTTCAGAAGGAGGAGCTTCATCGTCAGCGCTCCCATCTGAGCCTCCTGCACCCGAGGACAGCACAGAAGCTGTTTGGTTCGAATGMGCAGCACTGTAGCGATATCGTCTGGAAAACTGGGCGGGAAAAATCTCAACAGTAACCCAGCTGAGAGCTCCCGGATCTGGAAGAGAAAAGAAATCCATCATCTATGTTCTTTAATTTGAACAATTTAAACGAAATACGAGCTATACCTCATTAGTGGAATCTTCTAAACAGCTGAGAAGCACCAGCTGTTTCGTCCTGCTGAAGAAATCCCACCGTCCTCTTTGTCTGGCATGTTCAATAAGAGACCCAATGTTTGCTGTAATGATTTTGTGAAGCTCAGTGAATTTACAAATATGACAGAAAGTTGGCATGGAAACCACATTTTATTGTTTGAATGTTTTCCTGTGACTGGTTTGATAAACCGACCTGGAGGTTGTCCCTTCTTTTTGTCTGGGCTCCAGGTGTCTGTGCAGGTTTCCAGCACAACAGACAGCAACAGCAGCACAGTCTTCTTCCTCTGATAACTGTGTCCTGGTGCCAGATAACTGTATGGAAGTTGACCCAGCCATTCCACAAACCCTACATAATGCACAAAAAAGATTTGGATGAACAGAAATTAGACAAAAGATTGAAAGGGAAAAACTAACAAAGCAACAAAGGCAAATAATCTAAGCATAGATGCCAAGTGTTCTGTTCCCATTAAAGTAATAATTCATTTTAGTGCAGTTTCAGTTTGGGGGATTTACCCTCATTGGATATTTGCTGTTTCATTTGGCATTAAAGACTGATGCATTGTTTTTACAATACAAAACAAAAAGTTTTAAAGATCAACATTTCATTACAGCAGCTATGGATTATCTCACCTATCCCCTGCTCCAGTATATCCTCGCAGTGGGTCGCATCTTCTTTCTTCTTGCCCTTTTGTCCTTTAACACGTGCTAAGCAGCCGTCTCTGATTCGAACCACAAACCTCTTGACTCCAGCCTGAAAATGCTGGCGAAAGGGCGAAGACTCGCAGTTCAGGTTCTGAGGAATAAACATCCTCATTAGCGACATCTCCTCTGTGGTTGGAGTGTCTTTGGTCTTTGGGCTGCAGCACAGGAGGTTCAGAGCAGCAAGGCGGACTTTGTCGTCTGCAGATCCTAGAGCCAGCCGGAGGGTTTCCAGGGTTGAGCTGCCCTGCAGAGCCCAGGGAGAACCTCCAGTCGAGGCTCGGTAGGAGCTCATGACACAGGCCCAGGCGTGGAGGTGGCCCGGGGCGAACGGGTCCAGAGAGGCCAGCAGATGATCCACAGCAGAGGGGAAGACTTGAAAGGTGCAGGGGAGCAAGTGTGTTGAGCTGTTGTTCTGTAGAAGAGTCACATCAGACATCAGCGCCTCGTGAAGCATGGGCCGCCAACGCCTCGCCCACTGATCTGCCAGATAAAGCTCGGAGCGTGATTCAGAGCCATCACATAGCTCCCGTCTCTGCTGCTGGATGAGACACTTGTAAAGCTCCGATCCACATGGTGCGAGGTGATTGATTGACAAGCACTTCAGGAGATGATTGGGTACTGCAGCATATTGATCCAGCACCTGATTAATTAAAGAAACAGGCAAAGTCATCATGACCTCTACTGACATTATAACATCATCTACACTGGAAAACACCCTCACCATGTCAGTACCCAGATGTGGCAGCAGGGCACATAGGCGATGATATTTGGCTTTTGTTTCCCAAGGCAGTTCAATTATTCGTTGAAGTAAAGTAAAATAAAGAATCTTCTTTGTGTCACAGAAGTGTTCACAGTCCTTCTCGTAGACGTCCAGCAGCAGACAGAAGGCACCGCGGACAAATTCAGGCACGCCTTCCACCTGCCGGTGAAAAGTAACAGATATATTGGCAGTTATACGTCTTTGTATGAATTATGAAACCTCCTCAATGACAGAAACCCTGTTTGGATATTTAGATATATAATCTATAAGTGCCTCAGTTGGGGCAACTAAGGCACTTATAGATTATAGATTATAACGATGTCAAGCAACAATTCTCAGCACACTGTATAGAACACCCTGCAGTATTTGGTTGTCCACTCAGTGGACAAAGTCAGATAATGTCCTTGTACATACTTGTACTTTTTGAATTGTAATAATATAATGATGTTAACTTGACTCACTGGGCTTTCTGCATTGGTCCAGATGATGTGAACCAGCTGTTGCTGCAAGCTGCCGTTGTCCGGCAGAAGGCAAACACCCGTCATCCTCCAGATCTCAGCCAGACATTCTTTAACCCTCTTCAGCCACAGTGTCAACACTGCAACAACATGTCAGATATGAACGGATGACATCAGCAGTTAAGAATGTGAATATGAGACCCGGACATTACTCACCTTCGAAGGCAAAGTGGTGACACTCCAGCTTCTCCTCACACAAAGCGTAGACCAGAGGAAACAAACCTTTCAGCAGTAAACACATCTGAAAAAAAGGAAATGATGGGATTAAAGGAAGAAGAACAAAAGTGATCCATGTTTTTGATGTGAGCTTCAGGTAGATGTACTTCTGTGTCATCCAGATGTGAACTGAGCAATATGTGAGGTCGACAGCAGGTCAGGAGGCCCCTGCTCACAGCCAGCCTCGCCACTCCGTCCTTTCCTGTCAGGACGTACTGTATCTGGAGAACACCAACAGTCAGCAGCCAGGGCTCTGAGAAGTAACAGGAACAACAGCTCATCCGTCAGGAAGAGATCTGATGAACTCAAACTATTAGTCCAGCAGTTGGTGGTCACCTACCTGAGTCAGAGACCTGCAGCAGACTCCAGGCAGCAGCTCCTCCAGCTCTGCTCTCTGGTGCTGTGTTGATCAGCATGGCCACAGCAGTTCCAGCCAAAAGACGAGTGTCCCTGTTACAGCACTGCAAGACACCAAACTGGCTGATGAGATGACACCAAAGGCAGTAACTCAACTGATATGTGTCTCTTGAGCTTAGTTCAGTTAATAAAAAAACCTGTCCAAGTATAATGTCCATGAGAGCCTGCAGGATCGTGTGCACCGCTGAGCTGCTGTGCGTCTTCTCCCACACTAGAGGAGCCACCTCACTGGACAGCAGCTGGAATATCTGCAGGCACAACTGCAGAGATCACAGTTCTCAGGTCAGTTACAGAGATCACACAGAAAGTCTTTAATGAACGTGATGGATGAAGCACTCTGCTCTGCATGTACCTTCACAGCTGTGTAACACAGCGGCCCATCTCTCAGGGACTCTTGCTGCAATACAACAGGAAACAACTCGGACACTTTGTTCAGCAGGGACAGGTACGACTCTCTCCAAACCTCACGACCAACACTGCTGTCCTCCAGGAACATGCAGGCTGAAAAACAGATTGATTCAAAAAAATGATATATGTAATGAATGATATACTGTAGTAACGCACCAATTTAACCAGCACTAACCTCTTTGTAGATGCTCAAAGGACAATATCTGAAACAAAGACAGCGTCAAAGTTATCTGCAGAGTCTTTTTGCAAATGCTTGTTTAGTCTCATCAACCATTCAAAGTGCTTATTACACACCATTCATACACTGCCTATACAGCAATCAGTCACTGGATGCATTCCAGTTTTTTAGGTTTCTTTTATACAATATTAAAAGGTATCAAAACGTAAAAGCCTTTCCGTGACAACGACTGATCTCTGTACCTGGTCAGTTTGGACCATGGAGAGCAAACAGTGGCGAGTTTCTCTATAAACCAGTTGATGGTCCACCTTGGCCAGATGTTGCAGCATCTGCAAAGCAAACATGTGGTTTTAGTGGCCTCCCCACTTCATAATGAGACTTGTACAGTGAAGGAGCCCAGTGTGGGGCTGACCTGGTCCACTTTACGACAGGCTGAGGAGATGTTGGCCGTCTGCAGCTGCATGGAGAGGAGCAGTTTGACCAGGAGCAGGAGGTGACTCTCCTCTAAACCACCGAGCTGTGCCTCTGATACTCGGAGCAGCTGAGCAGCCTCCTCCAAACAGCGCTCCTTCCATCTCTTCACACTGCTCCTGTTCAGGGAGGCATCATTAACATCATCACACACTGAGCAGAGAGTCACAGTAAGTTGTTACGCACCCTGATGTTCATTCACCAACCTGGAGGATTGAGACAGTTTGTCAGTGAGGAGCCTGAGTGTGTGACGGACATGTTCGGGAGTTCGATCCCCGCTGATCACACACTCCTGCAGACTTCTCATCAGATCTTCACACGACAACATTGTTGACCAAAACTTCAGATGCTGTCAGACACGTTCATACTGCTGCTGGACACGTGACAACATGACTCTAACTCAGTGGTTGCTGTGGAATCGTAGGGACACGCTGCCACCTACAGGCCGGAGTGTGCAGGTTTAACATGGATCAGAAAAACAGATCATATATAATATAACACATTTGTTTAAGATCTCATCCTCTGAGACAGGGGGAGGGTGGAGCAGTTGGGAGAATGGAAGGTTATAGAAGGGTGGTCCTTTGTTTGAGACCATGCCTGCATTAGTTTGGAACTGTTTGAAATGATGATGCAGGAGCTTTATACCGAGGAAGAAAATACACCTCCCTATCCTTGAAGATGCATTACTAAAATAAATCATCCATCCATTCACCAATCCTCCACCATTCTTCAGACCACTCAATAAATGGTTAACTGGCTTTTGGATCCTTGTGTTTAAATGTGCACCCCAGTTAGAAGTTCTATGATCCATTCAATCCTATCCCACCTAATCATATGATAACCAAATTCACGCCACATACCAAATTTACAATCACAGTCCAAGGTGAAAATATCAATGATGTAAAATTACTTTATAGTAACCACATATTTTACTTGGACTACTAGCTAGCAGCCTTTATTTAGTCTTAGCTTTACAGAGATATGGATTTATCTTCTATATATATATGTATACATTCTTGGTAAAAAATAAAAATGTACATCCATAACTCTCAATGGACTGGGCTCAGAACTCTGCTTTATAGTTGAACTCAAGTAGTATGACTTGATAAAATAAATAGCACTAAATGGACTCACACTTGTCTTTGTGTGAATAAAGACTTGAGGCATCAAACTGAGAAAACAAACTATATTTGATTAAAAGCTGGGTTTGAAAGATTGCATTTCTACCACCCAGACCAGATGAGGTCGCTGTTGTTCATTTGAGAACAATTGTGTCTCCATCTTTCCCCAGAAGAAGAATGATCTGCGTTGCCAGGACATCCACAGTTTACAAACATGGCGGCTGTCTGAAGGACCCAAATGGCTGACGTGCTGTGTGTGTCCCCCTCCCTCCAGGTCCTGTGTGTTTTGATGCTCTTTACCTGGGCTCACACTCAGAATGTTGTCGGTAAGTCACTGGTACACGTTCGCTCATACTAATCTTCCGGTTTTACTTTAATGCTGCCACCTCAGCTAGAGCAGAACCTTGCTGATCCTGGATCAGTTATGTTCGCAACAGTACAGCTCCAGCTAACACACATGATGTTCAACAGTTTTCCAGCCTTCATATCTCACCGCTCCTGGTCCAGTGGTCTCTGCTCTTCTGCTCGGAAACACGTCGGGCGTGTCCCTGAGTGTGAGGACCGTGTCTCCGTCCAACACCACGGGTACAACACTGCGTCTGTGTCTGCTGTCATGTAGCAGGTTTGACTTGGACTATCCAGCAGCCTTTATTTAGTCTTAACTGTACAGACAGATTGATTTAACCTCTGAACGTATGGGTCTGTATAAAGAGCTTTTGTACTTGTATGCATATGTATGCTAATTTAGGACTTTCCATCATTTAAAAGTAGATAGAGTTCTTAAAAGAGAATTTATAAGACCTTGATTCTTTTCCTTCTCTTCTCTCCTATTAATCCTCTCTCAACCCCTCCGATTTCAGGAAGACCCTTTGTTTTTTTTTGTTTTTTTTGAATGGATGTGCAAACTTTTATTTGGAGGAAAATGGGAATTACTTTTCAGATTGATGTATCTAATAATTACAGATTCGTGATTAGGTTGAACTGAAATCTGTGGTGTTTGGTTGCCAGAATAAACCCTGGGGGTAACAAACAGAGAGAAGGAAGCCATGTGTCTACCTTGTGATTTTGCGGTCTGTTGTCATGTTTGGACAACTTTGGTTTGTTTTCTTTCACAGGAAGCATAGGTCCTCCATCATGTGCGGCTGAGGTAACGCAGTGGGTGCTCACTAGAGAGCAGGTGGGAAAGGTGAGAATCAAATCATACACCACACACTAATTTAATCATTTTAAACTATTTAAATAAATCTGAAGTAAGAGGCATATATAACCGATTTATGGTACACCCCGCAATTAATTTAATAGAGCTGATATTATGGTGTGAAACAATCCATCCATCCATTATCAATACCGCATATCCCTTGAGGGTAGCAGAGGGACGTTCACACATTTAGAGATTCAGAGTTTCCATTTAATCTAACCCTAATGTTCACATCTCTGGACTGTGGGAGGAAGTTGAAGTACCCAGAGAAAACATGGGGAGATTATGCAAACTCAACAAAAAAGACTTGGATCCAAACTGCAAAGCAGCAGTGTTGCCCACCATTTTCTCAATGTTCCTTTATTTTTCTTTATTTCTTGCCCCAGACTGTGGAACGAGTTCAGCTGAGTTTGGAAAGAAGTTTGCATTTGTGTGGTGAGAATGAGACGGACCCAGACTGCTGCTCTAATCCACTGTGTGTGCTGGAGACACTTCAGGTTTCTGCTTGTGTGGGCGACACGCCTCAGGCATCACTGCTGATCCAGGCCAAGATACATGCACTGCTGGTTCCTGCGAATGCTGGACCTGGTAATTCAAATGAAAGAGCTTCTGTTCATTATGGGATGTAGGGTTACATTTCTAACACATATAAATCTCCTGTCCACAGCAGATAATAAAACAACCATTCCGAACCAGGTGTACCAACCACTGGGCCCTTGTCCCTGTGATCTCACATTCAGAGCATGTGATGTACACTGCTGCTGTGACAAGGTATTTGTTGCTGTAGTCTTTCAACAACACTTCACTTTGGCAGATGCATTTCTTTCTCCATTAATTAGCAATGATTGATATGTTTTTCATTCTATCAGGACTGCTCCAATGAAGATTTGACACTGTTTGCATCCCACTGTCTCCCTGGTCCCTTTGGTGGACAAGTCTCTCCTCCTCCAGATTATCAGTGCTCTGTGCAGTCCGCTGAAAACACCCCAGATTGGTTTCCATTTTTATGTGTCCATTCACCACCTAAAAACAACCCTTTCCTTGGGCTCTTTTACAGAGGAAATGTAGTGTGAGTTATGAATTTTAATCTTAATGTTTGTTTGTGTCCTTTATGAATTATTGTTTGATTATTTATCTTTTGCTGTTTTTCTTGCCTAGCAAATCCAAGCCTGGTCCAACCTTCCAACGGCCCGTGTTGTCAGCCCCAGCACTAGTTAATGTCTATGTTGAAGGAAGTCCAATTTTAACATTAAATGATCAATATTTAACTATTCCCCAGGTTAGTTGTGTGTCTGGTGTTTACACTACAATTCACTACAGTGTTTTTAGATTATATTTTGTATTCTATGTAGCAACTAACATCTTGTCTATCCGTCTTTCACAGAAGGTGTTCGGCCAGTGTGTTAATAATGCACCTGTGGCATTTTTGAAAAATTTCCAAGTCGAGTGTGTAACTCCGCTACACACCTGTCCAACTGAACCTCCTTTACAGACACTACCAGAGGATTTGAGGATTCCAGTGAAGAATGGCGAAGGGGGTTTGTTTTATCTGCTAAACATGTTTCAATACATCCTGGACATCATTGAATCTGTGTGTTTTTAAAATTCTGTTTATTTTGTCCTTCAAGGTGACGTTATAGTTGAGGTGACGGATGAAGTGGCCATCGATCCGAGTCAGAGTATTTCAAACACAAACGGTGCTGCGTCTTCAGGTATGTAGATTACAACATATCATTACTAGAATCAACAACTTAAACTGCCCATTAACTTTAATGTTAATGTGTTCACATTTCTCCTAAGCAGAAAGCCTGATGTGTGAGAATGTGACCTTAGCACTGGATTATCAATTCTTCTGGAAAGAAAATAGCATCACAAATATCACACTGACACGCACTGTTGGAGCCGTCCCTTTGAATGGTAGTGGTAAGTGTTTGCGTACTGTATCTTACCCATGATTTGACTTATCACTACATGCAAGTTCTGAGATATGTTTGGACTAACCTTAGTATTTGTCCTCTGAACAGTGGTGTTAACTACAAGGTACTCTGCTGTGTTTATCAATGGGGACTTCATGAGTGAGCCCAATTCAGGGAACCCAGGTGAGAGCGAGATAAACTTCCTCATCTGCTAAGTGGTCAAAATGGTTGTGATAGGGAACTGTAGTAGTGCTGATATTTTCAATGACAGGTTACCAGGTGGGAAGGCCTGTTATTGGTGGATTCATGGACATTTTGGACAACAATACAGGCTCAATACAAAGGACGTCAATTAATCTTTGGAAATCAGGTAAAAAGTGATGTTGATTACTGGCTTACTGCAAGTGTATAACAGTTAATTATCAATTTTCCAATCAAAGCAACTTGTCTTAAAGTGCCATTTTCTGATCCAACTGATAGTGAGTGATGGACTCTGTTTCACCAATGAGAAGAAACCAGTTCTTTTTGGGGAGAATTCAACATCAGGATGTTTGCTGCCAGTCAGCCGCCAGAATCTGACCCAGTGTGATCTCTTGAGGTCAGTAGCTCATGCTCAAGATTGATTTCTGTGTCTGAATTTGCCATAGGATAAAATATAATGGGTTTTTTTTCATTTAGAGAAACAGTTGCTTCTCTCCAAGCTGCTCTGACTACAGCCACATATGTAGCAAGGAGTGGAAACCCAGATCCCCTGACTGTGACAGACTGGATAGATATAAGCTGTAAGTGAATGTTATATAGATTTTTTATATTTTTATTTTAACTTGTAAAGCACATTAAACAGTTTCCGGTAACTATATATTTTGGGTTTAGCTAAATTTTACATGTAACAAGAATTTCCCCTTGGGGATGAATAAAGTATGTCTATCTATCTATCTATCTATCTATCTATCTATTTAAATTCCAGTTGTGATGCTGAACTCAAGCGCAACCGTAGAAGACTCCACAAATTCATGCTATGGGATTCAATCCCACCAGCATATCCATGTTTGGAGTCTTATCACTGGCACAGTAGAGGGCAGACCTCAGAGGGAAATCCATGCTTTGCAAGTCAGGTGTGTCAGGTTTCTCCCTGCAATGCAAAATAAATTGTATTTACAGTCAGTATAAGTTACCAAATGAGTCCAATTACTAATGTCATTGCAAACCAAGACGTGTATCTTATTTTGATCATTTGTAGCTACAGCATGTCCACCTGGTCTCTGGATTGTGTAGGAGGTGATGACTCTCCATGCGTGGACCCTCAGGAAACTTGGTTACTCCCCATCACCTCCTCAGTCACCTTCACTGACATCCCTGTCAACACAGAACCACCAAAAACCAGGTGCTTCCTGAAACACTGAGTCTGCCCTTATAAAGAAAGATGTTAAATGAATAGTTTTTTGAATGGGCTGCCTGACTGATCCTAACTGAGAGCATTTTGACTTTTACCCCCCTAGTTTTCAGATCAACTTCACAGAGTATGACTGTAACAGGAATGATGTGTGTTGGCCTGAGCTTGCCTTTCCCTTCACCAGGTACTACACAGGTAGGAATCTGTCTAATTTTGTATTTTACTGTTTATTTTAGGACATTATTTAGTAAACAATAAACTGCTGGGGAAATTGTAAATAATGTGAGTAAGTACAGCACGAATAAAAAAGACATTCCCACAGTTGTGACACATTTGTGCACAAAGTAGAAAAATGGATACTGACTGTACCAGCTCTGATTTATTTTACATTTCTCCTCCCCAGGTGAGCCATATTCTCAGTCACTGGCTAAGGGCCTTATCCTGGTTTTCTTCTTCGTCGCTGCCTCCATTCTTGGGACTCCATGGAGACAAGTCCGACAGGCCTGGAACACTCTCTGAAAGAGAAAAATGTAGAGGAAGCAAAATATTTGGAGGAATAACAAGAGAATGTCCCACTAAACTAGAGTATCTATTTAAATGTCACTAAAATGTAATTTCACCTTTTTTCCATTAGATATTGTTTATTATAATACAGGTTTTACATGTTTGTGGGAATGTAAATAGTTGTATAGCTACACCATTTTGTAATAAAATATTTTTCTATTATTTCTTTCAGACTCAATCACAATATTTGTTTCCGTTATATTTTTGAGGGCAACCTTCTCATAGGTTTGAAGGTGGTTAGAACTTCTAATCTGATTTCAGTCCCGCCCGTCAGTTTGTTTCTTGTTGACAGCCTCAGGGTTCAACTGTGAGTCATTGTTTATTCAGGTTGTAGATGCTCCACGAGGGGTTATCTTCCACAAGCACAATATTGATTCAGTATTGTGCAGATGGCAACTAACAAAACCAAGCTGTTGCTCCTTAAGTTTCTGGACCCCTGTACTGCCTCAATCTAAGATAATTTAAGATAACATTATCCTTTAAAAGTCCTTCTACTGTATGTCAAAACTTGCTGTGTTGCTGCAGCAAAGTGGATAGTAAGATTGTTTTCCTACATTTCTGTATATATAGATATTTACATTTATTAATTTATTATTTTGGCAATTTCAGTCCTTGATATAGACTAGAGATTCTAGTAAAGTAAAAGATATATAATTTGTCTTTTCTCTTTGTGTAGTAGTTGTGTCATCCAAGTGTCTGTAAGCCCTGACATTCACATTCGACTTGAAACGAGTATATTTACACCATGTTTTTAGCTTTAGTGTCGGTTGTGGACTGATGCGGTTCGGAGGACGATAACAGAGGACATTTAAGCTAAAAACATGGAGTAAATGACGCTGTTTCCAGTCAAACACTTCACCCACCCCTCCATCAGCAAAGTGTTGAGTAGATAAAGAGTGAATTTTATTTTTCAACTATCTCTTTAACATGTCATTGAATTGATGGATGTGGGGATGTTAAAAATCTGGATCACACAGTGAAAGGTATTTCTATGAGATAATGTTTGGTTAAGAAAAAAAAAAAGAAAGGATTAAACATTTCTGTAATAGTTTTCTTTGGGAATTGGATTTCCCTGAAAGTCTCTACCTGCAGCCTTCAGACAGCGCTGAGGGCTGAGCGCTCGTCCGCAGTGCGCAGACTCCAGCGGGCTGCGCTCATTGGTGGAGGGCTCGGCCTCTGCTGGGGAAGTTGATCGTATTCAACAGTGTGAGGTGAAGTGACGTGGAGGAGTATGGACACAACAAGAGGACGGTTCGTCAAAGTTCACAGACCCGGAGCGGAGTGGTGAGCACTTCTGACGCGACACCAGCAGCTGCGGTAGCGGCGACCTCACGTTCCCAGCTGCAGCTGTGACCGCTCTCATCCAGGGGACGGCGGCGCTTCTTCGGCTTGTTAGCTCACGCGTTAGCCTCCAGGAGCAGCCTGTGAACTCTGGCTGTCTGAAGTGAGCCCCGTGCGACTCAAACTCCGCCGCTGCGTCACCGGAGGCTAAACATGAAAAAGACCAAGAAAGACAAGAAAGACTCGACTGGCCGCCGCTGACGCTTGCTTTACTCAGACCGCAGTAGCTCGCTTGCTAGCATTAGCCCGCCGGCTGAGCAGGGACACAACACGGCTAAGTGTCAAAATGAGCTCCCTGCTGCGAGGTGAGGAGATGTGTCTGGCCCAGCTCTTCCTGCAGTCTGGATCCGCATACGACTGCATCAGTGAGCTGGGGGAGCTGGGACTGGTGGAGTTCAGAGACGTGAGTGCAGACACATCCTGAAGTTCACTCATCTGTCACAGTGAAAGTTACTGCTGAGTGGACAAAGTGCATGCATTTAACTTGACCTGTTTTCTTGGAGTCCCTTTCGTTAGTTTTTCATAACACAGCAGATCCGATGTTTTTTCCCACCAGCTATAAGTGGTTAAATCCTCCTGTAAACTGGCTTTACAGGTTCTTACTGAATGGTTTCTGATAGTTTTTCCGAGGATCTTTGCTGCTTCCAAACTGATTGTTAATCATTAAATGTTTAACTATGTCTTGTACCTTTTTTCAGCTCAATCCCAGTGTTAACGCATTCCAGCGAAAACATGTCAACGAGATAAAAAAATGTGAAGAAATGGAGAGGATTCTCGGTAAGCTCACATTTATTCTCAATATACAGTTTACCAATAAAGATCCCTATCTAGTCACTGAGTTGTACGTGTGGTCGAGCATTAGACAGGATCCAAACAAAGCTGTGATGAATAAGTTCAGAGGATTCTTGGTATGCACATTTATCGTTACTTTACAAAATACAGACAAGGCCCTCTATGTAGTTACTCAGTTGTAGTCGAGTATTGGCCAGGATCAAAACAATTTGTTGAGATGAAGCGAAGCAGGAATCCATGAAGCCACCGACGGCCTTTCTCATTGAATTGAATTGAGAGCCAGCGACCCTACAGTCATGAGAAATGTCAGCTGGTTCTGTATTGACTTGAATGAAATGCCACCCTTAGCTAACTAAACTCTTTATTATTAGATTAAGAGGAGAGACAACCACAGTGCTAGACTTCGCTTGGAATTCAGTGGTGTTCAAAAGCTGGTTGTAGAATCTAGAAACTTTGAGAAGGTCTCAGAAACAACTGCTTTTTACTTTTTTTAACAGGATACCTTCTGAGGGAAATTAAGAAAGCAGACATTTCACTGCCAGAACGAGATGTGTCCCCTGTTGCTCCCTTACCAAAGCACATCATGGCTATAATGGTTAGTAGCTTGTTCACGTATCATTTTGAATTTATCTTGTTGATGGAGAAACACCATGTAAGCCCATGAGTTGAGTTACTGCCACATCTCCTATTGTCTGTCTAAATTTGGAAGATGACACCAAATAATTTTTTTAACAAATTAACGTTGCCATGCCGCTGATCCCTGGTTGTCTGTGTGTTCACAGGAGCAGCTACAGAGACTAGAAGTGGAGCTGGGTGAAGTCACCAGGAATAAAGAGAAGCTGCAGAAGAATCTGCTGGAGCTGACGGAGTACACACACATGCTGCGTGTCACCCGCGGCTTTGTACAGAGAACGTCTGAGGTTAGTGTGTCGACTTAATGTGGCCAGATTCTTTACATTCAAAATGTTTCAAGTGGATTCTGTTGATTTGATTTTCATCATCATATTTCTCATCTTTACTTCCTAGCGAGAGCCCCTGCAAGTGCAGTATGAGGAGTTCCCCTTCCTAGAAAAAGACACAGTGATGGATTACAATAGCATGCAGAGGCTAGGAGCCAAACTGGGGTGAGGAATGAAATTCTCCCCGTCATATCAGCGTTATGTTTATGTTAGTGTTTCAACATGTAGTGTTATTTATTTTAGAGTTGACAGTAGACCTTGGCTCTGTCACTATCATCATGGCATTTTAAAATTTGAAATCGTAATATCATGTGGTAATGAGGAAAAAGTGAATGAAGGGAGCAGTTAAAGAAAGTTTCAAATGAGGCAAGTTGGACTTTTTATTTGTCTTCAATGGTTTTCTTTGTCCTGTCTGTCTCCCATTACAATCTGTATACACTGTACACACCCAAACAGACAAGATATTCACAAGGTACAATAAGTGAGATGCTCTTTGCCAACAAAATGTTAATCACAGAACCAGTGTTGTGAGAACAGTGTATTTTGTGGACAGATATTTAGCTGAATGTAAGTTTTTGTTGATTGTGAATAAGCAGCTCGGATGAGATCTCAAAAGAAAGATAGCTGAGCTCACAGCTGCATGTTTCTGTAGTCACAGTATAGAGAGTATCACAGCTACAGCACACAGCCTGAATTATGTTAAGTTGAGAAAACTGTAAGATTGTTTAAATGAAAGCACAGATGTTCATACCTGGTGTTAACATCTGTCTTGGGTGATCCAAGCACAAGTGGACAGCTCTAAGTTCTACAGTTGTCACCTGGCATTAGAATTTACATTTACAGACACATCACGCGTATGTATGTATGTTAGAGAGTGGCATGGAGGGAGCAGAGCAAATTGATGCGCTGTGCTCACATCTACTATGAAATAAGATTTGATTCATTTGATAGATAGAACATCTGTCAGTGTTGATATTGTTGCGGTGGGCGTAAATGGATCAAAGTATGTGAAAACCGGGACATGTTAAAATGATTTTAGTTAATTGTGAAACGGTAGCATGTCGGAGGATGTCAGCTGAGTAGGCGTTCCTTCATATGTGACCTAGGGCGCATTTGTGTTCACACTGTTAAAAGAATGTGTCTGAGACCACTTCCATGTGTGGTAATGACTGATCGTATCTCTATGCATCTTGGGTGCAATAACACTTTTTGGAGCTGTTCACTTGTGATCATATCAACTCTGAACAGCAACAGCTGTGACATGAAGCAGACACACACACACACTTCATTCTCATTTGCACCATATATGGCTGTTAATTTTTTATATCTCATATACTGTTTATCTTCCCTAGTAGGTACATGTGTATACCTTAGACTGATTGGAAATGCTTCTCTTGCAGTTTCATCTCTGGGCTTATTCAGAGGGCAAAGATCGAAGCCTTTGAGCGGATGCTGTGGAGAGTCTGTAAAGGCTTCACCATCCTTAGCTATGCTGAGGTCGACGAATACCTGGACGATCCTGAAACAGTAGGTTTCTCAAAGATAATTTTCCACCATTTGTGCTGAGGTTGCATTTTGTTATGTCCATATCCATGAAATTAAGATATCAGCAGTGAAGACATGAAACATTTAAAAATATAACCACACCCCTTTTAATATTTTTTGTGTTTTCATAAGCTGCTTTCAGACATGCACAGATCTTTTGAGAACACATCTGAGCGGAGAACCTCCCGCTGCGTTGTGCATTTGTAAAAAAGCAAATTGTGGAGAAAGTCCAGACACAATTCTCTGGATCTCCTCCACAGGTCATTAGTATTGTAGAGGAGTGAAATGACATAAAGCAAAGCACAGTCCTGAAACAGTTATAGATACAATGTGACAACATTGAAAATGACACAAGTGAAGCTTCTGTGAAGTGTGTTCTCATCCCCTTGCCGATCACATAAACAACGAGGGCTGTGATCGTGTTCTTTCACACTGAGTGACAGCACTAATCCAGTTATCCGTTTCCTCTGCTTGACCAGATGGCTGGCATGCAGGGCGGGACTGATCGCTGGTGGAATGTCAGGACATACTTTACTGGACAATGTACAACCATGTTAACATGTGTCTCGAATGGTTTCAATAAAGGAGGCTTGACGTCAAGTTAGAAGCACCAGTCATGCTTTTCAAAAATCACAGAGAGTAATGCTGCTATTTTCAAGGTCAACAATTAACTTTTGTTTTGGCAACAAACTGGTTGATACAAATAAGTAAGTTTGTGATTAAATATAGATTTTGAACAGAAAGTGAACTCTGGACTTTAAGTGACACTTCTTTTTGTTGTTGATAGAAGAAACAGGTCTTTCCATTGATATACAACACATCCTCTTTTGTTTTCTTGCAGGGGGAGCCAACCAAAAGAGTGGTGTTTCTGATCTCTTACTGGGGAGACCAAATTGGCCAGAAAGTAAAGAAGATCTGTGACTGGTAAACTATTCTGCAACACATGATCACATGGCTGCTCTATTTATGCCAGAAAATGGTTTAATTATATTTGCTTTTTGTTTTTATTTTTACTCACCTGTGCTTGTGAATAATATACCTTTTCCTCTCCATAGCTACCACTGTCACCTGTATCCCTATCCCACGAACAATGACGAGAGGAATGACGTTGTAGAAGGACTTAAAACTCGCATTCAGGACCTACACACAGTATGTGTATTAAAATATCTAAATATATTTAAGTAGTGACAGGAAACGAAATTACTCTGTTTGTCATTCACTAAAAATGTACTTTCCCTGTTTGTCATCATCTCCTTGTTTAAATACAACCTGGATGATTTAGAACATGAGTTGTCTGGGTGTTCTTTTCCCTGGGGGATGGATTTTTAGTATAAAGGAAAACAATATTTTTTGTTTGCAGATTATCTTGTGTTCAGTGAGTCATATTAAATACAGCAGGGGCTTTTCTTTTGAGCCAGTCTCTTTTTGTTAAAAGAACAAAATGAAATGGCTGATTTATTTTCTAAAAGATTAACCCAACTGTTCTTCTTGCGAGCCAGACCTCGCAGTCATAGGGTCAGGTGAGTTTCTGGTGTGGGGCAGTTCACTGTGAATCATTTGGAAGCTTTACCCTACTGTGACTGAAAAGTAGGATTGTACTCACTCACTCCCTGGAGCACATTATCAACATGAGGCCTCAGCAGGAGGTTCTTTCTTTTGTGTATTTTTTTTTCCATCCTCTCCCAACTTTTCCTGACAATTCTCATGTCTTGCCCATGTCTTAGTATCTTATTCACACACACAAACACTGATAGGCTTCTTGTTCAAATGGTAAATATTGTTCTTTGCTAATCATATTTTCTCTTGAAAGTCTTGAATATATAAATTTATTTTTAATTGTGAAAAAAAACCCATCTCTTCCTGTGTGCAGGTACTTCACAGGACAGAGGACTACCTGAGACAGGTCTTGATAAAGGCTTCGGAATCCGTGTACACATGGGTCATCCAGGTCAAGAAGATTAAAGCCATCTACTACATTCTGAACCTGTGTAGTTTAGATGTTACAAACAAGTGTCTGATCGCTGAAGTGTGGTGTCCTGTCAACGACATTCCCACCCTGCGGAGGGCCCTGGAAGAAGGATCGGTGAGGAAATTCTATTTTTGACTCTTAACCTCACTGAGGGCCTTCTTTTGTGTTTATTTATCGGGGGCAGTCGCTTCATGAATTGGGATCCTGTTATCATAAAAACAAGTATTGTATTGAGGCATTGCTTTTATTTTCCCCTGGTGAGTGTACTGAAAGACCACCCTGTATTTTCAGATGACAAAAAATACACACTAATGAGTGCAGTTTTTTTTAGCTAACACAGGATTGCATTATGCCATATTTGCTGATGTTACATCCACCGTCCCTTTTCTATACTTTTTGTGTTGATTGTCAGATGTTGATTTAGTTAAGATATCTTAATTTACTAAGATTGTGATTTTAACTTTGATATTTCAGAGAAAAAGTGGAGCAACAGTTCCTTCCTTTGTCAATCGTATCCCCACCAGCGACACTCCCCCCACCCTTATAAGGACCAACAAATTTACCTCTGGCTTCCAGAACATTGTAGATGCCTACGGAGTGGGCAATTACCGAGAGGTTAACCCTGGTGAGTTTGTCTCTCTGTATGTTTATATATATATATATATCGCAAAATGAGATTGGGAAGTAAAAATGTGCATGAGCATTTTATTTATCAGTTTGAGAATATGACATGATACAGTGGTCTGCACTGTATCAGAAGTCTGAGATGTGAAAGTAACATGCATGTTTCCCAAAAGTCCCAAAAAGTGAGATCCAATTATTAACCAATTAGAAACCGAAAATCTAAATGAATGCTAACTTACATTTTTTGTCATTGTTGTTGCTAGATTTTAACATCATGTTCTCTTTATACTTTCATTTTTTTATTTTAAAAGTGCTGCAGTTTTAAAGTTATTTTTTCCTCTCTTGCTCATTTTTAGCTCCTTTCACAATCATCACTTTCCCATTCCTGTTTGCCGTGATGTTCGGGGATCTGGGTCATGGACTCATCATGGCGCTCTTTGCTTTCTGGATGGTGCTGTACGAGAACAACCGCACACTTAAAAACACGCGGAATGAGGTGTGTGAGTTCTCCAAAGCTGAGAATGTTTTTAACATAATACTCATTCAACCAGTCTAATACCAAAGTGTGTGTTAAACAGCAGGTCTGATGCGTAAGTGAGTGATTTAATGTGTGAATGTGCAGATCTGGAACACGTTCTTTGAGGGCCGTTATATCATCCTGATGATGGGCCTGTTCTCCATCTATACTGGTCTGATATACAATGACTGCTTCTCAAAGTCCCTGAACATCTTTGGTTCTGGATGGAGTGTGAAGGCCATGATCAGAGCGGATGTGTGGAAGTAAGTACTTCATTACAATAAGGACTTTGTCATTACAGTAAACCCAGCTACAGCTTTCTTACAAACTAACAAATGTAATGAACAACCTGTTTTAAAGATAAGATGTTTGTTTGATTTTGACTTATTTGTGACCAACAGGGACAGTGATCTCAGTGGGAACCGTTTTCTTTCTCTGGATCCAAATATTACAGGAGTTTTCACAGGACCATATCCTCTGGGAATCGACCCAGTGAGTAAAGAGTAATGAAAAGGAGTCATCGTGTATGATGTAATTTGCCATATAAAACCCCATATTCACAGATTTTATCATACTTACAATCAGTCACTGAAATGCTTTCTAAAATGTTTGATTTCACCAACACATGTGCACTTAAATATTTGTAAAGGATTAACATAAGTAGTGGCACTTTGCAAGTCACTGATTTCCTTGGATGATAATGGGAACAAGTTTGTTGCTCAACAAATTTCAGAAAGAGCAAATTAAGCAGCTCAGATTCTGAAATACACTTATCACACAAAATATTTCTTATCTTACCATTATGCAATAGTAAATTTTTGAGGACTATTAAAAATGCTGCACAATACATCGAAAATTTATCATCATCGCGATATCAACATGTGAGATATACGTATAACACAAAAGACTGCTTGAACTACGATAAATGGTGTTCTGTGGGCCTTGCATTCAAGCTCTTTATGTCAATATATTTGGCCAATCAGATGATGCCCTAGTGCCCTAGATAATAAATGTTGCTCTTCCTCTCTCTCAATTTAACACTCTGTACTTAAGCATTTGTTTATTTACTAAAAGTCATATCATCATTGCAACATTCAACATTTTTGCATGTTTTCCTAATATCCTGCCGACTTAATGTGGAGCAGTCATATTCTGTACCAAAGGACTAAATCGGATCAGATAATCGAACGTGATCTGTCTTATTTATTTGCTTGATTAGTGGAAATATTCCAGGGACACATATTGTGTGATTGAAAATAAACTAGGTTGAGTTCCCGGAATTTATATTATTGGATCATCAATAACATTATTAGATTGCTTCTAGGAACAGGAATACCACACTTACATGGCTATTATTTATAAGCTTAAATAACAAGGCTGCAGGTTTCATTGATTCAAACATTTTTCAGTTGAGGTTGCCTTCGTTTACAACAATGTTGACTGTGTTATCTTTTACCAATCCAAACTACTCATTGTGTAATAGATTTTGTCATGTTTCTGTTACAAAGATCTGGAACTTGGCCTCCAACCGTCTAACATTTCTGAACTCCTATAAGATGAAGATGTCAGTGATATTGGGCATCATACACATGAGCTTTGGGGTCATTCTCAGCACTTACAATCACTTGTAAGTACCCGTTTGATTGTTTTTTCTTTATCCTTTCTTTTAGATGTTACAGTTTAATAACCTGTCTTCTTTTTGTCAACAAAAACAGGCACTTTAGGAAAAAGCACAACCTGTACTTGGTATTTCTGCCTGAGCTGCTGTTCCTGCTGTGTCTTTTTGGCTACCTGGTGTTCATGATTTTCTACAAGTGGCTGGTGTTCTCTGCAAAGAACTCCAGAGAAGCCCCGAGCATCCTCATCCACTTCATTAATATGTTCCTCATGCAGGGGGACACAGTGCCGCCCCTCTACCCAGGACAGGTGAGAAGCCAACGCAAAGCTCCACTCCTGCATCAGTTAAATTTATGTCCCTGTTATACTGAACAGATTTAATCATGTCAGTTCAAATCTACTTACTCAGACCGATAGATCATATCTGTGTAATGCAGTGTGTTTTGCTGCTTCTTCCTCAGACTGGCCTGCAGGTGTTTCTAGTGGTCATTGCTGTTCTCTCAGTGCCTGTCCTACTCCTGGGGAAACCCATCTACCTTTATTGGCTCCACAATGGAAGCCACCGACTAGGAATGTACAGGGTGAGGGTTTGAAATGCATTTCTGTGAATGAGTGAAAAAACTGTCTCAAATATTTGTTCTTTGACTGGAAATATGCACATCTAATTATTTTGTGTGTGTTCAGGGATACGAGCGTGTTCGACGTAACAGTGAGGAGGAGCTCTACCTGATGAGGGCTCATGACATGGAGGAGGGCAGCAGTCACAGTGATCTCTCCACAAGCTCAGAGCACAAGACAGAAGAGGTCAGCACAGCAAAACAAAATGCAGTATAACCATATAATTAAAAGCAACCAATGCTGTTCTTCTTTGACTGGTGTCTGTCAGTCATGCTGAGTTTTAATTTTGTTGTGATAGTTTGACTTTGCAGATGAGTTCCTGCATCAGGCCATCCACACTATAGAGTATTGCCTGGGATGCATCTCAAACACAGCGTCCTATCTAAGACTCTGGGCTCTGAGTCTGGCACATGCCCGTGAGTGTTGGGGTTTGCATTTGCATTGGGGTTTTGTTCCAAATCAATAAGCCACTTTTATTCCCTCTCCCACAATGTGATTGTCTGACAGTCCATGTCCAGGTATTTTCTTTTAAAGGGTTTTCTTTCCTTTGCTACAGCACAATTAAAAAATCATCTTGAATGAAGCACATTTAGCTGCAATAAGAGAACATCTTGAAATGTCCCTGTGCACAGTATATCACTTTTTCAACTAAATGTAATACATTTACCATGACAAATTGAAATTAATTGGAAAATTGATTACATGACAGTTTTAAGAGGGGAAAATCAAACTGCAATTTCATATCTCTAACATCATCCTGTGTGTGCGCTGCAGTACATCTGTTGATATGACTTCCAGTTGTTGAGCCGTGATGAAAGTGTTTCAGAAATCAAAAAAAGGTTCTATCTTGTCAGAAAATGCCCTTTGCAAACTTAATTCTGAATTTTTAAATTGACGTATCACTTCACCCACGGACATTATTAGGAGTCCAAAGAAAAGTCAACACATTGACAAGTCTGATAATAGCATGAATATTAGTAGTTACATACACCTCATACAATCATACACCTGTCTCTTTTGCAATTCTCAAAAGGAATGGTGCACATGCTCTTTCCTCTGCTTTCACAGAGCTGTCAGATGTGCTGTGGGCCATGGTGATGCGAGTAGGACTTCGAATGGACACCAGTCTCGGGGTTTTATTCCTGGTGCCTGTGTTCGGCCTGTTTGCCGTTCTCACTGTGTCCATCCTCCTGATAATGGAGGGTCTGTCTGCATTCCTTCATGCACTCCGACTACACTGGTAAGAATATCCATAGCTCCTAAAGTTGCCCTCTTGTGTCATTGAAAGTGCCAACTGTTCTTTAAATTACCTCAGTGTTTTGCTATATATATATATTTTTTTTTTCTAACAGCATTTGTTTTTCTTCCTCAGGGTGGAGTTTCAGAATAAGTTCTACAGTGGGACTGGAGTCAAGTTTTGCCCCTTTACCTTCTCTCTCCTGCCCTCCAGCTTTGAGCATGATGGTTTACTGTGAAAGGACTACCTGGTAATACTGTTGATTTGGTAAACAGAACCAAGACAAGCAAACATGGTTCTGTGCTCATACAGACATATTCCAGACAAATCCTGAGGTGATTTAGACTATTCTTTTCTTCTTTAAATCATTTGTGAAGACATCTTATCTTGAGCCTCACAAACAGTGGATTTCCCAAACTGTTAAAAAACGAACTGTGCAGAATGTACTGTTGAGAAAATACAGTTTTTCTTATTAAAATGTATATAACAGGGAATACTTTCAGACCTGTATCAGTATGCTTCACTGTGGAAGTGTGAGTGTCAAATATAAATTGCAACTGGTATTTTGAAAACCATACGTTTTCTTATGAGGCTTTATTTTTTTTAACAGTTGTTGACATCAGTTGTATGGAGAAAACACCCCCCCCCCACACACACTTAGAATAAATGATCAAAAACATGTGATTTTTAATATGAGATAACTTAGTTAAGTTAACAGTAATGGGTAAATGGTTGGCCCACAGGTTTGGCTACTCAGACAACACTTGTTAGTGTACTCTTTTGGTCCTCTCATGGGATCTGCTGATTAACCAAGATGAAAGATAACAGAACATCTATCTTTATCTTCTCTTTATTTATTTCTGGGTTCTTCAATTTCTTCTCTTGTAATGTTTAATAATTAATTTCCACATAGGGTTTCCATACACTGGGTAGCGAGCCACCTTACAGATACATAGTTCTTATTCTACTCTTAGGTGCACTGATTGCCTTATCTAAATACAACCAAATGACAGCATACTGTATCATACTTCAGATTCCACTCGTATTCCTACTTTGTAGTACCAAAACACTGCAAAGTATTTTTGACTTTTCAGTATGGAAAAGGGCTTAGGCTGGTGTGTGATGAGGTGTATATACTTTTGCAGAATGTATCTTTTTTAATTTATTTTAAAATGTTGCATCGGAATTAAAGATGAATATTAATCTAAGAAGATTTTTACTTTTATGCATTCACAGTGTTGCCTACTCATCCACTTTCTGTATTTTTTAACATTCCATGCATGAAAAACTAAAACCATTGATTATTTGCTCCAGCTCTGCTTGTTAGAACCCACTACTTTGAAGGATCTTGTATACATAATCAACACCGTGATTGGTTATTAGAAGATGGAATTGTATACGAATAACATTGGTAGAAGTTTCTAATTTGTAAGTATTATATGGAATTGGTATTGGGATTTTTCCTAAGGTAAAGGAGATTCAATTGTCATCATTGTTTAATTGTCACCTGCACTTTTTCAATAGCAACAAAGTTTGCTTCAGTAAGATGCTGCCACATGTTTGAAGGTCATGACATTTTGTAGCAAGTTCTAAAATGGAAAAAATACGGTGTTATGTCTCAATTATTGGGCCAAGTGATGTTTGCCTTAATTAATGCTGAGGTGTTGTGGGTGGGTTGAAGGCGTTTTGTGAATATTTACTCTAATTAAGTCAAATTTTTTCAAGCACTCCATGAAAAAATACCCTATTTTCATCATCATGTCAATAATAAATTGTTTGTTTGAATTATTTGTGTTGTGACCATAACTGCAGTTGGTTTTGTATCTGGATCTTAACACAGTCACAATAACTTACATACACAAGACATTTGAACCACCTCATGCAGCAGATTTTACATCTTAAATACGACCAAATTCACTCACTTAAATCCACAAACCCTTGAGATCATTTGTCAATTTCTGGGGAGATTCCCATTGTAATATTTCATATTGTTATTAATATTGCTTTCTGCTGATATGATTTGTTTTAAACTGTTTTTTATCATGTATTAATTGTTTAAACATTTTACCCTTTTTTGTGCAATTTTGATTATGAATGATAATCANCTTCTTACTTCCTTTCTAAGCTTAAGTTCACCATTTTGATAATTTCTCTAAAATGCTTTGTATGTTGTTTTTTTTACCACAGAATACGCTGCGAACACCAGTGTACACCACGTCCTTGAGGAGGAATGCGATGGGTGTGGGGTTGGTGTTTGAGGCAGACCTGTTCACCACCATGCACATTTCCCACTGGGTGCTCCAGGGTGTCTGTTTATACCTCAATGCAGACTAAAGGCAGGAATCATCCTTCCTGAGCTTCCAACACTCTGTTTCGAACAAATAAATTATGATTAAATATTGTTCATGTTTTTAAAAATGTATTCACACAGTCATTAGAAAACTAAATATGTTTGACTCATTGCTTACTTCAAACTTTACTTTATATCCTCACTAGATGGCAGCATTCAACAGTACTGAGCTCCTCGCTCTGGACAGTAGCTCTGGGGATTTCTCTTTGATGTTAATGGGCTAGTATCCTACAGTGGGTCAGGATCTTTCAGACCGAAGCACCAACTACTGTTTGATTAAGAATAAATGTTTTCAACTCTGTTCAATCACATTTGATTTTTCTCTTTTCTCCATAGAAAATATTTCATAATTCTGTCCATTGTTTGAAAAGACAGCAAAGACTGAACATTTCAGCTGAGGTTAAAAGGGAAACATAAGCTGCGGTCTACAGTGGAAAACAGTTGGGCTCGTCATAAAAAAACGTTTGTCTTCTGGCTGTGGATGCCACCTGAATGGGACTGCGCCAACGGAAGACCGTGTCCGCGCTTTGCGAGAAGTTTGCTGTGCACGGTGCTGCTGCTCTGGCTCAGCGCTGCCGTGGACGGGACCCGCAATACGATGCATTAGACATATTACTATTTTGCTTATACTTATTCTTCCGTAAAACGTTGACCTGCTACTCCTTCAGCAGTTTTCGTCGCACATGCACAAAAATACACCAAAACGTGCGGCTCGGTCGGGAATGGTGTGCTATGACTTTCCAAGACACTATCCAAACGGTTCGCTCGAAAATTGCCAAAACATAATGAATGGGAGTCAGTGCCTCTTGTTCTTTAGAGCGAGAGATGATGACATCATCACTAGAGTGAGAGCCGGTCTGACGGACGTCTTAATCCAGTGTTCTTAATCTGCTCTCAAACCCAAATGAGAAATATCAGGAAAAAAAACAATGCCAAACATACCTACTGAAATTTACCCAACAAAAAACAAAATGAGGAAAAAACGTACGAACCTTCAAACTGAGTTATATTCTGCGAAAAATGAGAGGGAGAAAAATGGTCGAGCCCCCAATTTATGTTACACCCGGCCTATGATCAGATTCAGAATCCTTTATTGTCAATGTTCAACATTGTCACCAACATTAAAACAGTGAAAATTGTTTTAGCAGCTCTTTTATCTGACTTTTAGAAATCAGAGCAAGAATCAAGAAGTAAAAATCTAAATGTACATTTTTTTAATAAAAACACAGCAAAAGAAAATAAACATAAGTAAAGTGTAACAGCATAATTTGCACAAAAGGTGCAAGACGAAAGGTGCAGAGGGGTACAACAGTGCAATTTTTACAGTAGGACAGTCCACCTGAGTGTTATTGCATAATAAATTCTGTGCAAAATTACAGCGTTCAGAAAAAAAGTCACAGTGAATGTTTTCTCGTTGGGTAGACTGGATGTGTGTGTGAAGAAAAGAAACCTGAGCATAGCATAAGTATGGCTCCCCTCTTTCCCGACTCCCAAGGATGACAGCAGATTTGCAGTCCAAAACAAAAATGATTTATTTTTATAAATCAGTTAGAAAAATGTGTAAGGAAGAGCACAGCCAAAATAACAAACAAAGCAATCTTTAATATCAACTAACATACCTTTATCCAAAAGAAATCAAAAGAAAACACAGGAATCTTACCTGCCTCAACATAAACAGGAGAAAAATATGTACAGAAACAAAAATGGCTTCTCATCCCTATAATTAGGACTGCTAAGAATATCATTCACAGGCTTTGCACAGAAAAAACTCTTAAAAATATGGCGATCACACAACCACTCAGATCAGACAACACTTGTACTTTTTTGGTCCTCTCATTGGATCTGCTGATTAACCAAGATGAAAGATAAAAGAACATCTATCTTTATCTTTTCTTTATTTATTTCTGGGTTCTTCAATTCTTCTCTTGTTATGTTTAATAATTAATTTCCACATAGGGTTTCCATACACTGGGTAGCAAGCCACCTTACAGATACATAGTTCTTATTCTACTCTTAGGTGCACTGATTGCCTTATCTAAATACAACCAAATGACAGCATACTGTATCATACTTCAGATTCCACTCGTATTCCTACTTTGTAGTACCAAAACACTGCAAAGTATTTTTGACTTTTCAGTATGGAAAAGGGCTTAGGCTGGTGTGTGATGAGGTGTATATACTTTTGCAGAATGTATCTTTTTTAATTTATTTTAAAATGTTGCATCGGAATTAAAGATGAATATTAATCTAAGAAGATTTTTACTTTTATGCATTCACAGTGTTGCCTACTCATCCACTTTCTGTATTTTTTAACATTCCATGCATGAAAAACTAAAACCATTGATTATTTGCTCCAGCTCTGCTTGTTAGAACCCACTACTTNAAGATAAGATGATCCTGTGTTAGTCACACAATGGGGCAATTTGCATTATTACAGCAGCAAGAGTCAAAAATAGGAATCAGTAAGTAATAATAAGCAACATGCAACAAAAAAAACTGAACTATAGTTCATCCATAGATGAAAAAGTATCAAAGCTGTTCAATAATGTCACTAAAGCTGTGTTCAGTAAAAAAAAAGAAGACTGGTCAGGCTCCTCAGGCAGGCAGATGCCTTCCAGTCACTTGTCTGGGAACCAAACTCCACGAGCACGTTTGACGGTCACCAAGGTAACGCCAAGCTGCAGCAGCGTCGCAGGGCTGGTCTGTAGTTGACGTTAGTAAAGTTTGTTTGCGACATGTGAAGCAGACAGTTGTCGCTGAGCTGGTTGAATATTAATATTCACGTGTGGTTGTTGAGAGAGGGAGAAAAAATGGTCCACGACGATTTACGAGTGGAGTGGCTGCGACAGCGAGTGTCCGCCGGCTTCAACTTGTCAAAATGTCCCGAGTGCTTCGACGAGCTGCTGAGCCGAGGAGACGGAGAGGAAGAGCAGAAAATCATCCGCTACCTGAACGTGGTCTCCGAGGAAGACTCGCCGTCATGTCTCCTGTTCTTCAAAACTATTCGAGAGGAGGAAGTTGAAGTTGCAGCGGGTCAGTCTGAAGTTAGCTTCTGTGTTTGTCACCTGAGCCATTAGCGTTCACTGGTGCAGGGCCGCGCACAGGCGTTTAGAGGGACAGGTGCACACAATTATCAAGGGGGCCCACGGAGCAAGATTTAACAACACTATGGACCAGTATCATTTACAGCGTTACCTGTTGAATTATATAAATGTAGCCTAGTAGAAAAAGCAAATGTTATTATTAATACTTTCCAGCAAATAAATTATTTTTTAAAGAAGGTGTTTGTACTGCAGTTTAAATAATAAAAAAGGGTGTATCTAACTGAAACATTTATATCCTCAGAGAGGAGGAAAGACGCAGACCCTTCACTTCACGAGACAGATGAGGAGAGTCCCAGCCATGTGAGATTAACTTTTACTCTCTTTAATTAAACTTTAAAGTTCACTGAATCTGCTCAACAAGTACTCACCATCAAGCATAGTGGTGAGTAGATAATGAGTGAATTTTCATTTTTCATCCTTTTAAATTAACTTTAATAAGAGGTTGGGTCTCAAGTAAACGATTTTAATTGTATTAAAAATGAGGAGAAAGAGATCGAAATAATGTTAACTTGTGTTGGTTTTTTGCATTTTCAGAGGACTGAGGTTCAAGTGGTTTATCACATTGAGCTTCATGTAGCAGTCAACAGTTACTTAGAGAGATTTTTGAAATCCAATGTCTTCTACTTCATCAGGAACATAAAGGGTGAGAATGAATCCAACAGAGCATGTTGAAGTCTATTGCATTTTGAAGAAAAAGTATGAACCAAGAGATTCTTTTTTTTGTTTTAGAGACCATTGTTGAACCACTGGACATGACTGAAGCCAATATCCTGATGCCCAGGCTGTTTCACATCGGCATGCACAGTGGACAGCCTCTTCTTGTGCTGCGAAACAAACTTGCAAATGTAAAATTCCACAACAACCAAACACAACCACTATATTGCCCAGACAAAAAACTGTATCTAAGTCCAACAGGAAAGCCACATATTTCCCCAAATTCTTACATTTCTTTTTTTTTTTTTTTTTTAATTGTACAGGATGCACATTTTCACTGTCTGTCTGTTTCTTCTCAGGTGTACATATCTTTGCTTACTGTGCAGCGGATGGAGGTAACTGGTGGGGGTTATCAAAGTGAGGATGTTTCTTCTCACAAGGAGAGCAGTGGAGAGGGAGAAGAGGAGAATTTAGCAAAGTCAAGTGAGCAAGTCATGATTCGTGACGAGTTGCTCAACATTACACACAAGTTTTTCGGACTGATCAACACAACTCTCCAACACCTTCAGATTCAAGGTTTGTTTTATTTAATTTACCAGGAAGTCATTACAATTTATCAGTATTTGACCATTAAAAAAACCCAGCATAAGTTAAAAGGTTATCACACCAGCAGAATAATAAGGAACCCTAAGATATACTACACCTGCTCAGTTTTAAAACTCAATGTATACCATTTAATAATGATTACATCTAAAGATCACTATGTTTGGGACAGATGAGGTCACACTGGACATGCCGGAGCTTGACCTACAGCCAGAGGTGGATGTGCTTCTTTCTAATCCAGAAGTGGTGGAGAAGTTGGAGCAGTGTGTGATGAACTGGCAAACTCAGATTACCATTGTTATTGAGGAGCAGCAAAACAAAAAGCTACAGGTCTGAGACTCCTCTTCTATTCTGATTTTCAACCCAGGCCGATATGGTGGTATCAAAGTTAAGACTTGAGGTCAAAATCAGAATTTACATATGTAGTTGCTGCTGAAATGTCTTGAGTATTACCTACAAGATTAAATCTCTGTCAGCTCAAAATTAAATTATAAGATCACTGAAAACTAAATGATGATATCCATATACCAATGTGAAATCAGTTTTTTTTGTGCCTCTTTATGAATTTTATTCATGTATTGTATTTTATCTGGAACCTGAGTCTGAAAAATCAATGTCTTTCCTTTTTCTTCCAGGCACCTGGCCCTATGGCTGAGATAGCTTTTTGGCAGGAGCGYGCCTCCATCCTGAGCGCTCTGAGTCAGCAGCTCAAACAGCCCATGGTACAGAAAATCCTGGAGGTGATAACCAAAGCAGATGCAAGCATCGTTCAGACCCTGGAAGGAACAGTTGCTGAACTTAATAAATACCGTGTTGAGTCAGACGATAATTTACGTTTCCTCAGCACGCTGGAAAGACATTTCATGGTGAGCTGCACATTTTGGAAATGTACAGATTTTTTACCATTGATGGTGTGACTACCAATTTATGGCAGTTACATAAAACACACTTGCCCAGAATGTTTTGAAGTATAAATATTGATCTATCTATTCTATTCTTCTGTCCTCACCTTCACGTTTTTTAAATGTTACCATTGTCTTTTGTAGAATCTGGCCTCTGGAGCAAATTTTGTTTGTCTCCTGGAAACAATCCCTCCTCTGATGGACAGCCTGCAAATTGTTTGGATAATCTCTTCCCACTATAACACAAATGAACGTATGGTCCCTCTGATGGAACGCATTGCCTGGCAGCTTTGTGAACGTGTGTCTCAAGTAATTGATGTCAACACATTATTCAGGTATACAACTAAATTTACATGGAATCTTAGATACATTTTACATAAACTATACTTCATAATTTCAATATCATTAAGGTTCCAGGGAGAATCTTTTATTCAAATARTTTGTTGGTATTAGATAGTAGATAGTAGTTGGAGTATGACTCAACATTGTGCTGTGCCCTGGACAGAGATAAGAGGGAGGTGGCCAAATCCAAGGTGCATGATGCTAAACAGGTTCTGGACCGATGGAAGTCGACCTACTTTGAGGTGCGCGCTGAAATTGAAGAATCTGGAAGAGATCCACGCTGGGAGTTTGACCRCAAGAGAATGTTTGAGAGGACTGATTACATGGCTTCCATATGCCAGGACCTGTACAATGTTCTGCAGGTGAGTGAACATAATCTTTATAAATACTTACCCCTCACTCAGTAAGTGAACAGCTGAACGTGTAACAAGCGCCTCAGTTTTGATGATTCTCCTGATTTGTTTGGTGCAGGTTTTAGAGGAGTTCTATAACATCTTTGGTCCAGAGCTGAAAAGTGTGACCGGTGAACACAAACGCATCGATGAAGTGCTGTGCAGAGTGGAAGGTCTAGTTGTGCCTATTGAGGGGGTCAATTTTAATCCTTTCAACATGTGTAAGAAGAGCAGCTGGAAAATGATCATGAAAGACTTTGACACTACAGCTCAGGTGAGTTTAGCACAACTAGAATGCAGAAGCCACTAAAACACTCTGAATCAAACAGTGTAATTAAACACAGCAGGATCAATGCACTTGTCATTTTGCACCAATAACATTGCATCATTTTTTGTATGCTGTGCCTTAGTTATCAAGGTGATTTACTTTTTACATGTGTCTGCGCAGGCTATCGAGGGAGAGGCCATCAACTTCATTGATCAGTCTTTTAAGACACTTCGCTCTTCTGCTGCTGCTTTTGACATGCTCCTGAAATTCAAACACATCCGCTCCAGAGAGGCCATCAGCAAACATTTGATGAGAAAGTTCAATGATATACTTGCTCAGTATTGCAAAGAGGTATTCTGCTTGAATAACTTGTATGTGATAATATGTGATCATATCAGATCATAAGAAAGCTTATGTGGAGGAACAGTGAGTCCATGCAGGTGTTGTGCAAAGCAACTTAAGCCAAGGAATGATTCAAACCTAAATTACTTGCAACATTACACTGCGTTTAAACAAAATAAATGTAGTAATTAACTATGACATTTATCATATTTACCTGTGATAGATCCAGGTTCAGTATATTAATGATTTAAAAAGCTGGAAGTTATACTRCAACTAAAACATACTATTGGTATAATTTTAAGGAGAGTAATCATTGTCACAGAGTGCCTAAGTCTTTTTGTCTATGTTATAGGTGGACAGCATACATGAAATCTTTAAGGCAAACAAGGATAAACCACCGCTAAATAAGGATGAGCCTCCTGTGGCAGGATCCATCAGCTGGGTCCGATCTCTTTTGTTCCGCATCAAACACACCATCCTTACCTTCCTGGAGGTGCCAGAGATAATGGAGAGTAATCAGAGCAAAGTGGTGAGTTACTGGTGACAGACACCAAAATGTTATTGAAATCCTTTCTTTGACTTTTGCTGTATTCTGCTCAGGCCAAGGACAAGTATGTGCAAGTGGCAATACAGTTCAGGGACTATGAGCTGAAGAAGCATGAGCACTGGCTGGTGGAGACGGAACACAAATTRCCATTGCTAATGAAAAAATCCCTGTTGGTCATGATTACCACTCAAAACCAAATCCCAGCAAAATTGGTATTTATCTGTTGCTATTTATTTACTTGTGGCTCATGCTCTGTATTGTGATAAATACATACATACTAAAGTCTACCTCTGATTTCTTTCATTCTCAGGCTGTGTCTAAGGATGTCCCTCACGAGGAAGGAAGCCTACAGAGGGTTGTGCGATACCTTGTGAACTTTGCTCCAGAGATAGGGGAAATCATTTCTGAAACAAAACACCTGGAGTTACTGGGCTGCTCTTTGCCTCCTCTAGCTCAAAATGTTACTTTACAGAGGCACAAATTCTTCAGGTAACCAGAATGGCACTCAATGTAGTCMATACTTTACAGTCCCCGTAGACAAAGCAACCCAGTTTCAGGCCCTCACAGATATTAGTCCTTCTTTCATCTAGAGAAATTCACAAAAAGTTTGAAAAAAATCAATCTGTCAAAAAAGTGAAAAAAAGAAATCCAGGATCCCCTCCCTTCATCAAATCTGCTCCAGACGTTAATGGGYTCTTCCTTGTAWCCCTGGAAAAGAAAAAAAAAAGACAAATGCAATGAAAACTGTAACTGAGAGCAAAGTTTATTCTAAACAACAAAAACAATCCCTTGCCTGTTTCATCYTTGTTCCTAGGTATGTTGATGATCTGAAAAGAATTGTTAAGTGCTACCACTCTGTGATGGACAGCCTGAGTGAGGCACAGTTCACCATGCTGCCTAAACAGATCACAGAGGTCAAACAAGTGATGGATTTTGGGTTCAAAAGACTCAACTGGAGTTCCTTGGGTACGTTGCATACAGAGCCTGAAATATTTAATCCCTTTAACGGCCATTTATGCAAACTCGTGGTCAGATGAAATAAATAATTCACATCATATGTGTTATTTGGTTTTAGGTATTTCTGAATTCATCAAACAAGCTCTCCAGGCTGTCACAAAATTTGAGTCTGTCATCAATCAGATTCAGAACAATGAGAGAGACATTGATTCCAAGCTGCAGTCTATGGTGATGGCCAACCTATTGAAATGTCCAGTCCCAGATAAATCTAATAATTTGCCAGGTAGAAAAAAAMCGAAGAATATTACTTTTTGATTAWAATCATTCAAACTTATTTTCATTGACATAATGCATGTTGTTGTTTTTCCAAGGCATCAAGGAGTTCTGTGAACATATTGAGCAAGAGCGGCTAAAAACTGTGCATTTGCTGAGTACGAAGTATGCTGACATTGGAGCCCTCATCACTAAAACAGAACACTTGATCATGGAAAGCAGCAGTGGCAAAGCCACATGTATGGTAGATTATTACAAACACTGGGAAGGCAAAGTGTTTGACTCCCTTATAAAGATGGTGATGAGGTAAATGCACAAAGTCAATGTCTTTGAAGTCATCTATTTTGTGAGCAGTTTTTATCATCGTGTCTTTGAATTGCAGTACATTATCTCTCTTAGCCACTGTAACATCCATCTTGTTAACCTTCACATTCAGGAGCATTCAGGCATTCAACATGGCACTGATGGGAAGTACCACCCTGTTCCAAATTGATGCCATCCTGTCTTCCCCAAAGATTGTGTTGCAGCCCCAAAGCAATGAGATCTACTGGCTAATCATGMAGTGCATCAGAGACTGTGTGGAGAGCACCAAGGTGTGATCATCATGATTCTCAGTGTAATGTGCCATGTTTTGAGAAAATATAATTTRTTCACTTTATTTGTKAGAATAAATTCTGGCCAAATTTTGTGTTTCAGCAATTTATGCGTTGGATGCGAGGGACCTGCATTGAGTGTCCTCCACAACGTGTGGGAGCCGAAGATGAGCTGGTGACATTTAGCTTCTACAGCGATGTGTGTCAGCATCCTCAGATAAATGAAAGTGCCATGACAGTCTCCCAAAATGTCCAACGGCTGCTCGTCTCTGTGGATCAGTACCTGAGCCACTGGAAACGCTATCGGCCTCTTTGGGAAAAGAACAAAATCATGGTCAATGAAACATTTGCAGGAAAAAAAACCTCCRTGGTCATGTATGATGATAAGCTGCAGTTCCTTTCTCGTATCAGTCAGGAGGTTAGGTTGGAACCACTTTTTGAGACKGACCACGTCATCCATCTAAACCTGGAGCCTCTGGTTCACACTGTGCAGACGACTGTTGAGTCCAGGATCAGTTCACTTGGGAGCCAGCTCAACAAGACTGCCAAAGAGGATCTCTTCAACTTGMGAGATGAACTCATGGTACTGAATCGTGCTTCACAGTTGATGCATGTGTTTTATTRTAAATGTTCTTTGATTTTGATATCATCAATTTATGGTTATTTCCTGCTAAAGCAACTCTCTGCAAAGCTGAAACAAAGTCCTGACACTTTTGAAGACCTGAAGTCTGYCCTTGCTACAATCTCAGACATCAGGGACATGTCTTTGGAGGTGGAACTGAGATTCATGGATATCAAGGAAAGATACAGAACACTGGCAATGTACAAAGTGGAGGTACTGTATGTTAAATTATTATCCCCTGAAAACATATGTGGTTTCCCTTGCTGAACGTCTCATACGTTACATTCTGTGCATAGGTTGGAGACGATGAACTGGAGCTGGAGGCCGATATTGACCAGATGTGGAGGGAACTTTTTAAAGAATCCAGACAAGTGGATAGAAGTTTGACAGATGTCAAGAAATCATTTAGTCAGGTAAGACACATTCTACAGAAAAGAAACATTTAGAGAGATTTGCATGTATGGTTAACTTCCTATTTATCTCCAAAGATTACAAAGGAGAAGATTGAAGAATTTACACAGGACTTGTCTATCTTTGCTGAGAGCTTCAATATGCATGGTCCTCAAGCTGTGGGAGTTGATTTGGAGAAAGGTACTTGAACATTGCAGTTGGAGTTTATACCAAGAAAAATAATTAAAGTGATTGTTTGTGTGATTCACCAGATTCATCCAAAGTGCAGGGGAAAACAGTCTCTCTCCTTTTGTCTTTGCAGGATTGAGCATTATGGGAACATATGAGGCAGAGCTTGCCAAGATATTGGGTGGACACCAGGAGCTAACAAATGCTCAGAAGCTGTTGGACCTACCAGTCTCTTTGTACCCAGAGCTTATCACCATGCAGAAGGATATGAAAGGCTTGAGACAAATATATGATGTGTATAAAGCTCAGAAGGTGGGATGTGTTGGCTTTTAGAAATTCAAGTTAAATATTGGGATACAATTCTGGTCAACAAAGTCTAAAATGTTTGTCCTGAAATCTTCTAGGATGCAAAGACAGAGTGGTCTCAGACCTTGTGGGTGGATCTAAATATCCAGCTGCTCCAGGAGGGTGTTCAGGGTTTCATCAAAAACCTGATGCAGCTGCCCAAAGATGTGAGGGCGTTACCTGTGGCCTCTTTCCTCGAAGGACACATGAAGGAGTTCAGAGAGTCTCTGCCTCTTCTGCTGGATTTGAAGAATGAGGCCCTCAGAGACAGGTCAGTCAGAAAACCAACTGCCATTTGAAATACTGATGATATATTGTGACCAGGATATAAACACGTTTTTATATTTTTGGACACAGACACTGGAAGGAACTGATGGAAAAGACCGGCACCAGCTTTGAGATGAACCCTGGCACTTTCACTTTGAATAACATGTTTGCTATGGAGTTGCATAAACATGTAAATGTCATAAGTGACATTGTCACCTCTGCTGTAAAAGAGCTCAGTATTGAGAAGGTAATCATTTGTCTTTGTGAATGATTTCTAACAGGAGTCAAGGATCAGTTGTTTTCAGTGTATCAGTGAAATCATTAAGACTTATTCTCCATCTGTTGTGTGATTGCTTACAGGGAGTGAAGGAGGTGGTGGAGACCTGGGAAAGCATGAAGTTCAGTGTTCTGCCCTATTTCAAAGGGACTGAGGAACGTGGGTCTATTCTGGGTGCAGTGGACGAGATCCTGCTGAGCGTGGAAAACGATGCCATGAACTTACAGAGCATGGCAGGCAGCCGATTTGTTGGACACTTCCTTGGCACCATACAACAATGGGAAAAAGACCTGTCCCTCATTAGTGAGACCATAGAGGTCAGTGGAAGCCACCAAATCTCCCATCACTCTTTAGCTTATACATAAAAATCCGACTGAAACAATATTTCTTTCACAGGTATTGTTGTTGGTACAACGAAAATGGATGTACCTGGAGAGCATATTCATTGGAGGAGACATTTGCTCGCAGTTACCCGAAGAAGCCAAGAAATTTGACAACATTGACAAAAAGTTTAAAGAAGTGAGTGTTGCTAGAATATAAGCCTGATGAAAGCAGAGTAGTCTATTACTAAACATCTCCAAATAATGTAATTTTCTTCATTTCTTGTGTAGATAATGAGTGACACAGTGAAGAGCCCAAACATTAAACGGTGTTGCCTGGTTCCCAACCGGCTAACAGACCTGCAGGCCCTGAGTGACGGTCTGGAGAGGTGCCAGAAGAGTCTCAGTGACTACCTGGACTCGAAGCGGAACGTGTTTCCTCGCTTCTTCTTCATCTCTGATGATGAACTGCTCAGCATTCTGGGGAGTAATGACCCTGCTTGTGTCCAGGAGCACATGATCAAGGTATTATCCTCAAGACACTTAACTTATTCTTTTTTTTAAAGTAGGAAAGAATAATGCTTTCCATGTGTGTGAAACGCTGTCCTCAAAATTTTTCTGTTCTTTTTTCCACAAGATGTATGACAACATAGCATCCCTGAGGTTTGACGTGGACAGCAATGGTGAGACAGTGGCTGGAGCCATGGTGTCTGCTGAGGGGGAAGTGATGGAGCTAAGGAAACCCGTCCCAGTGGAGGGAAGAGTGGAGGAATGGATGACAGGAGTACTACTGGAGATGAGAAGGACCAACAGACAGATTACAAAAGAAGCAATCTTCTCGTACTGTGAAGACAAGAGCAGGTGTGTGTAAAGGCGACTGTGGCTCAGGAGGTAGAGTGGGTTATCTCCTAATCAGAGGGTTGTTTATTTGATCCCTGCCTCTTCCAGTCTGCATGTTGAATTTGAATTGGCTAAAACTCTGAAATCCCAATTACACCTGACAATGGCCTGCAGTGTGTGAATGGGATGATTGAATAACAGAGAAGCGCTATATATGCATATGCATAGAAGTGCTGTATTAGTGTATAATAGTGAAATTCCATTTACCATTTTATTTAAATTTCGGTGATGTGATCAGTTCCGTGTGTGCAACTGAGCTTAAGTGAGTCTGTCATTCCCGTGTTTTTCAGGGTGGATTGGATGCTGCAGTACCAGGGCATGATGGTGCTGGCTGCCAATCAAGTGTGGTGGACCTGGGAGGTAGAGGACGTCTTTAACAATGTCAAGAAAGGAGAGAAGCGTGCACTGAAGAGCTATGCAAAGAAAATGCACCAGCAGATAGACGAGCTGGTAACACGCATCACACAACCTATGAAGAAAAACGACAGACGGAAGATCAACACTGTGCTCATCATCAATGTACATGCAAGAGACATTGTGGACAGCTTTGTTCTAAACAGGTAAACCTTTCCCAATTTGAACTGTATTTATTGTATATGAAAATATAACTAATGTGTATGAAGGTAAACTTCAATGAAAAAAAATGTCTTTCCAGTATAATGGATGCAAGAGAGTTTGAGTGGGAAAGCCAGCTGAGATTCTACTGGGTGCAGGAACAAGACGACCTGTTTGTGCGTCAGTGCAGTGCTTCTTTCTTATACGGGTACGAATACATGGGACTGAATGGTCGATTGGTTATAACCCCGCTGACAGACAGGATCTACCTCACCCTCACCCAGGTCTGAGAAGTTCTGCATGTTTTTACCAACAAAACAAATAATATATAATGAACAAGCAGCCATATGTAAATTGCTCTGTCAGCGGTTTTGTGACGACAGGATGTCTGTGTGTGTTTGTAATGCAGGCCCTCTCCATGTATCTGGGTGGAGCTCCTGCAGGACCAGCTGGTACAGGAAAGACAGAGTCCACCAAAGATCTGGCCAAGGCTTTAGGTCTGCTCTGTGTGGTTACAAACTGTGGTGAGGGCATGGACTACATGGTAAGAAGCCACCACTTATCTAATAATATCTAAGAAGTACATTGTTAAAAATGCTTCTTGATTACCATGTGTGCTACTGCACTTCTCAGTGTAGGATGGAAAAAGTCTAAATATAAACAAATCACACAAAGAAACCCCCCCCCACAAATGTTAAAATGTGTGACTCCTTCATTTTTCCTTCCTTCTCTCTGTCTTTGTGTGCAGGCTGTGGGTAAGATCTTGTCTGGTCTTGCCCAGTGTGGAGCCTGGGGCTGCTTCGATGAGTTCAATCGTATTGATGCCTCAGTGTTGTCAGTCATTTCCTCCCAAATCCAGACCATCCGCAATGCTCTCATTCTGCACCTTAAAAAATTTCATGTAAGGCTGTTGTAGCTACACAGAGCCAGTGATGAATGAATTCATTTTTCCTATAATTTCCAACATGTAAGCGATTAGAGGGATTTATTTTACCACCACCTTCTTTTTCTACACATCAGTTTGAAGGGCAGGAGATCAGCCTGGACGGCCGCATGGGGATTTTCATCACCATGAACCCAGGTTATGCAGGACGCACAGAGCTGCCAGAATCAGTGAAAGCCCTCTTCAGGCCTGTGGTGGTCATTGTGCCTGACCTGCAGCAGATCTGTGAGATCATGCTCTTCTCTGAGGGCTTCCTTATGGCCAAGGTGATGGACACACACACAAAAACCACAAATGACATTGCTGCTTTTTATGTGATGCTCTCATCCTGAGTAATGTACACAGTATTCCTCCATGTATATGCAATGCTAATATAATGTATAATATGTATATATGTGTTCTCAGGTAAAATGCATATACAAGAATGATATATAATGAATTTTTGGAAAGATTCTTTGATACTTTTAAGCATAAAAAGACAAGTCTTCATTTACAGTAAACATGGATAAATCTGTAACTCTACACTGAAAACGGACAAGTGTTGTGACACATGTACATTTCTTACGAGGATTTTGTCTCTTCACTTTTTTCAATTCAGGTGCTGGCAAAGAAGATGACAGTACTGTATAAACTGGCTCGTGAACAGCTTTCTAAGCAGTCTCATTATGACTTTGGTCTTCGAGCTCTGAAGTCTGTCCTAGTGATGGCAGGAGAGATGAAGAGAGGCTCGCCAGACCTCAATGAGGTAGAGACCAAAGACCTTTTTTTTTCATTGTCATAGAATGAATAGAAAACCCCTCCTTCAGATTTTAATTTATAATGAAAACAAGGAATTATTTGTAAATCCACAGGTATAGAATGATGTTTGATTGATGTTGAGACAATTCTGGATATTGATTGATAATATTTTGACAAAAAATACCATGTTCACTCCGCAGGATGTGGTGTTGATGCGTGCTCTCCGGGACATGAACCTTCCGAAGTTTGTGTTTGAGGACGTGCCACTTTTTCWCGGGCTGATCTCAGACCTGTTCCCTCAGCTGGACTGCCCTCGTGTTCGCTATGCCAACTTCAATGACGCTGTGGAACACATCCTGCATGAAAACACATACGTCATATTGCCTCACCAGGTGACTCATCTGAGTCGGAGATTGAAATTTTTGAGATACACAAATTAGACTGCTAAATTTCAGTCACACATATTTAGCTTCAGCCTATGAGTTGTTAAATATTTATATGCCCTATTCTTTATGGTTTCAGGTGGATAAAGTGGTGCAGATCTATGAGACAATGATGACCAGACACACTACAATGGTTGTGGGACCAACAGGTGGAGGCAAATCAGTTGTCATCAACACATTATGTCAAGCTCAGACCAAGTCAGTGTCAATTTACATCACCGACATTAGTACCACCTTCCTGACATCTATGTGGACAATTTTAACTTTTATTATATCTCATCGTTAGACTGGGATTACAAACCAAGATGTATCCACTGAACCCTAAAGCCATGAGTGTCATTGAACTTTACGGTGTTCTGGATCCTGACACTCGAGACTGGACTGATGGGATCTTATCTAACATCTTTCGTGACATCAACAAGCCCACTGACAGAGAAGAGCGAAGGTAAAAAAAAAAAAAGTTGATTAAAAAATGGTGATCTGATATAATTCTTAATGCATACACTTCGAGAAGAGAGAATTCCTGCAACATAACAAACTGACATAACCTTTGACTCACAGGTACATCCTGTTTGACGGTGATGTTGATGCTCTGTGGGTCGAGAATATGAACTCAGTGATGGATGACAACAAGCTCCTCACGCTGGCCAATGGAGAACGGATCCGTTTACAGAATCATTGTGCTCTGCTATTCGAGGTTTGTCTTAATTTCAATATTGCTGTCAAGATTACTCTTCCACATTTCAACGTGTATATCATAAGAAAACTCTGCTGTTACAGGTGGGAGATTTGCAGTACGCTTCCCCTGCTACTGTTTCCCGCTGTGGGATGGTTTTTGTTGACCCCAAAAACCTGCGATACACCCCATACTGGCAGAGATGGCTGAACAACAGACCTGAAAGGGTTTGGGAACACATTAGCACTATGTGATAATTTTACTTGCTTGTAATTGAATAAAATCTCAACACTGTTCTTTTTTCTGTTTTAGGAACAAGAAGTTCTGAATAAACTGTTTGAGAAATATGTGCACAGCTGTATTGACATGATCGTGGATGGCATTGTTGATGGGAAACAAGGCCAGAAACTGAAAACTGTTGTCCCACAAACAGATCTAAACATGGTGGGTTAATGTCATCTAGCTCACTCCAGTACCTGTGTTGTTGTATTTATACATAAATAATCGAACGAAGATCAGTAAATTCCCATCTTCAGGCTTCTTACATTGATTGTGACTGTGTTGATGGTATCTTCAGGTGACTCAGCTGTGCTTGACACTGGATGCACTGCTTGAGAGTGGAAGCAGCAGTGGTGAAGTCCTGGAGTGTTACTTCCTGGAAGCTCTGTACTGCTCACTAGGGGCCACGTTGCTGGAGAGTGGCAGGATCAAGTTTGATGAGTTAATCAAGAGCGTTTCCTGCTTAACTGTCGTACACGATGAGAAAACCCTGGCAGGACCTGGAGAGATCCCAGGTAAGAACAAAGGATTTATGTGTAGATGATTGTGAAGTTAGCAGCCATAATCAAGATTATGCACAAATAATATGAGATCATAAAAATACCCTTGTCCATCATGAATAGGTTGTCATTTGTCATCACTGTTGAAAATCAGTGGACATGATTGATTAGGTTTTTAGGTTCAATGAATAAATACCTTGATGAAAGTTTTACTCTTTGACAGATATTATCTGTCGTGTACTCCATTGAGTCCTATTATTAATCAGAAAATGTCTTCATCCATACAGGATACCTACCGACTCTGTATGATTTCCATTTTGATGGCACACAGGAGAAGTGGGTTCCCTGGAGTTCCCTGGTCGCCAAATACATTCACAACCATGACATGAAATATTCTGATATACTAGGTAAAGATAAATTTTGTGAGGACAAATCAAGCTTACGTAATATTACAATATAGTATGTAAATATTGATTTAAATTCCTCCCCCTCCATCTTTGCCTTAGTGCCAACTGTCGACACCACGAGAGCCAGCTGGATCCTGGAACAGATGGTGAAAATAAAAAGGCCAGTGCTCCTGGTTGGCGAGTCTGGCACTTCTAAGACTGCCACCATTCATAACTTCCTCAAGAACCTCAATTCAGACACAAGGGTATGTTTGCTGTCTAAACATTTCATCCAATGTCATCGCATTTGAGGTTAAACTCCTGTCTTCCTTTCTGTTTCTAGAATATTCTGATGATCAACTTCTCATCCAGAACGACTTCAATGGACGTGCAGAGGAACCTGGAGGCCAATGTGGAGAAAAGGACCAAAGAGACCTACGGGCCTCCTATGGGAAAGAGACTGCTGATCTTTATGGATGATATGAATATGCCAAAGGTTCTTTCTTTAAGCATTCAAGTCTCTTATCTCTTGTGCTGTGCAGAATGACAGCGCTTGTATATTCAACATTATTCTAATGCTCTATATGCTCATCCAGGTGGATAATTATAACACACAGCAGCCAATTGCACTTCTGAAGCTGTTATTGGATCGAGGAGGCATGTATGACCGAGGGAAGGAGCTGAACTACAAAATCCTCAAAGACCTCGGCTTCATTGCTGCCATGGGAAAAGCAGGAGGTGGGAGGAACGAGGTGGATCCTCGCTTCATCTCGCTCTTCAGTGTCTTCAGCATCCCCTTCCCTACAGTGGAGTCACTCCACCTYATATATGCATCCATTATCAAAGGCCACACCAGAGTGAGTCTCTCTTTCACACATGGATCAATACACAATCAGAATCTCAGTTGTAAAAAATAATCACTCAAATTCAATATACTTGATGTAATGTTTTAGCCGTTTGAGGAGGCGATACAGAAGGTGTGTGATGAAATCACGATCTGCACACTGGAACTGTACAACAGCATCATCAAAGATTTGCCGCCCACTCCGTCCAAGTTCCACTACATCTTCAACCTGAGGGACCTGTCACGAGTCTACAATGGACTAACGCTCACCAAACCAGACAGGTGTGATCAAGCACATTCACTCACTTAACACTTAATAGATTAACACTTTGCAGTAAAAGGGCTGTGTTTCAAAACGTCTGTGCTTTACAGGTTTTTGACTGTCACCCAGTTTGTCCGAGTCTGGAGGAACGAGTGCCTGAGAATCTTCCATGACAGACTCATTGATGAGACTGACAAAGCCTTGGTAATAATTGATAATAAATCATAACTAGTGAATATAGCATGTGGAACTGTTCCTCCAGGTTTAAAGTCTACTGTATTGAAATAGTGTMGTTTTAGTGTGTTGTTTTTCAGTTAATGTATCAAATGTGTGTTTTTGCTATCAGGTACAAGGCCACATAAAGAAGCTGATTGAGGAGCATTTTAAGTCAGATATGGAGGTCGTCATCAGGGACCCAATTCTTTTTGGAGAC